GATTTTCCTTTCAGAGGGGAAACAATGGTGAAGTCAGCCTCAGAGACCTGTGACAGGCTGCTGCTGATGTTGTCAAACAGCGCTTAGTGGAGCCTGCTCGGAGTTGCCGGGCCGTATGTCTTTCTAGGGGCCAGGGATTTGAGCATGCCGCTGGTGGTCGTCTTTGGGACGGCCACGGGCGTGTTTGGGGGCCCGTCGTGGAAGGGTGCCATCCGGCTTGTGAGAAAATTTCTCTTGTGTCTTAACAAAGATAGTCAGTTACTGAAAGAAGTGCCTGCTTTAGCGCAGGAATCGAGGCTGTGCCCTAACAGCGGGGCGCCAAGAAAAATAGTTGTTTTTGGCAAGTGTGGTGCACTGATTGAATAAAGACTGATGTGTAACGTGGACCAGATCTTCATGGTCATGCTCATGTGCGTACCAGTCCGAGGTTACTAGGACGGGAGCGTAGATTCGAGATGCATCCCGGAGGAAGTTGGACAAACTATCAACTCAGTCGGCATCATCATCACGGATATAACCAAGCCCATGGTACGGTCGCAGCCATCAAGCTGATCGATATCGTGAATTAGGTACGAAGACTGAGTCAAATTCAAGAACTATTGTGGCTCCTCAACCCATTTTCCAGCCACAATGACGGATGGGTCACGGACCAGGGTACAAGGAACCTTGGAGCCCAACGGGTACCCGTTTGTACCAGATTCGTACCCAACTGGGATGATAGCTACTTCTGGGATGGGGACACCACCCATCCCTTCTTTCAATCAAGCAACTTCCAGAATACAGACCAATAGCCACCATTCGTGACCCTGGTCCTTATTCTGGATACCGCTACCACAAGGCACACTATGGTGTACTCCATTACATAAATATCGCAAGGAACTGAGATTTCCTCTGGACAAGCCTTCGCCGAACATCGGTGAGCACCCAGGAAACTCACTTGACATAATGCACCGGCTGTGGCCTGTATTTTAGAGTGCAGTACAAAGTGCAAAGCTCAAATGACTCTGGTCTTGGGTGTCAGTCGCCCAACTCTACGTCTTGGAGACGTCATTCAATTCGCTCCGCGGAGAACCATACGATTCTGGCTGACCAACCTCTTAGCCTAAGCACAAAGCTGTTTCGCCTTTCCAGCCGATAGTCATGTGTCACGAGAAATGTGCCCTCTTCCGACTCGTTCTTTTGGCTCTCACTATGCGCTCCATGGCCAGTAGCAGGTTCACCATCTTCTCCACCTCTGGGAAACTTTTCGTATAGGTGTGTGGATTGACCAGACCAGTATCAGTATCAGCAGACGGGAGCTGCAGCGCTTTCAATTCTTCGGACAGCTGCTCCTGAAGCTGCTGAAGAAGCCCGTCCGAGTTCTTGACAGCGCCACGTACGTAGCGATCGGAAGCTCGGCACGCCATGACGACGGTCATTGCTATGACGATGTCGGGCCTCTTGTCACGCGATGGGCGAAAGAGTGTTGCGACACGCTTTGCCGTCGCGATTCTCGTCTTCAGGTCGCTTGTAGGGAGACCTGACCGGCCGGGATAAGAGATGGAGCTCGCAGGCACGCAGTGGAATGCCGTGCCCTGGATGGGACCGTACACCAGATACTCATGGGCATACGACGGAGGCTCACCAAAGGCTTCCCTGAGTGTCGGGACATGATAGATGCGTACGTGTTGCTCCAGTAGAGATGTGTCGATGATTGCGATGCGGCTATCGTGGCTGCTGCCGGCATACCCTTCAGCGGTCGCGAAATCCGCTGCCCAAGAGCTAAAATTGCTCTGGATGGTCCTGGAACCCCCAAGGTGACCATTAATCATAGCCTTGAGATTGGGTGTGTCATACATAGTCGTCGGCTTCTTCCCACGGAGAAATCCGTGTGGGATTATGCCCTTTTCGCTGTTGAGACGCTTGTCGATCCCGCCTCCCGAACGACCGCTGAAGCCGCGGAATAGAACCCGGGGTAGAGTTCGCCGCGACGATTCTACGGGAGATGTGTTAGCACAAGGTGGTTCTCTCAGCTTTGTAGCAAGCATGGCAACTCACCCTCAAGCTTTTTCCACTTTGGCTCATTTAGGCCGATCGTGGACAGGTTGCGTGGCGGCGGACCGACTGCTTGCTTCGCTTTGGGGAGTCTAGCTGTTACGGCTAGTGGCCCTGCTGGTCTTCCCGGTCCTGGTGTCTTGTCTTTCGCAGGCTTGTCCGACAATCCTGGAAAGCTGAAGGGCTTAGGTGTCGTTGGGCCCTTGAACTCAAATACAGGGGGAGGCCCATGAGGTTTCTCAGGAGACCGAGTGGTCGTGTATTCGGGTCCCCTCGTCGCAGTCTCGAATCCTGAGAGAGGTGTTTTGATAGTTGGGCGGATAACAGATGGCGAAATAGGGGAGATAGGGGTAGTTCGGCCAACAGGGGCAACGGGGGCAATGGAGGATGGGATAAGACGCTTCTTTAATCGAGACGGAGCTCCAAAGGGGCGGGGTGATGGAGGTGGTGTAAGTGGTGTAGGTGGACCTCTAAAGGGACGAGGTGGTCTCGTACTGCGGCTTCTCGCCTTTCCATGCTTCTTCGCCGAAGGCCGTTCTTTCGTCGACTTTCGCCTTGGAGGGCTGGCTGTAAGATCAATGAGTTCGACTCTTCTCTCGCGCAACTCGATTAGACCTTCTCCAGTTCCGCTTTTGGTGAGGTCAAGAATAGGGACGGACTTCTTAGGGGATAAGACGAGAAACTTCGTCTCGGGGCGTTTCACCCACGACTCGGGCGCTCCTGGATCAGTGAGGTCAATGAGAGGGACCTTCCCTGTCTCGTGCCGAGAGACATAATGTGTCTTTCCCTTCTTTGATGATGCCATCGAGTTCAATGCCTTTCGATTGAAGACTGAGTGCACTATTCTTTGACGTTAGAAGTGTCAAGAGCGAGGTCGGAAAGGACTGCGGGATGGGGCTTGTCTTAAATGAGAACTCGGTTTTTGCTGCCTTTTGAGAGCTGAAGATATATCAGTCCCACACAAACAACATGCCTCGAAGGTTTTTCGAGGACCCGAGGTGAGAAGAATGTCCTAGTTCTAATTATCACTATAAACAAAGCCTCGACAACCCGAAGAGGATCCATGCCACGGCCTGCCTGGCCATGCAGACAGCATCGGATGTGTCGAATACTGGCTCAGTCGTTCAATAGTTCTGACTGCTAGGCATGCATGACGAAAGAAAAGGAAGGATTTCGATTGTTGAGTTCTGCAAGTCCTTCTCGCCTGCTTGGTACTCCCACCACCGCATATCAGATCATCCAGTGGCGTGTCCAACAGATCGTCGCCCGTCCCAAGTTGGTCGGCAATAAGTTGCTTGGAGACCCCGGAGTATATGCTGGACGATACTATAGCGACTTCATTGACATAACTGAGAGCTCCAATCGGAATTCGAGTGCATTCATGTCGCCAGCTGACATTGGCACAGCCTGGAAGACGACGGCCGTGATGTATCCAGAACATTCGCGAATCATGCTCAGTATCGACTGCGCTCGGTACCAGCTGTCCACTCTCACGGTGTATAGTCGCGGAGCCTGAAATCTGGTAATAATCTCTCTCTTCCCGTCTCAACTTTCACACGTAAATGTAGTTGGGCTCCTATCTCTTTGGGCCCCTTCGTCTGCCATCAGTAAGATGTCCAGACATGGTGAGATCGACTTCTAGAGTATTCCATGGGTACTTCCATAGGTGGCTCAAAGCTACCCAAGAATGAACGAGGGCCATATGTGCCTGTAGTATCAACACTTGCAACTATGTCAACCAGTGTCCTCGCTGACTTTGTGTTTCCAACCCAGCAGATCAAGATGGTATCGGTGATGTGTAAACGATTCAGGCTCTGCCGAACCTCGAGCAAATTAACGAGGGGTTTTTTTTTTTTTTTTTTTTTTTTTTGGTTGGTGGCTCATGGCTAAACTTTAATCGTTTTCTCCCTCAACCTCAACGCCAATACAGCACCAGCGAAACCTTCGTCTTCATCCGATGAGTCACAAGAGCCTTATGAAAGGACGAATCCTCGCACGGGAATCTCGGGAAGATCTTCTCCACGAACCACACACAACCATCCCTTCCCAACGTCACCCAGAACATACCGCACGAATGATTCTGGTGACCAGGTCACACACACGCACGAGCCCTTCCACATTACCAGTCCCCCAACCCGCTCGAGACTATAGGCTAGCTGGGATATTGTGGTGACAATGGAGAAACATCCAGTAATTTCCCTCCTGAAGTCATGCATCCGAGTGGATTCCATCCTAATTTCGAGTTACAGTCGAAGCCACAACCGGCGGCACTTGCTCCTGTCGCGCAACGGAGTGGCGACACCCCGCAAGTGTTGAACGGCAGTAGGTGCCAAGGGGTATCACGTGTGATAACAGGATAAGGAGTGACCCACAACACAGGGATATCTAGGAGGAGAATCATGCACCGCGAAATCCTCCGAAGAACCAAGATTAAGACAGACGAGAATCGACCATACATTTTGCTACGTTACAGCAAGCGCAAATGGCACAGAACCCCGATCGCGGCCCAGCTGGGCAGAAAAAGGGCACGACAAAGCTGGAGAAGGCCGATCTCTTCAGAAATTTCTGCGAATGCTGTGGTGGTATCTCTTTAGTGTTGAGTGGCTGCTTAGGAGCCTTAGGAAGTTGAAGACGGTCTTTCGTACGGAACTACCCGCTTCGAGGCAACCAGCATATTATCATATCATTGCCAGGATAAGGCCTCCCAAGGGCGTCATAAATCTTAGATGGTATTTGCTCGCTATTAATGCATGGATTTCATATTGGGACAAAACTGCACCGGACAACTCCGACCTATTGGCAGGCTTAGGCGAGCTCATCGTGCAGAGTCTAATCGCAATGTTCTTCACTAGCCTTTGTATGCTTTGAGTGCAGAGACACACGTTGTTTGTCGATGAGTGGCCATTACAAAGGTAGCGTGGTGGCGTTGACGCAAATGTAGGGCAAGTCCCGAGACTCTATCCAGCTCAGTACGTCCCAGGAAGCTGACTCAGTCTTCCTCCGTCCGTCAGAAGTGTCTCTCCATTCAGATAACCACCAGCCCGACTAGCCATGAAGAGGATTGTGCCCGCAAAGTCCTCCTCGCTGCCAGTCCGCTCAGCCGGACTCCGCTCATGCGGCATCTCGTGGGCCCCTTCGTATGCGTTCTCGTGCCCCTCGACACCCTGATAACTCTTCAGCTGACTCGTCTGTCCCTCAGTCATCTCGCTGGGGTAGAGTCCTGGTGCGATAACACTGGCGCGGATGTTGAAGCTGTTCACGGAGAGGAAGGTCGACAGCATCTTGACGAGGTGCGTCGCCGCGGCCTTGGAAGTGGAGTAGGCGAAGCTCCCGGCTAGGTGTCGGCTGAAGCCTGCCACTGAGGATGTGACGATGATCTGCGATGTCTGCGGCACATTTCGCTGCTTGTTGCCGGCGTCGAGGAGGTCGAGAAACGCGACTGCGGTGTAGAATACGGCTGTGTTGTTCACGTGCAATGCCTGAGTGAACGACTCCATGTCCGGTTCGAACAGCTTCTGTTGGACCTCCTGAATCGAAGGCTTGCTTCCATCAGACTTGGTGAGGGCACCGGTATGCTTGGGCCCAGATACACCGGCGTTGGCGAACAGAAGATTGATGTAGCCCTGTTCGTTTCGCACTTGGTCGGCGACCTTCTGGAGGGAAGCCTTGTCGGTGACGTCGCCTACGATTGGCTTGATGGTGCCATTGACGGCAGTCTTCGCGGCGTCCTGCAAGGTCTGCTCTCTGCGACCGACGATGTAGACTGCCTTCGCCCCGTTGGCATCTAGAGCCCGAGCGGCGTAGAGGCCAAGCCCGCTGCCGCCGCCTGTGATGACGGCGACGAGGCCGTTCACGTTGAAGATGTCGCGTATCTTGTTCGCTGGTGCCATTTTGATGCCGTGTATTGAATTGAAGTAGCTCGAGTAGATCAAAGGGGTTCAACTCGAAATGGAGAAGTGATGCAGGTGTTGTTCGCAGAATGGTCTCTGCCAAACGGTATGACGACATCTTTCGCGGGGTTGCTCGCCCCATGGATTTCTTCGCATTGAGGTGGAGGTGCACGGAAGCAACCTTCCTCTCTTCTTGCCTTCCATTTTCTATCGTGCAAGGTTGAATACTGTAACATCACTCACTCAAGCGCTCACAACGCGTCAGTTGAGGTGTTCTTACCTTATTATTACGCAGCGACTCTCGCACTTTCATCCTCGAGAATGCCCACCAGTCTCCCCACACTGCCTTCAACGTCCATCCTCTCCTCGTGGGTGAAATCGGCCAACACGTGGGCCGAAACGTCGTCTTTCGCCCTGGTGCCGCCGCTAGGCCTACCAATACCAATACCGATCTTGACGAGCCTTCCTTCATTATCGCCATCGAGCAGTGTCTTCATGAGACCGGCAGACTGCAAGCTCTGCTGCACCGACTTGATCCCGTTATGGCCCTTGGCACTCATAAACCCGCGACGGACCTTGAGCTGACCTACTCCAGCTTCCATCTCATCGTGTAGCACCACCAACAGCGTCGATGCCTCTGAGGTCACTGTTGAGACGAAGTGCTTGTATGCTTTCAACACCGCGCTTCCCGAGACGTTCATGGAGGCTGGCGATTGCCAAAGAGTCAGCTCGGGTCGACCGACGTCTGCGCCGAGTGAAAGGAAGCCCCTAGCGTACGGCTTGGACCGTTTGAAAGAAGGTAAGCCGAGGTGGGATTGTAGGGCGTGGAGAAGAATGTGCCCTGCCGAATGCCTGCTGTTCTGGTATGGTGCTGGATTCCCAAGAGAGGCTATGAACAAGCGGACTGGGCTCGAAGGTTGGCTGAAAGGGCGCTCGGGGAGTGACCCTAGAAGCGGAGTGTCTATATGGTTGACCGGATTCGCCAGGGATGATGCCGCTGAAGTCACCGAATCTTCAATCGGCTCGTTCCTGACTTGATTGCAATGCTTATGATTCTCTGGCGTCGTCTTTGCAGCTGCAGAGTCTGGTTGTTTTACATCGGGCAACGCGGGTGACTCGGTGGCCTCGTTTTGGCGTGCCTTTGCTTTTTTTTGACGCCGTGATGCTTTGGTGTTCGCCATCCTGTAGGTATGTGTTTGTATAGGGCTTGGTGTCTGTATGGAGCTTGGTGTTTGGATAAGGCTTGGTGTTTGTATGGGATTGTTGGTGTGGGTGTGTGGATTGTTGGTATTCGATTCACGTGTGACGATACGTCTTCATATATGGCTCTCGTGACTCATCGGAGAAAGATGAAGGTTTCACTGGAGCCTTATTGAGCAGTGGCGTTGAGGTTGAGGGAGAAGATTGATAGGGTTCAGCCATGAACCACCAAATATATATACATATAAACTCGTCAATTTGCTCAAAGTTACAGCAGAGCCTGAATTGATTTTCAGGTTGTTACCATCTCTCAATCTGCTGGGTTGGGAACACGAAGACTATTGGTGATCGATGATGTGGAATGGGAGTAAGCGGCATAATGGTATACTGTTAGGGCTGCATGCCGGGGGTCGTGCTGTTTGGACACAATTTTATTTCCTTTGTTAACCGCTTTTCATTCATTTAGTAATCCATTCATTCGTGTTGTTACTCATGCCTCTCTTTCTACCTTTGAGTCACTCCGGTGAAGCCAGCGGCGCAGCTAGGGGGCTGAGCCCAGATATGTGAGTAAGCAGCACATGTATATACATGCATGACTGAATGCTGAATGGACGCGAACGGGAAGGCGGCGTCGGCGACCCCTGATGCTCATTTTTCTTCTCCTGCTTCGATTCATGTAATATAAACAATTTGAGCAACTGACTCGACATCCGCTCGCGGTTTCGGCGATGGTGTTTGCCGGAATGATCTGCAGTGTCCCCACACAGGGCGGCCCGGGCCGAACCAAAGCAAACTGGACAGTGGACGGCTGCGCCGCGGGGCTGCAACAACTATCCAACCTCAACAACACATTGCACAATCTCAACTACGCCACTTCAGCCACGACACTCTCTCAATATTGCCTCGGGTAGGCGTGAAATCGATTGTAGACGAATTCCCCCCGTTGGCCCGAGGACAAGACTAAGAATGGCCTCCTCCGCCGTCAAACGCTTCAGCCTCGTTTTCTACGCACCGCCGTCAGCAATCCAAGCCTGCAAAGCTGCCATTTTCAAAGCCGGAGCAGGACGATATCCCGGCGCCGGAAACTACACCGAGTGCTGCTGGTCCACCACCGGCACTGGCCAGTTTCGGCCTGGAGACTCTGCCAACCCACGCATCGGAAAGGTCGGCGAGTTGGAGGACTTCTGAGAGAGGGACCGGATGGCAGATCGCAGTTGCTGAGTCGACATCCTGGAAAACCAGAGATCAGACCCTAAACCGCTAGAATACTACCTCAGAAGAGGGTAGTGAAAGCGATTTCATACAAAGAGACCAAGTCCCTTACTGGGCTAGTTACATGGAGACTCAAGCAACTCTTGGCCTACATGATGGCCGCATCGCATGTTGCTGCCGTTCATTACGAGATTTTACAAGGCGTGATTGTGGTATACGGAAGCCGGAGTGCGAACACTTGCATAACAGGCCTTCATTTCCTAGTAGACATAGTCATCAAGTCGGTCAAAGGAAAAGCGTAAAGTTGAAAATCATACCTAGACCGTACCGCTAAAGAGAAACCAAACCAGAAACCAAACCATAAATCAAAAACAAACGCCTAGTTAAAACATGAAAGAGTGACCCAAATTACCTCCTATCCTGCCAGAGTACCCCGAGCATCCCCCGAGCCCCGTCTACCTTCTTGCCGAAAAAATGCCATGTTCAGGCAGTCTATTTACTCTTCTTTTAGCGCGGCGTCGAATAGCACGAGTAATTCTTTACTTTTCTTGATAATGCCAGGAAATAGCTCCCCCTTCTCTTTCAGGACATCCCATTCCTGTCCGAACTGGTATACATGTGTGGCTCGTACCGCGACCAGCTTGTCCTCGGGCGCTGAAACTCTTCCAAGTTTCAAGGTATGTTCGAATTGTTCGGTGTATCGGCAGCAAGCGCATTTCTTTATTTTTTCGTTGACAGCAAGGGCGGGGTTTTCAGAAGCGGGCGTGGTCCTGAAGTCGGAGCATTTCTCCCCTTGCCAACACTCTTGAAACATCCCCTGTCTTGGTGTATGTAATGGTTGCCACCACCCAAGTTCATGTCTTTCCACTCGGGAGGATGACCGCATGCCATCTTGATGGTCCTAATTACACACATAGTGACGGCGTGCGCGGTTTCGTACGTAGGGTCCAATGCGCCAACCCCGCGTATGAGAGAGCGAGAGAGCGAGAGAGCGAGAGAGAGAGAGAGAGCGAGACAGAGAGAGCGTTCTTCAAGATCGCAACCGCAGTCGTGAAAGAGAGGGTGCAGAGCCCTCTCTCCTCTCGCGCGGTCATCATCTTATACTGCATGACCAGGACCATCCTGAACGTCTCCTGGGGCCATGAACAAAGAATCAACGTAGACCAACAATCAGTTGGACACGAATGCAGCGATATGGCGAGGGGAACATAAGGTTCAAAACGCGTTGGCAATGAAGGGTCGTGCCCGGCTGAAAGGGAAGAGTACGTCGATAGACATATATCATGCTGTTGGAATCGACTGAGCCACCGGGCCACAAATGGCCATGACAAAGTTCACATATGTTGGGTATCATAAGTACCGATCCGGTGCTGTAGGTGATCATCAGGTAGAAAATCCAAACCAACAGCCGTCACATGCCGTAGAATATGTGTACACAAAGCGCCCAATACTCGTGATATCAACCAACTGCCAGTTGGTTGAGATGTGCTCCACTATGTTAGATATGTGAACCGGTCCCATGGGAGTGGCTTGCCAGGATAATCGGCCAACGGAGCAGGGAGCCTGAGGTGTGGACCCGGAACAAGACAGGACAAGCAGGACCAACCCGACGCGCCGGATCTGGAACGAGTCGTAGGGGTTTGTACCTATTCAAGAGGCAGCATGGTAGGAATGTGGTGGGCGTACCCCGCTAAGAGACGTCGTCTCTTAAGGAGGAACTCTAGACCAAAAGACATAGGATATACGAGACCCAAAGACCCTGCGAACCTAACAGACCTCCGCCAGCCCAGCAGATATAATCACAAAGGGTTTGCTTCAACTGGCCACCACATTTTCAGGTTGATTGGTCGCCCACATTCGGATCGTCCATCTTCGCAAGTGACAACTCTACATGCTATTCACACGTTCAAGCACATATTTCCCCCTACCAACTAACCTAATAATGGAGTCCCTCAGCGTCGCATGCTTGCAACACGAGGTTAAATTGGCATGAAAGGATACTAAAGTCAATATACAATAATCCTATCCAGCTTGTTTGCAGGTACGCGATCAGGCTGCTATCATAGAAAAACAGAAGGGCCGAGCATAGGACAAGAACATATTCATTCAGGTGTATATTAACAAGATTCGTAACTCTTCAATCCAGCTCTACAATTGACATCTTGTCAGGACCAGGCTAGGTCTATTCTTGTCGGCAACAAAGGGCACGACGACTAGTATGCCTTTCCAGCACACTGCTCAACGATACGCTCAAGGCCTCCCCGGGAGTGGTCTGGGCCCGACGATTTGTCTCCTGCCGGCACCGATACCCGAAGAACCGTTATTCTGGCTATCGCCGCCGGTGTAGCCGCTCCACTGCCCGACATCCCAACGTCCTCCGACCCCACCACCAATACCATCAACACCATCGCCAGTCCTGGCCGCCTTGGCTGTCTCCTTTTGAGACTCCTCCCATTCGCGTTGCCGTTGGCGCTCCATTTCCATCTCACGCTCCAGCAAGGACTTGCCAGCAAAGCCGCCCGCCTTGGTCTTAGTTTGGAACTGTGCCCGGCGTCTGTCCTCTTCGTCACGCTCCGCTGTGGCGTCGAGTTCGCGCGAGTAGGTCTGTTGCGGGGGGGGCTGAACAGGTGCTGGGTTGGACGCCAAGTACCGATCCGTTCGGTTGGCATTGGGTTTTGCAGACGGTATGGGCAGAGGCCGTGGGGAGCCGGTGCCGAAGCCACTTGGCACCTGGTTTCTAGCTCGGTCCGGTACGGGAAGGGGTCTACCCTCACCAGTCCGGTGGGGTTTCACTGGCGCCATCTCACCTGTCCGGTTTGTCTTGACTGGTGCAGCTGTGGGCACAGGAAGAGGGCGCGGCGGTGGCGGGGGAGCCGTCTCTTGGTGCTGATCCCGCGACGTACGTAGAACCTCTCGCTCATCTCGTGACCAAGAGTCCTGGCGGCTGGGCTCCCTTGCCGGCATGCCCGGACGGGTACGAGAAAGGGCTCGATGCTTAGACGCTTCTCGTTTCTGCGACCGCCTTTGTCGCTCTTCCTCGTATTGTTGTTCGCGCTGGCGGGCCAATTCCAACTCCTTTTCCAATTGCTTGATGCGGTCGCTGTAATCGTCGTCGCCGGTCTTCTGGGTCCTTGAGTTCTGCTCGGCCTGATACTGACTGAGGAATTGCCCTTGTAGGCGGCCGTCGTTCTGATTTTGAGTACGATGGCGTTCGCCTGCCAACTTGGCCTCGGCTTCCTCTTCCTCCTTTCGTCGTTTTTCTTCAGTCAGCTTCCATTGGCGTTCTTCCTCTTCCCACCGCCGTTTCTCGTCTTCGGCTTGGCGCTTCTCATCTGCCCGCTGCCGCCTGGTCTCCTCTTCCCATCTACGCTCTTCCTCTAACCGAGCGCGTTCTTCTTGTGCTTCGAGTTCGGACTGGCGCACGCGTCCCTCTTCCTCTATCTGATGTTTCTGGCGTTCAGCTTCGGCAGTCAGTTCCTTACGCCTGCGTTCCTTCTCAGCCATGTTTGGGACATTGGGACTAGCACTAGTGATCTGCCGCCGCCCTCCAAAGGCAATTCCCAGGTTACCCTGGCTTGCGCCACCCATATAGCCGTACTGGGCTATGTTCCAGGCTGGATTGGTAACACCCTCGTGGTCCCTCTTGCTCCAACTTGATACACTGCCGGGTGATCCAACCCGCTCCCCAGTAGGGCTCTTAGTAGAACTCCAGCGACCAGAACCCGAGTCACCGGTTTTGGCAGCCGCCAAGCCAGGACGGGACCCATATACGGATGATGTAGCGCTGACATTGGACATGCCGCGATTTCTAGGCGTGGCCGGTCCAGTGCTTTGCGGGCTTAGCACACCACCACCGCGTGGCCTCGAACCAATTGCTGTTGGGAAGGCAGAGGGGTTGATGTTGTGGGCGGCTCGGGAGAATGCGCCGAGGCACTGGAGGACCTGGGCGGGGTCCTTCTGCTCATATAGGTCGACGGTGAGGAACATGTCGTGTTCTTGTAGGTTGAGAGGGGGTGACTGGCAGGCGCGGAGGAAGTGCGAGATATTTTCCATTTGGACAAAGGGCATGGCGGATTTCTTGAACTTGATACCGGGCGGGCCGATGGCCATGTTGATCAGTCTGTCACAAAAGCAGTCAGCAAGAGAGGTGGGCGAATGGCTGTCAACGAGAGGTCGCACGTACTTGCAAAGCGCCAGGCCATCTTTCAGTCCTTCCAGGAGATCATTCGATGGTAATCGTTCGCCCAAGACGGCTTCGACCCAAGACCGGGCTTCGTTTGCGGCGCCAGGGGTATATTTGTCGAGGCGCATCTTGCGCAAGTCCTTATCTAGAGACGAAACAGACGCCATGACTGCGGGACGGGTATTCAGTAGACACCAAGATATGTTCTTATGCGGGTGGTGCCTTCTTGAAGAAATCGAAACGATGGTAGCCGGAAAGCATCTGTCCAGATCTTGTATGACACGGTGCTGTAGATACCTTCCCTATGTCTGCTGAAGCGCAGGGCTCGCAGGAATGTTGGTGGTATGAGGTTCGACGTCACTGGTGACACAGATCGCTCGATTTAGTGATGATATTGGATGCTCGGGGAGTCCGGACTGCGTAGAGATGACTGGCAATAACACTATTGCCAGCAAGACCCATGGATGTCGCAACGAGATGGATGTAGGTAGTCGAGTGGCATGTATAACAATTGCGCCAGTCCAGGATCCAATGTAAACACTGACGACGTTGAGGTACGATTGCAACCCGAGAAGTTGATGGCAGGGCTGACCTCCCCCACCATTGCCCACTGTGGAAATGAGACTGACGTTAGGCGCGCCGTTAGGCTGGAATAGGTAGGTAGGGTGGCTTGAGCACCTAATGGACCGTGCATCACAGCTAACGATAGTGTAAGAGATGTGGCGCAGGTATTTAACATCCTGGTAGATCATTGATTGAACTGTGGCCGTGCAAACTCCAGTCAAGGTACATTTCTGACATGCATGTCCATCACTTGACGATCCCAGATTGTCCAACTACCATACACAACCATGTCGGGCAAGCAAATAGGTCCAGTCCTGAAGGCCTGGTACCAATGGAAAGCCCTGAGGTTACCGTGGAGGAAACGGTTCCTCGTCGGTACGTCCAGTCCAGGCGCATGCCTTCCCGTCTTACATGGCAATGGCAGCCCGTCTAACACGCAACCCACCCGCAGGACTCGACCTGCAAGGCAACACATACTGGGAGTTCAAACTCCAAAGAGGCGACGACACATCAGGACGCTTCCGGCGCATAGTCAACTACTCGCGATCGACACACTACAGCGAAGTCAAGGTCCCGCCGCAGTGGCACCAGTGGCTGCGATACCAGCGCGAGCGCCCGCCCAGCCTACAGGAGCAGTCGGCCGACGTGATGAGACAGGAGCGCATGAAGGTCCTCGTTGCCGAAGCCGACGCGAGATGGGACGCAAAGCCCAGCTTGATAGATATGCCGGGCAAAGAGAAGGGACAGCCAGTGCCGCCGCTTAATACAGGGAAGACACAACCACAGGAGCAGGCTGCGCGGGCTGGGGGTCGGGAACAAGAGGTGCAAGACGCTGTGAAGCCGAAAGAAAACCCCTGGAAGCGTGCAAGAGGTGGGCCAAACGAGACATGGCAGCCGGCGCCATGGACGCCGACCTCAGCAAGGAAGAGAGAGGTAAGGGGCAAATTGTCATGATATTCTTGCTTTTGCAAACTGTACAATCACCCTTGTACTACCAGCACTGTATGTACCACAAGACGTGAGACGACACGCATGATACCATGGAGAAAAGAGGGACAGAACGCTCCACACTGTTGTTTTCCCCCATGATTCATGATGTCTCTCATGAGTGAACCCAAGCATGAATTCCATTAGCCCCTTTCATGGCTTTGTTGTGCCTCTTGGTCCAACCTAGGTGGCCTTTCATTCCAACAAGCACCCTACAAAAGGGTCTACTTTTTCTTCGTGCAGGTAGGACAGAACCATGTGCCCTTGGGCGCTGATGTGAGATTAACACATTTCCAGTGAAACCACTCGTGAGGGCAGGTAGGATTATCACAAGCAACCATATTGCCAAATGACTCCCGTCGGCATACGCAGTATCTCGGCCCCACCACGCTTTCCTCCTCTCCCAAGTCGTCCACGGCGGTCATGAAAGACAGTTCCATATCTTCTGATGATTCTTGTAAGCAAGCATTCTATGGCTGTCGCAACAACACATAGCATTTTCACCAACCTTCCTCGTCCTCATCCTCGTCCTCGTCTTCTCTTTCGTCTTCGTCTGCGTCCATACCGTCCTCTAAGTCCGTGGAAGCATCCCGCAACAGCTCTGCAAGAATCACCAGCCTCTCACTTGACATGTCCAGAACAGCTCTGGCTTCCATATCAGGATCGTCAGTATTACCACGGCCGCGAGTCTTTTTCTTCTTGATCTTGGCATTTCGAGCCTCAATGCCACGCCCCACGGCAGACAAGAGATCCTGGCTGAAGTCTTCGGTCCCGTCAAGCCAAACGATGTGCATCAACTGCTCGAGTAGTACGGACACCTTTGCATTGTCCTCTGCCGTGATAGTGTTTGCCGAGTAAGGGAGGAAGCAGTGCTCCAGAATCGCGGGTGAGATACCCCCATCATCATGCCTTCCGCGGTCCACTTTGGCGGGAGACAAGGCACTGGAGGGCATCAGTAGTGATAGAATGCCTTGGAGGGCTGATATTTGCTGGCTCCTTAGCAGCTGAGACGTGGTGCTGGTAACGAAAGCTGTGAAAATGGGTAAAGGCAGACTCTTTGTTGTTGCTTCGAAACTCTCATAGAGATCTGACACATCCAGGGGAGAGTCGGGAAGGTGGTAGCAAAGGTATGAAAGCTGTGTTATCAGTCAGCTAGGAGCCACACAGGTGGCCTGTTTTTCTGAGATCCAGATGCTTACCGTGGAGAACAGGCGTTGACGTAGCGGGATAGATTCGACATAGGTTGACTCGAGGGCCTGGAATTCGTGCTTGTCCACGCTTCCCGAATTCGTTCTTCGCTTCTGCGGCGTTGGCGGTTCCGAAGCCTGGGACGAATATACCGAGTCATTGTCAAGCCACCCTCCAAATTCGCCCTTGTCGATGTTGACCTTTTCCCGCTTCCTCTTGTTCATAGCATTGTGCGACTTCTCCTTATGCTCCTTGACCCAGACTTCCTGGAATAGAGAGGTGGCGGGCTTACTTCCATCGGCAAAGATGGCCTTCATGATCCGCTTGATACCGCCAGCTGTGCGCCCAGAACACTGACTGACGTAGCTTGCGAGGATTGATTGGCCAAGTTCGGGCATGTCGTCGCGCCCGCTCTGGGAATCCAGCTCGTATCTCTCCTCCAGATCCTTGTCTAGCACGTCGAGCATAAACTCGAGCCAGGGCTTCCAGTAACGCCATCGATTCGGGTACAAAACGCTGCAATTGAAGACCCAGCCGACCACAGTGAAGAAGTCCTGCCCGCGCTTCCATACACTAGCCTCGGCGTATCTACCGGCCAGTTGTACTTCGCCGCGCTCATCGCGGTCCTTGTCGTTGGCATCGGGTTCAGAGTCCGAGTCGGGAGTGCCGCCGCGGGATGATGAGGACGAGGCATGACTGAAACGGGTGGATTCCTTGAACCCGGCTTGGACAGGACCGAAGACAGCAAGTGTGGTGCGCAGGTAGGCTAGGGACTCGATTGCAGCCTCGGGCCATTCTGGTTCTTTCGGTCTCGTTGTGAAGTCGGGATGGACAACGAGCCCAAGTAGCAAGGATAGCTGGCTGGGAGGTGGGCAGTAGGCGGGCGCTCGATGGTCGGTCCGTCGCGAGGTGAGCAGGCTGCCCAAGAGGTGTATGGTTTGCTGATCTGTGCCACGGTCAGATGGTGCGCCAGCAGCCAGCAATGCCCAATGCCCGTCAGACAGCACATGACATACGCAGGTTCTCTTCCAGGTAGACGCGGCAGTGCTCCTTGAGCTCGGGTGGCAGGCGCCTGGCCTTCTGGTACTGGTCCAGCAAGCCTGAGCTCGCCCCGACGTCACCACCTGCAGGGCTGCTGATGTCGGTCACGGTGCCATCCCGGCGGTTCGGCGGGGTTGCGGTCGCGGTCGCGGTGACAAAAGATGTGGGCGACGACAGAGGTGACGAAGTCGGTATGGGGGCTGAGCTAGGAGGTGGCATCTCGATCGGGACTGTAGGTGCGGTCTGACGCGTCCAGAAGTTGAAGACGCGTGAAGGCATTCTTGTGGCTCCTCAACCCATTTTCCAGCCACAATGACGGATGGGTCACGGACCAGGATACAAGGTACCTTGGAGCCCAACGGGTACCCGTTTGTACCTGTTTTGTACCCAACTGGGATGATAGCTACTTCTGGGATGGGGACACCACCCATCCCTTCTTTCAATCAAGCAACTTCCAGAATACAGACCAATAGCCACCTATCGTGACCCTGGTCCTTATTCTGGATACCGCTACCACAAGGCACATTCTTGGGAGGTGATTTATTAAAGTGGATGGGTGATACCCGACCGTTGGACCTGCCTACTATAGTACTGTACTAGTCAAGGTTAACGCGGGGCGCGGATCCAGACTTCCAGTGCGGGGCTTGTCAGGTCAGGGGCCAGGGTCACGGGTCAGGGGTCAGGGGCTTCAGCAGTCCAGTCGCTTTTGGCTTTATCGGCACCCATTGGCCAATCACGTCAATCATCAGACTGTCACTCTGCTCGCACTTATACAGAAGACTCGCATTACATACCGAGGTCGTTGCACGAGGCATAATTGAAGGGACCTATGAATGGTTGCAAATGCAAATGTCTTGTATTGGCTAAGAAACATGCCTAAGGTAACTATAAACATTAAAACAGGGCTAAACAACAAGGTCCAGTAGACTCAAGCTCCAACTTAACCCCCTCTTTCTTGTCTTTCTTGTCTTTCTCGTCTCCTCCGACTCCAACTTCACATCACCCACTTACCACGCCTACCATGCTCAAGGTAGGATTCCCGCGTCCATACCTTCCTGACCAGGCCCGTAACCCACGGGATGCATCTCTATCCAGTAGCCAGGGTTGCCATTGGCATTCGCGGCTTGGTTGTTGACTGCGGCTTGGTTGTGGTTCGGGAATTGGTTGTTCACGTAATTGAGGTTCGGGTTCGGGTTCGGGTTCGGGTTCGGGGCAGATGCGAGGACCATGGCAAATCCTTCGAGAACTTTCTTAAGACCTGACGCACACCATGTCAGCAGGGTGAGGAAAGAGCCCACCGAAGCGACCACAATGTAGTAAATGGCCATCGCCTTAGCTACCCAAGCAAGCGGGCAGTCGAGAGCCCTGAGCGAATCTGACATGACCCAAAAGGCGTAGGCCTGGTAACCATAATTGGCCTGCTGGCACAACCCTATCAGGATCGAACACGGTATTCCATCGGTCATCGTGAGAAATGTGGACCAGTCAATCTCTTGGCGGGCGAAGGTGATAACAGCCACAATGAAGTTGCCGATGAAGCTGGCGAGGACGACAGCAAGGTTGAGGAAGGTGATTCCGATGATGGCCTGCATGCTGGGCTTGTCGATGTGCTTCTCATGCTCGGACAACCAAGGGTTGACATGGCCAAAGAGATGATGATGATGATTGATGATTGTATTTAACGTGGGGGATCGCTCCTCAGTAGTGCAAACCACGCCTCCCAGAGCCTCTGCATCGCAGGGTTGTGGAGGTCTCAAGATAATAAGTACAGTCAGTCCCGCTCACGAGCCCATTCCCGTTGTTGCGGCGGTATGACCTTGGGGTCATCCATCTGGTCCTCTAAGAACAGCTATCTATTGGGGACAGATTGATGAAAAGAACTTGCTCTTTTCAATAAATCTTGCCCATTCCGTGTTCCTCTCCCCCAAGTATTATAAACAGGCTGTCCTAAGCAAGTACCTGGACAGTAGTCAGTTTTACCCAAGCCTTTTATAAAAGAAAATATATTATGGTGTTTTTTTTTTTACCGCAATTACAGTGATCATTCCAGTCTGTATGCCCAAAGCGTTCGTGGTATCTGGCAAAGTCACCATGTCCAGATCTGGCCGCTAGAAGTCTATATAAAGTACTCCTTTTAAAAGATATAAGGTCCCTTTTAGTTACTGTATGTAAGTATACTTCTTGATACCTAGGTTCTGATTGGTCTTTCTATCATTGATTAGATTCTTTCTTGCCCTTCTTTTTAATATCTCTTTCTACTCAAGAGATTGTGGAAAGGTTCGTCGCGTCTGTTTCTAGCATAGCACCCTCTTTTGTTAATGTGTCAGCAGCTTTTTTACTATTAATATCTCTGTGTCCAGGAATCTATTTGACAATCACTCTAGGAGTGTATGCTATGACGAGTTCTTAAAATTATAGAAAAATGATCTGTGATATCTCAGGTAGAGTCCTATTGAGCCTATCTATCACTGACGTGTTGTCCAGATAGACATATAGCCGTTTTCCACGTCCAATTGCCCTGGCTGCTGCAAGACTTTGGAGAGCGCCATGGACTTCAGTATCTATCACTTCTGCTTGTAGAAGTCTGCCCTTTTCCTAATATATTTCTTGTGTAGTGCCGCCTTTCCTGATAGTATAACCCCATCCAGTACGGGTTGTGCCTTGGTCGTCCAACTGTGATCCATCCGAATAGATGACAAGGTCAGTGTTCACGTTTCTCCCCCATAGCCATTGCTTGAAGAGCTCTGTTTCTTTGTTTTTGTCCTTGTGGGCTGGGGGCTTTTTCCATGATGGCTTGGTGAGTATTGGCCTTTGGAAGTCAGGGACTAGCTGGAAGCTCCTTTGTAGCCTTGTTGGTTCCTTGCGAACTTGTATTTAGAGCCTGCCAATAAGAGGGTGTTTCTAGTCTATTCGTCCGAGTCGGAGGCCATAATGTCGTCTTATTGACTTAGTGAGAACTCCTGCTGGGGGAATCTGTGATTCAAAGTGTAGGATATGTCCAGTGTGTGTTTTCTAGACCGGTAAGATAGCCCTAATTGCCATTCGTTGTGACGGCCTGCACAGACCTTCCCACATGACAAGCGGATACTTCCCAATAGGGGAAAGATCTGACCAGAGGATCCCCTTAAAGGGGCAACCTCCCACTGTACCTATCTCTCTCTCTCTCTTCCCTGCCTCTCTAGTCTTGATATTCTCGTCAATAGAGTAATAGCTGCTTGCTGCCGGCCATGTCCCAGCTCCTCAGTACGCTCGCCGTGACAACCGGGGAATATATATCATAATTTGGGTGTGTCTTCACTCCCATTCTCCTGCCTGGTGGTATGCCAACCCAGGGCTCTTGCATCAGAATGATGTCTGCTTGTTCTCTTTTGTAGTCAGCCAGGTTGATGCTAACTCTGTAGGGCCTGTACTTTTTTGTCCTCTTGCTGTATTCACAGAATGGACGACCAGATGCCCTTGTCGATATGTTTCGTTTGATGTACCTAGCATTGACGGACAACAATGGTGTCGGCATCTCTAGAATGAGCTGTATTTGTTGTGTCAATTTGTGTCACGGCAAGCGTACTGAGGAGCTGGGACATGGCCGGCAGCAAGCAGCTATTACTCTATTGACGAGAATATCAAGACTAGAGAGGAAAGGAAGAGAGAGAGAGATAGGTACAGTGGGAGGTTGCCCCTTTAAGGGGATCCTCTGGTCAGATCTTTCCCCTATTGGGAAGTATCCGCTTGTCATGTGGGAAGGTCTGTGCAGGCCGTCACAATTTGCATTGTAGTGTCTTTGTTATTGTTGCTAGGCGATGACCCAGCTTCGTTTCTGCCTGCTTTATTAAAGGCCCTGGATCTGGCTCTTTCTCTGGCCAGCCTTATTTCCTGGATTTGCTCCCATGTGTGCTTATAGATGATACCTTTCATAACCTTGGGGCGTGCAGGGCATTTGTCAAAGTCAGCAGCATGAGGCCCCTTGCAGTTGATGTATTTTGGGAATGATTTTTTGCAATCCCCCTGGTGTACTGCGCTGGCACAACGTGCATATACTTGCTTTTCACATCGGTAGTTCCTACCATGGTATCTGAAGCAGCTCGCACACTGGTGAACCTTAGAGGAGTATTAAATGTGCCTCGAGATCATTGAGTGAGCAAAAAGCGTGAATGGTTTTTTTACTGCACGGGGCAGAGAGATCACCCATGTGGTCTCCGGATCAGAATCAACTTTGTTCCTTGAGAGTATGCACTTTAAAGGTCTGTCGCCTGTTTGGGCTTCAACCTCGTCAGTAACAGCAGTGTCGGTAATATCGATTATAAACCCTTCTGCACTGATGACCTTCCTTGGGCATCCATCAATCTTGTAATGATGCCAGACTGTGTGGGTTTTGATCTTTTGTGCCTTAAGAATACTGGCGATCTCTTCTTGGAAGGCCAGAAGCTTAGCCTGAGTTGGCTTGTCTCTTAGGTGTAAGGTAAATCTGGAGCGGCACTGCGTCACCTCTCTAAGCTCCTTGAGATGGAGCTTAAGTCTTCTGTTCAGTATAAACTTTATTCCGTAAGGCTCTAGGTGGCTATTATCCATGCGGACAAAGACCCGGAGATTATCTTGTTTCTTTTTCAGTTAATTAGCAGCAGTAAGGGTGCCAGGCTGTGTTTTCTTTATACTAGTGTTGACTATCAGTGATTGCTGTTGGTGGTTAGAAGAGACAGCTTGCGCGAAAGTCATGGTGGGCTTCCCCATCACCATCCCCCCGGAAGTGGCCTTCCTTATGGTTAAATCTCGGGTTTCCAGCCACTCGCTCAGGCATTTAAAAAAAAAGGCGCTGAACTCCTTGGTATGTGAGTATAATTCGGTTCCAGCTTTCTCAAGTGTCTTGTCAACTGCTGCAGCACACTCTTGAAATATTGTTATCTTGGCTTCATAAAGGTACCTGTCTTTATCCAGTATTTTTGCAACTTGGTCCTAGTGTCATGGTCTGGTATAGGTAGCCCATGTGTGAGTCCTGGAGCCCGGACATGAGTACATGTACCACCATTGAATGTCAAGCTGCCATGCTTGATATCCGACATCCTTTTGGGAGGAACAGCTGTGGCATAGTGGTTATAGTGAGCGTTCCGTCACACCTAGCACTCTAAGGAGGAGGCTTTACTCTCTGCATTGCGTTTAATGGTTTGGTCTGTAGAGATTTCGTTTAATTGAGGTTGTTTCATTCTAATGGTGCTGCTGTCATTGATATTTTGGGATTTTCTTTTCAGAAGGGAAATAACGGTAAAGTCAGCCTCGGAGACCTGTGACAGGCTGCTGCTGATGTTGTCAAGCAACGCCTGGCAGAGCCTGCTCGGAGTTGCCGGGCCGTATGTCTTTCTAGGGGCCGGGGATTTGAGCATGCCGACAGTGGTCGTCTTCGGGACGGCCATGGGCGTGATTGGGAGCCCGTCATGGAAGGGTGCCATCCGGCTTGCGAGAAAAATTCTCTTGTGTCTTGGCAAGGATAGTCAGTTACTGAGAGAAGTGCCTGCTTTAGCGCAGATATTGAGGTTGCGCCCTAACAGCGTGGCGCCAAGAAAAATAGTTGTTTTTACGATGATTGTGTACCCGCTGACTACTGTGATGGTCTGACCTCCCATCAGGTCTGACATCCCATCTGCAGTGGTCAGTGCACTGCATCAAGTTACCTGGCGCAATAGACGTGTGGCTCCGACTGCCACTGGATTGGGTAATTGTGGGTCGGACTGAAAGATCTTCTAGCCCACCAGAATTGGCTGGTGGACCAGATCTTTCTTTCCTTCTTCACCGAGAGATTATTACACGTACATAATAAAAGCAGGACTTTTACGCACACTTCACATCTACGCTTCGTGACATCTCCAAGGTCTTGCATTAGCCAGAGCAAATGGACACAGAAAACGGCTATATGTCTACCTGGACAACACATCAGTGGTAGATGGGCTCAATGGGACCCCACCCGAGACATCACAGAACATTTTTCTATGATTCCAAGAACTTGCCACAGCACACACTCCTGGAGTGACCGTCAAGTGGATTCCTGGACACAGAGATATTAATGGCAACAAAGCTGCTGACACACTAGCAAAAGAGGGTGCCATGCTAGAAACAGACACAACAAACCTTCCTACAATCTCTTGCGTTAAGAGAGATCTCAAAAGAAAGGGCAAGAAAGAATTCAATTAATAGTGGGAGCCCAATCAGAACCTAAGTATCAAGAAGTATACTTATATGCAGTAACTAAAAGGGACTTTATATCTTTTGAAAGGAGTACTCTATACAGACTTTTAGCGGCCAGATCTGGACATAGCGACTTTGTTAGATATCACGAACATTTTGGGCATACAGACTTGAATGTTCACTGCAGTTGCGGTGAGAAAAAAACACTATAACACATTTTCTTTTGTAAGAGGCTTGAGAAAAACCGACTACTGCCCAGGTACTTACCTAGGACAGCCTGTTTACAATACTTAAGGAAGAGGAGCACAGAATGGGCAAAATTCGTGGAGAAGAGCAAGTTCTTTTCAATAATCTGTCCCTAATAGATAGCTGTTCTTGAAGGACCAGATGGATGACCCCAAGGTCATACCACCGCAACAACGGGGATGGGCCCGTGAGCGGGACTGACTGTACTTATTATCTTGAGACCTCTACAACCCTGCGATGTAGAGGCTCTGGGAGGCGTGGTTTGCACTACTGAGGAGCAACCCCCCACGTTAAATACAAAACAAACAAACAAAACAGTAGTCAGCGGGTATGTAATGGGGTTTGATGTAGGCTTGATGACGGTTTACAATTGCGAAATGTTAATGATGTTGATGATGTTGATGTGAGTAGATGGGTCTTCTTAGAAACTCTAGATACGATCTAGGAAGCGAGCTAGAGATACCCTATATATAATAGCTCGAGGACATCCCTATCTTGCTGAGACATACACATGACATTGTGCTTGTGTCAATATAAACAATGAGCCTCTTAGTTTCAAATGGCTTTGATGGTTACAAGCCTTCATTGTTGACCTTGACGCACAACCGTCCTGATAAGAAAGCAACAAGCCGTCTGTGTTATTGAATGACATATCTAAAATCAAACAATACACAGTTCTTCTTCTTACAATGCGGATATCTTGATAGGATTTGTTCGACACTCAGGACAATAATGCGTTTGGAGATGTTGCCCAGAGAATGGTAAAGTTACCGCCCGCTAAAAACCAAATTCAGTGAAAGGAAACGGGCTCAAAGATGCACAGGCGACTACCTACTCGTACAACTAATATATAATTCGAGACTCGTCGGCTACGAGTCCCAAGTCTTTTGCTCACTATTCACCATCAACCAATCTTTCAACACACATCCAAGTTTGGAGAACTGTGCTCTTGGAAAGCAACATCGCTCAACAAAAACTTACCTATACATTAGCAACTCGACGTCATCTCTTCTGTCAGGGACTCCTTCTCGATTCTCGAAACTAAATCGAAACCCTACACACAACTGAACTTAGACTCGCAAGCAGAGTTCTGCACCCTCAAGCAAAATGGACCAAGCACTTGTAACAGTCACTCAGGAGTGCACCAATTGCAGACAACGGCAGCCCGCAAGTCAGTTCCTCAGACTAAATGCCGCCAGTGCCAGCAGCCGTAGAACGCTGAAATGCTTGACGTGCCGGTACCCGAATGGTGTCCCTGCTGCTGCAAAGCGCCGGGGGACTCCGGCTGCCGCACCTGTCGAGCCTATTGTCCAACCCATTGTTCAGCCTCAGCCTCTCGGTCAGCCTCTGCCTGCCGCCCCGGGTGCGTTCCCATATTGGCAGAACTCGCAGCCGGCGTTTACGCAAGTCCCGCTCCAGCAGTCCCCGTTCACGCAAGTCCCTTCCCAGTACCAAGAGTATCTGCAAGGCCGGCAGCAAGGCTTCATACAGGCCCAGCAGCAAGGCTTTCCGCCCATGCAGACTTTCCAGCCCAACCAGCAGGCCGGCGCCCCAGACGCCATAGCCACTGGCAACACACAGCACGGGGGGCGTTTGATGTGGGTACGTCGGCGCCGTAATGTTCCTAATGGAAGACCGACGGACACCCAGCGGCAAGGAGGTCAGATTCTATCGCAAGCGGAAACCTTTCTGACTACCACTGTCGGGTTGGCTGGCGGTGTGATAGTGGTGGCCGGACTCTTGTTCGGGCTTGGTGCATACCTCTTCGGTGCTTAATCGCGAGTAAAACACCGTAAAGAAGACGAGGAGGCAAAAAGGAGGGTGACAAGAAAGGAGAGGTGGTTGGTGATTGTTATTGCACTTGCAACTGTTTTATGTTTATATACTGTTCATTCGTTGATTAGTTACTATGTCTTCCGTTTCTCTGGTAGCAGAGGGATGCTGAACGAAGTTTATAAAATAAAAAACGAGTGTAAAAAAGACAAAGGGTTTTATGCAACAGCTTATGAACTAACGCTACATGCTTTAGTCATATACCAGCACTCCCCTATGGAGTTCTATCTGGTGACCCAATTTGTAGGTTCTACTTGAGAGACGGCGTCTTCAATCGAGTACATCCCCTTGACGCCCCTTTAATATTGTCGCCGAGAGTAGAACTATCAGCTAGTGGCTGCGCACTTACCTAGTCACGACGCATCATCAGAGCACGAGCGCTCTTAGAGTCTCTCACGTCGCCAACCCGATCAGCTCTTCTCTGAATTTCCAGGCCGAGCTTATGGTCTCCCTCCGCAGGGTGCGAGCGCGCTGTACGCCCGCAGAGCCGCCGGTGTCCACTTTAGCAACCCTTCGAGACGTCACGGGTCTGCAAAAAAACTACAACCCCGAGCTTGGTGAATGTCGCGCTATCTGCCATTTGCTGTATGTATGGTGTTATTTTGAAAGCATTCCAAGTTTCAATCGTGCGTTTGTAAGAAAAGCGGGAAAATTATAGTCCCGGCTCGCCAGGGTGGGTGGGACATCCCTGGGATCCACAAACGCAACATCGACAGAGGCATGGGTCGACGCGACTGAGTGTAGATACTTTGATAATGCTTCTTCATCTCGAGATTCCTACTTCTCTTTCTGGGTTATCGCCATGGAGTCTTCACTTAGTAATGGCAAACAGCTGCGGGTTCTGTACAGCAACACGCGTGGGCAATCCGAGGTCAATGCCCGGGAGTTTCTCCAGGAGCGCGTTGTTGGTTTCGACATGCAATGGTTCTGTGATCCAACGGGCCGCAAATATCCGAACTCGATGCAGGATAACGTCTCAATGATCGTCCTCGCCTGTGAGAATACCATCGCTCTATTCCATCTCGGACTCCATCAAGGGGACTGCCCCGAAACCATTCTCGCACCCACCTTACAGAAGATTATCGAATCCCCAGAGGTGAAGAAAGCCGGTCTCAGCGTTATGGGCGACTTTGAGCGATTGAAAACCTACCTTGGCCTCCAGCCACGAGCTGCTTTTGAGCTTCACCATCTACACCGTCTGGTGAAGTTTGGCGGCCGGAATGGAACGCGGTCTGAGGTCAACACCGACATCACCGGCTGTGCCCTGTCAGTCCTTGTGGAGGAGCATTTTGGCTTGCCGTTCGACAAGAACGCTCGAGATGGCGACTGGAGCAAGCCTCTGACGGCACATCAGTTGGAGTACGCCACTAACGCAGGCTACGCCAGCTATATGCTGTACCGCTGTTTAAATGCCAAGAGACTGCGGATGGATCGTGTCCCACCGCTGCCGATGGTAGCTGACACGTACATACCAACTCGGAGAGAGCAAGAAATGGGAATGGGAGAACGAGTACAAGACCATGCGGCTGGAGCCTATGGAGGAAGGGCAATCATATACCGATACCCACAGATACTTCTTCCTATCGGACCCAGTGCGTGCCCAACTCCGAGAATGGCGCTCCATCCGGGCTACATTAGAGGGCCGCGATGGGAGCCGTATCCTTCCAGACGCTCTATTGAGCGCCATCGTCTCCCGCCACCCCGTCACGCTTGACGATCAGTACTGGTATTTTATGACTGGAATGGGCCCTTGGAAGTGGAAGGAGTACGCTTCCGACTGGATGAAGATCACTGCTTCCCAGGGCACCATACCAATGACATAGCTCGCTTCCGCAACCAAGCCCATGAGTGATGAGGGCAAGGAGAGAAAGGACAAGCTGTATGGACTGCTTGTGCGGCACCGCGACAGTATGGGGGGACGCAAGCCGAAGGCTGGTGGCATAGATGAAATCCTCGAGGACATCGCCATACAGTGTCCCGTCGACGACAACGGACTGCTCGAGATCGCGAAAGTTGGGCCGTCGAAAGCATCCGTATGGGGTGACGCATGGCTAGACATTGTCAACAAGTTCAATGCCCGGCGAACGGCCGCCTTGCTAATCAGGAAACCAGAAACAACAAGTCGGGCCTCCGCTGTGATCGACCTGACTTCTGACGATGGAGGAGTGTATATAAAAGGCGGTGGGAACGCGACTGAAAGCGCCCGTTCGATGCCTTTACTGCGAAAACGCAAACTACCCCTGACAGACGCTGGGCCAAATTCGAGCAAGAGGATACATCCATTCTTCGCCACCAAACTCCATTAGCTTCGATTCTCTATTGGCGTCGAGGCAGTAGCTAGTGAGAGCGGCAGCCTTTAGAGGGCCTGAAGAGTACGATATGTGTACTTTGTTTGTAAGGCGTTCCTGGGGGTGATAAATACATAGTGGTTCTCAACGAAACGAAACACTGCCAGATTTCGCCCGGCCCAGCATGTTCCATGGGTTATCGAAGTAATGAAGGCTCTCATTGGGTTCCATGACTAGCCGGGGCCCAGCCGGGGTCTTGCGTGGTGGTGGTAGGAAACAAGTAGGCGGGAATCCCCTTCCGGCAAGGGCTTGGTGACTTCATTCGCGACTCTCGAAGCGCCCTTTGTGAAAACGAGAACCGAAGAGAAGTGCAGGTCTTGCTGTCCTGTGTCCTGCTTGGATTTTGGACTGGATAGAATACATGTCTTTGAGTATGTATGTGTTGTGTTCACCTACTATACACAGAGAAATCAACAGAGAAACCAACAGCGAAAAGCCCAAGATCGAATATTGACAATGAATTACTCGCTGGTGGGCGTGCCCTATCCATGACAACACGCTCCAGGCACCAGACGCCTCGCAAAACCCAAAAGCCAACCCATGAATACATCCCATCGTATCCCTCCGCCCAACTCAAGCCATAAGTACATCCCAACATATCCCTTCCGCCCAAATCGATTAGATCCGCCCGCCCATCCATCATGCCACATCGCTCATATCCTGCAGCTGCGCAAACGCCCAATCATCGGTGCTCGTATTCGGCGTCCCGAGCTGGCTCTTCATCCAGCACGTCAGCTCGCCCTCGTACGAGCCGTACCCGACGCCGACGCAGTCTTGGCGCCCGCTGCACGCGTCGATGCACTCGGCCAGCGTCGCCTTGATCATGTGCGCAAGGTCCACGGCGCCGCCCGCGGAGTTGTAGTCCTGCCCGCACTGGATGTTGAATGCCTTCGATGTGCTCGCCGAGAGGTATACCCTGTTGTTGTCGCCGGGGCACGCAACGGTGTCGCCGGCTTGGATGCCGGTGAAGCTGGGTGTGGGGGATGTTTGCGTTGATGTGCCGTCGGGCGATGTTGTTGATGTTGGTGTTGGTGCGCTGCGATGGACTTGTCAGCTGGTTGTAACTTGATCGAATCATAGCAATTGACTGTGTGAAGTCTGAGGCTAGTGGATATAACGGTGACGAGAGTACCGAACTTCGATCTGATCGAGGCTCCAACGAAGCTGATCCCTCATAGCTATCGTCAAAGGATTTGCGCAGTATTGCACCATCACCAACAACCAACTCAAAACACACGCACGCAAAAGAAAGCTCTTTGAGGAACTGCGAAGTCGCAACGCAATGAACAAGTGCAAAAGAACCCACCTCGTATCCCTAGAAGCAAGCCCAACACCCAACCCAACCGCGATACCCACGACAAGCAAAAACATGCCGATGGCAAAAATGACGTAGAAATGGCTGCGCCTGATGCCGCAGACCCTGCGATTCGGTCGCGGCGGCATGGCCATGGTCATGGCCGACGGCGCGCCGGCCCCCAGCGTGCGACGGTCAAAGCTGGCCTCGGTGGTGGACGAGGCCGACGTCCACTCGCTGACGACCGTCTTGGCGGGGGCGGGCGGCGACATGGCCGGGGCGGGTGGCTGGGCCGCGAGCCATGACTGCGTGCGCGCGAAGCCGTCGTGGTCGTAATAGACGGGCGGCGGCGGCGGCAGCGGGGGTTGCGGCGCGTGCAGGTTAGGGTATTGTGGGTGAGGGTGAGGGTGAGGATGAGGCTGTGGCGGCGCGTAGGAGAAGTAGGACGGGGCGCTGACGGTGAATGTTGGGTTGTAGGTCGGCGCGACCTGGCTTGGGGCGTCGTCCTGCGGCTGGGCGGGACGCAGTTGATACGACATTATCGTCGGATGTCGTGAGCGCTTCGTTCGTGGCCTATTCCCTTCGGAGTTCCATGGTGGTGTTGGTGTTGGTTATTTGCCTGGCGCGGAGAACAGAACAGACAGACGAGAAGACGGCAGAAGACAGACAGACACGTGCGAAGGAACAGATGCGTGCGAACCTCGAAGGATCAGATGGAACTTCATAGTCAATGAAATTACGACCCTGGCCTTCGGCTAGTCCGCTGACAGCCCTGGCTAAATATCAGCTACGGCGATCAAACCCCCCTGCTCCCTGCTGAACTGATCCCAATGATAAACGGGCTATCGACGAAACACCGACACGTTGAAAGCTCAACTTGGCTGCTTGGTAGCCCGCTAGGATCCAAGGACCAACGTGGCTCTTTCATGTGAGGAACAACTCAGGCGCCTCGGAGTCACAGCTCATTGAGAAGATACACTGGTGTCAGTGCTGGTATCGGTGTCTCCATGGTTGATGGACCTCTGCGATGATGCATGCGGCGAGCCAACCGTGGAATCTCGTCAATCCGCCAAGATCTATCATGGACGAAGTTGACCACGCCAGCAAGCTGAGAGTCCGAGACCCGGCTGGCCTGATTGTGGTGTCCTTTGTGGGTTTCAACTTCCCGTTTCTCAAAGAAGCCTCGCCGTCTGAGGTCCATGTCCAGCTTTTCCTTCATGAGGCGAAGGCGAAGCGACAAGAGCTGTGGTTGATGAGGATGAGTCGCGAAGACCAGAAACCCCCGTGTATCAGCCTCAAGTTTTGAACTCTAGGCTCGCAATCTATCTAGTACCATGCGCCTGCGCGGCGCATCGATGAGTGCCATGGTGTCGGCTACGGAGGTCTACCGGGTTTCGACTCCCATTCTAACTTCTCCCGACCGTCGTTGATCACAATCTATGTTCCGGACCGGTCTCGGCTGCATTGAGGGTATTCTCCATCAGAACCTTATCTAACGGCTCCCGTAGGATCGTGACCGCTCCACAGGATTCGTACCACGCATCCCAATACTCCATACCTATCACCAATCATACACGTTCTCATACTAGCCATCATCAATATCGTGTTCTCGTGAGTCTGTCTCTCTTCCTCCCTGTCCACACTCCATGTCCTCCGTGAGTCAGTTGTACCCGATGATACCCTCCGCGACCGGGTCCACACCACGGGCTATCCACACCGACACCCTCCGGCCAATGATGCCATCGCCGCCGACTTCGATCTTCATCGGCCGCCGGAGCTCTACCTCCATCGCCCGCCTCTTGGCGCAACCCAGTAACGAGACGTCCGGGCTCATGTTGAACTTGTGCAGGAACGGGCTTATGACGGCGGACCGCGTCAGGTCTCCCGTCTCACTGTTGTCGCTCCTGTCAGTAATGGTATTGATATCGAGATGTCATTTCTTGGTGGACTTACTGGATCCCAACTACGCAAGACTCCATGTCTGTGAAGCCGCTGCCACTGCCCTTATCGGCTGTGAACGTAGCGTGTGTGGCGGTCGAGCCGCCTTTCCCTTGGCTGTGGAAGGTAAGTCTTCCGGCCATCGCTGGCGACGTAGCACAGGTGCTCTGGAACGGCAGACTCAGTATGGCGAGAGCACCGCCGAGGGATTGTCTCGACTTGTCGCCGCACATGTTCACCCGTCTGGGTGTTGAAGTTCGTAGGGTTGACGGCTCCAATTTTACGAGCGCACGTCTTGATGAAGTGGTGATAATGGTAGAGATTGAATGATACAGCTGCACTGGTGTTTCCAAGATCGATATGATGACTTGATTAGCGCTTTGGTTGGATTGTCTTGGGAATATTCGCGGATACGTATAATGCAGGAATAATAATGCCATGGGAGGGCTTCCACTCTTATAGGACACCCTCCAAGTTCCACGAGGCAGCGACCACGCGACCGTTGGATCTAACACACGGCCGGTACTTCAGCATTTCCCCTTGAGGTAAAATCATTATTGTCCCAAGAAACATGGTTTGCTGATCAGAACAAAGCGCGGGCAGTACCGCCTTACACACGTAGTGAGCAAGTTTGAGCGTGTTGGAGTGATTTCGAGGGCCCACATCACGAGTCGTGGCTTTGTTCTCGGCATTGAAGGTTTGGAACAACCCTGAAGCCTCGACCGTTAAGAAGAATCAGAAACAGCGAGACAGTGAAGGAGAGACGGCGACACTGCACACCGTCGTCCTCAGAGCCGTGAAGCAATGCCTTGATGTTCTCGAGACCGAGATGTACATCGATGCAGCACAACACACTTTTCGAGTCTGTGGTGCTTCACCGGTGTCTGTCCAATGCGAATTGACTTCATTCATGCATGCATACAGGAGCAGGTCACGCCCCTCGCCGCGAGACTGCTCGGAACCTATACACTCATGTCGGCCATTGTGCGCATATATGCACACGAGCTACAACTTACACCTGGCGCCCGTGTACACAACATCGTCTTGTGGATATGTTCTGCAACCATCATGCCAGATAGCTTACCCGAAATGCTGCCTTCGTGTCTTTCTGAATGCCCTTTGTCTTACCGGTCAATGCGTTGTTCGTACCGCATGCAGTAGGTAGCACACATACATGCGCCCTTTGTTCCCCAATAAGACGATTCTTCCCGAAACCCAAAAGCCCATCAAATGCAACTAGTAACGCACCATAGAAGGAGCGAATGTCAGGTACGAGACCCATTGGGATAGATGTATTACTAAAATGTCCGGGTCTTGGCTAGGGACCATACCGCCGCGTCCCGAACAGGTAAGAAGACTCGGCAAGCAGGCCTCCGCGGTGGTCAACTACTTCACCCAGAAAGATGGCTTCGAGTACGTCGCCCACTTCGGCGAAGAAGGTCTCTCCGGGGGCGCGCTCCTCTTCAACAGGTGGTCGCCGACAGACGGCATGTTCATGGGACAGTTCATCGCAAAGTACATGGGCCCGAGCGCCCCCGGCGGCAGCTTCATGGCGGATCTGCTGGTGGATAGGGAGTTCCGCGTCCTCGATATCCTGCGAGGTGCCGAGCATATCGTGCAGTTAGCGGAGGCGGGCCGAGTCAAGATAGCCGGCCGAGACAGTCTGCTGATGGAATATGTTGGGCATGGGACGTTGAAGGCCATGGTGGACAGGTTCCAGGATCGCTTGATCCCTATACCCAACCACATCCTGTGGAACATATTCCTCTGCTGTGAGTCTCGTGGTGGGCCCGTACTGGGAAGGCTCGAAGGTTTGTTTATGTGGTGGTGGTGCTGACTGGTCTTTGTGTGAAGTTGTTCGCGCATGCATAGCCATGGCTCATCCGCCTCGTGGACAGCAGGACGCGGCCATTAGAAGAGAAGTGCTTCCGACCACGCCGCCGGCACAAGAAAGCACCGCCGGAGTCGTACACGGCGACCTGCACTTCGAGAACGTCTGTTTGGCTGGAGTCCCCACTGGCGATCGGGAGCACACGTTTGGGCCGCTCGTGAAGGTTGGCTGGCCTACCCAGATCTCCCCGTGGCCTCGCAACTGACGAATGATTACGGTAGTTCATCGACTTCGGCTCTGCGTCCATACTGGATGAAAACGAAGGGTGAGATGCAGTTATGGCCCCAGATGTCCAAGTTGTTCTCGTTTCACGGTTGCTGACTATAGCACGATAGCGTGGAATCACTCTCAAGCATGCCCAACGACTCTTCAGCCGTATCATCATACGACGGAGATGTTGACGAGGCAAACATACTCGCAATAGGAGAGGTATGTGCGCCCGAAACTACCAGGCCACACTGAACCATGGATCGATGACGGCTGACGACCTTGTCTCTTCGCCCCCTCTAGTTGATGTGCAGTCTGGCACTCTGCGAAGACGTGATCTGTCACCCAAACGGGCGAGACGTGACGATGAAAGGACGCACGATCAACACCAAAGCGCCGCGAGAGCTCGACGCGCCCAGCGTCGCCATCGAGGATGACCTGCGCCTCCTTATCTACCTGTGCACAAGCGCGGACCCTGACGACCGGCCTTCGCTGGTGGATCTGTTGGAGGCGTGTGAATATGGCGTCGCCACTAGGAAGGCGGCTTTTTATACTACGATGCCTGACAAGGGAGTGTACGAGACGGACGAGTACGTCCTTAGGGTTCTCCAGGAGGTCATACTCAATGCTGAGCAGGATAAGAGCGTGGAGCGGAAGAGGAGCGGTCGACGAGTGAGCGCACTGGATCCGAGGAGACGGCGGCGTACGATGTCGATTGTGCCTAGGCGGAAGACGGTGACATAATCCAGTTTGCTCCAGAAAGCGTCGGCATTAACGGCTACTGTAGCTCTCTCAAGCTTCAAGCTTTAATTGGGAATGGTGCATTAGCTGGGCCAGGTCTGAAATGCCGTACACGTGGGACCATAGTGTTGATGATATCCATCAGACGCGAGCAAGCCGTCCATGGTGGCACCGTACGGTTTCCTGGGGTTCCAAAGTAATTCCTGCTAATCACTGGAATGGCAAGCCGAGATGATGAACGTCTTCTTGCTTGCGCCGTGAATTCTAACGATACCGCTTTCTCTTCTTAGACTAGGAAACCAGGCCGTACGCATACATGTCCATAATCCTCTCCGCCACACCCTAATTCTTCTTGAGTGTAAGCACCGCCCAAGCCGCCAGTCGATAACCAACCACGATAGACAGCATGATCCCGACGTTGCGTCCCATATGTCCCGTCTCGTACCCAAACTGATCCAACACAGCCTGGCCCGTGATCTGGCACTGGTCCGCAAGCTCCGACTGGTACATGCAAGCGCAGCCCCCGCCCGGGACCTTCGCGCACTCGTAGACGCGGCGGCTGAACTCGTTGACCATCATGCCCTCGAAGACCCACTTCTGGTAGTCCCAGTAGTGGAAGACGTACTTGTAGAAGACGTTGAGGATCGTCGGCTGCACGAGGAACCCGCCGACGCTCATCCACAGGCCGTTGGCGAAGGCCACGAGCGCGAGCGAGATGACGAAATTGGGGAAGAGCGCCGTGAAGAGCACGACGAGCGACTCGGCCGCCAGCAGGTCCAGGTACAGCCACATGACCCACGTGAAGAAGGCGCTCGCGGTCGGCGCGAAGTTGGAGAGCCAGTACGAGATCAGGGAGAAGATGATCGAGATAAGGACTACGATGGAGGTTAGGGGACTTTGTTCCCACGAGATCCCGTCTGGAGGTGGGTTGGGCTGGCTTACAGAGGTATGGGAGGCCGATGAGGAAGTTCGAGACGATCAGCTCGGTCGCGCCGTAGAGCCCGTTCTGGTGCTCCTTCACGTATTGCTGCCGATCTTCAAGGAAAGCGGGTACATAGGCAACAGCCATGAAGGACATGAAGGCGGAGCCGAAGAACTGTGAAAAACATGTTAGTCCTGATCATATAGCCTGACAGTGCATTTGAAGCAACTCACAATCGCATTGGTGAAGGGGATGATATCGGTCTGGTGGGTGTTCAGTCGCAGCCACACCGTCCCCATCATCAACGCAAGGCCAGTGTACATCGCTACCCGGATACCATACGCGACGACGTCACGGTAGCTCTTGACGAACGAGCGATGTAAAAGCGTAGCGATCAGGCTCAATCGGCTGGGTCTCTGGATCTCTGCCGCAAGCTGGGCGGAGACAGCTTCGTAGCCCTGTTGCTCCGCGGACATGATAGCATTGTAGACATAGGCACATTGCGCCGAGTTCTCCCAGGAGTTCTGTAGCCATTCGACGAGCTGTTGGGCGTAGGCCGGGTTCATGGTGAAGTCGGTATTGACCATTTCGAGCAGGAACTCAGCCGGGTTCGTGTTGTTCGGGATGGGATACTGGCATTGCGCGTAATGGTCTGCTACGCTGCTGACCGGACCGAAGTAGTGCGGCTTGCCGTTGGACATCAACAGCAGCTTGTCGAACAGGTTGAAGGTCGATGTCGAAGGCTGATGGATGCTGGCGATCACGATCAAATTGTTCCGTCTAGCCACACTGCGGAGGTAGTTGATGACTTCCCAACTGGCGACGGAGTCGAGGCCGCTCGTAGGTTCGTCGAGGAATAGGATCTTGGGGCTAGTGATGAGTTGACTGGCGACACCGACACGGCGTTTCTGACCACCACTGATGCCCTTGCGGATGGGGGTGCCGATGAGTGTGTTGGCCTGCCCTCGCAGACCGAAGGATTCAAGCAGGCTGCCGATGCGATGAAGACGTTCACTTGACGACAGGACACTGCTAAGTTGTTAGCCATGGACTGTGAACGATCTCTGGGGCCTGACGAACCTCGAGTTTGTCGACAGTCGAGCTGCAAAGTCTAGCGTTTCTCGGACAGTAAGCGACCCGATCAACGAGTCCTCCTGCTCGACGAAAGCACTGATGTTCCTGAATGTGCTCAGAGGTACGCTCGAGCCGTTGACGAGAACATTGCTGGATACGCTTTGGGCGTTGGTATCGCGATGGGCGAGCACGTTGAGCAGCGTCGTCTTTCCGCAACCAGATGGTCCCATCAGCGCACATATCTCCCCTATGGAACATGTCAGGCCGGCACAGGCAGTAGACAAGTTCTAAGGAACTGACCAGCTTCCACCATACCCTCCATATTGTCGACAATGTTACGAAGCTGTTTGGTTTTCCTGTCCTTGACCGTAACAGTCACACCTCTCCAAGTCAGGTTGTAAACCGTCCTATTCAGCAAATGCATGTCGCCACCGGCATCTTGCTCAATATCCAGGTTGGTCCCAGGTTGAGATGTCATCGCGCTTGGTGCCTCCTTCCGGGCATTCGCGGGCGCCGCGGCGTATTCAGCGCTGTTGCCTGACATGTTTGTATGTTGGACCGAGTTGTCAGAGGATCGCAGGATGGGTCAACGTGTGTCTGCGTCGAGGTATCGTCTTGATATAAGTATCGTTTGGTTAGACCAACGACGGCCTCGTGCTTACAAGGAGGTCCCTTCTCGCAAAGATCATTTGCTTCAAGACTAGATCTCTTTTGGGAAGATGACCCTCTCACAGCGTGATGAAAGGTATACGAAGAAACGACGGCGGAAAATCGAACCTTGGGTTGGTTCTAACAAAGGATAGGTGACGGAGGTTCTGACCTTGCGGAACCCCCCTACACAAGTATTTTTTCCCTTACAATGTAAGCATAAGCCGTAGCGTCGTGCCCACTTGGGCACCTCTCGAGCTCTTACTAAGTGATGGGCGGGCGAAGTGAGATCAAGGATGTCACATACCACTCCATCAAGACCCAGGCATAGAGAAGCCCGGTGGAAGGAACAGGATTCATGATTGGCTCGGCGCCGAAGCGGATGGACGGACAGGGGACTTCTTGACTCCAGCTGGATAGATAATAATAACGATGTTACGAAATAGGGCAGGAGTCAACCCCTGTTGATCACCGGGTTGAGGTTGGATGGAGGCGTTCCCGGCGTCCCACTCTCGGGATCTTGGTCCACCTGCAAGATGCCGGCGGAGGCAGATCTAGTCTCCAGTCGGCGAGCACTCGTCCATAAGCGGAACCTCTCCAAAAGTGCTGAGCTCGAAACAGCGCCCTCATGCCTGTGAGCTAAGATTCCTAGCGGTGTCCGCTGCATTGGCGCTGCCTTGGTAAGGCTGATGGCGCCAGCAGCTGCGAACGATGAAGCAACGTTGTGCGATAAAGGTACGGGAACGGGAACGATCTGGTGGCTGGCGAAAGTGAGATGGCGAACGTAAACGGTCTAAAGAGATCAACCAGTCTGAGCCACGTCCATCGTAATCCTTATGCAGCAACCATCATGTATTCGCTGCCGAGATGTTCATGATATCGCAGGGACAAGTCAGGCCTGGAGGAAGGAGGAGAGGAAGCTCGGTGCCGACGACTTTCGTTAGCATGGGTCGCAGCGATAAAGTTGTCCGTGCTGCCGTCTCGGGATCCAACGACGAACTCCAGACTGGATCTGCAGTCAGCTTGCTTCAACTTGCGAGAACGAGCAGCGTCGTAGGTAATACATGATAGTTGCTGCATATGTAGCCGTTCGTAATACTGCAGGTGATGACTCCAATACTGTAACACCACGAGACCTGCCGAGCCCATAATCGACCACGTATCACGTTATCACGTCGTGAAGGGAGAGCAGCGTGACGAACCGGAGGCACAGTCAAGTCTCGGGATGCAACTGCAGCAGTCGACTGCTACATAGATATGTACGAGACACCAACAACAGCAGTATTGACTGTATCACGCCCGGTCACACACCAGCACACCAACGACATGCAACAGTGCATGCACGTATATGCGGCCCCTGAGACTCGAACACATCCCGCTGGAGAAAGGAGGGAAGACCCCCTGAAGAAACACAGGCTGCTTGCTGTTTTCGTCCACCCAACCGCCCAACCGCCAACCGCCAACCGCCAACCCGCCTCGAAGGATCCATTCCCGTAGTCCTAACCATTCCCGTCCCATCCTCTTGAGCCCGGGGATCTCGAAACCAACAACAACATCCAGGGGTCTTGTACATACGTAGGGACGGCGACCTCGCCTGTAAACTGGGGGATCGAGGGATCTGCACCCCCAACCCAGGCTGCCGGTCCCCTCCAATTAGGGCTGGCCGGGACCCACCGCCGCTAGGGGACCCGGGGACCTGGCCACGCTGATCGCCGGCGTACGGGCAGTGTGAACGCCGATTTCTCCAGTGGATCCCGCGTAGAGCTGCTTGGACTGGAGGTTTTGGCTTGTGTGAGAAGGAAAAGACGGACTGTTCACGCCGGCGCACGAGCTTGATTGGATGGGTCAATGCAGAATGTTCAGAGACTGCATGGGGGTGGGGGTTGAGGTCAGATCACGTCGGGTCGGGTCTCGTCTGCCTGCTTACCGCCTCCTACATGTAAGGTAGGTAGGGCACATGTAAGTAAGCAATGAGACGACGGTTCCGGATGTGATGTCTTTACTTTGCAGGATAGAGTACATGTATGCCAAGTTGTATTTATCGTATGGATAAGAGCAGGCTATATGATACAGTTCTATAGCCACATTTGTAGGACTCTCCCAACGAGCAATACGGTATCCCTCCAAAAAAATCAAAGTATTTTACCTCCAATCCATCTCAACATGTATGCTTACTCCCTTGCCCATCACTTCATAAAGACGTGGTTCCTGTCCCAACGCCAGTCCATGGAGGAAATCCTCTCTACTCGAGATCCGCCACCAGCAGCTCAATTCCAGTATCCAACAGGAACAACAAGAACCCCCTCGGACGCACCATACTAAAGCAACGAAATAGGTCCAAACCGCTCATATCGGGTTCGGAGGCTCGATCCCACCGAGCAGGTTGATCTCGCTCATGATGCCCTCGTCAGCCGACATGCTGCCAATGATCTCCTCCTGCGTGAAACCGACCCAGAACGACGCGTTCGTCTGCTGCGCCTTCCGGGCGTGGTATATCTCCTGCGCGACACCCTTGACCTGGCCCGACGCCCTACTGGCCGCCTTCCAGACGTGGCTGAGCTTGTTCAGCGCCCCGATGTTCAGGCGGATCTGCTGCCGCAGGTCGTCCTCGTCTTGGAGGAAGTATAGGGCCCACTTGCTCAGATGGACGATCGACGATAGCGTTAGGACGCAGGTGAAGAAGTGCGTGTGGCCCGTTATCGGTACGTTGTACGTCACCATCTTGCTGATGCCGCAGGCCGCTGTGATGATGTGTTTCGTGTGGATGTTGAAGACGTCGCCGCTCGAGACCGCCCGGTGGGGCGCACAGGCGGTGACTTCACGGGCGGGCGAGGAGTCTAGTTGCGAGAGAGGTTGGTGCAGGATGATCGAACATCTGTAACCACGTCTTAGCCTCTGGAGCATAACACGAGGCAGAACTCGGGGGGTGATGGGGGATAGGAAAAGACAAGACTTACGCATGGTTGATCATGTGTGCCTGGAACATCATCTCATCCAGCTGACAGTCTTTGTTCAAGCTATGCTGTTTCGACTTTGGCAGATGCATTCTCCAGTTGGATAGCAGAGACTCGATCCGATCCACGTTCTCTTCGTTCGGGAAGCCGGTGTTGGGCAATCGCATCATTCGCCCGAGGTTCCGGATCGAGGCCACGCGGTAGGCAAATGAAGACGGTTCCCGCTCTTCTCCAGAGAATATCAGATCGTCAAACTCTTCCATCGACATGGGCCGGGGAATGTTCTGTCACGAGTGAGTAAGTCAGCCAACATGGATCTGGGCCTTCCCTGGGTCGAACGTACCCCTGCGGCGTATTCGTGTTCCTCACATGGAAGTCCGGCGTCGGCGACAAGGTCGAAGAGGAGAAAGTTTGTCTGCCGATGGACCCCGGCGACCATGCCATCAACCACGAACAGGTCCCACCATGTCCGTCGCCAGCTCTCTTCCAGCCGGGGATTGCTGTTCCCGTGCGTTGTGGCAAAGGTATGCGAATAGAGATGGAGCTCGATCGCAATCTGCTCGGCGTCACTAAGTATATCGCGTGCTTTTTCTTGTTGACAGCTCCCATCAAGCCCTATCAAAACAATGACCATTGCCTGCACCAGGAAGCCATCCTTGGGGGTTTCTGGAGCGTAGATCAGCCGCATGGCTTCTTCGAAAAAGGTGGCCCGGGATGGGCCAGAATCAAAATACAGCGAGCCAGCCCACCGCATAGCGGCGAGTAAATGCTCGAGATTCGTGTCTTTGGCCATCTTCAGAAGGTGGTCTTTTGGCAGCACGGACGGGTGGCCAGGATAGAAGTTGTAGTAGAAAGAATCAATGCAGCGTTCTGGCATGGTCTGCTGCGGCCGCGGTTGCGGGTTGGCTTCAACCATTGCCCCGCTGGCACCATCCAAAAATGAGTTCCTGTACAGCTGAAGAGTGTTCAAGCCGGGCGTCGCCGCGAAAGCAGATCCAGGGGTGCCCGGGATCACCATGGCCGGGTGGAATGCGGCCATGGCGGACGCGGCGGGCGTTGCGACCTGCGCGCCCAGGAGCATGGGGCAGTTATCACCGGCGACCGAGGGCGGAGAGTCGGAAGCATGCCGTTTGTTCGGATTGTGAGCCGTGTTTCTTCTCGGGCCTTTGTAGCCGCGACGAGAAGCTATGTAGACGCATTCCGAGTCGCTGCTCCTGCATCGCGAACACGGGTTCAAGCCATCGCACTTGAGATGTTTGCTCCTCTTTCATGAGAAAACACCAAGTCAGCATTATTACAGAAGAACGAGACAAATACTAATAATCGAGACTCACGCAACCAAGGCAAGCTGCCGGCACCGTCGGCGGAGGCGCACGCGAGTCGACAGTGCCCGCAGAGGAGATGACGGGCGAGGGGTGGGGCGGCTGACTGGACGTGTCGGAGCCAAGGCCATTCGCATTAAATAACGCAGAGCGCCCATTCGCCGATGAAAGTGATGAGTTTGGTGATGAGTGCGGGTGCGGGTGTGGGATTCCGGGCTGGTAGGAGGAATCCATGGCTGTCCTCTTTGCGTCTTTGCGTCTTTGCCCGAGCTGGGTCGAGAACTGCCGACCGGCAGTGCGGGAATTGGGAATTGGGAATTGTGAGCGGATTTGACCGGTCTCATTGAGTTCTGAACTCGTGGCACTCAGGTGACCATGGGGAGGTGCACGTCGATTGTGTCACCAACAGCACGAGTTCCAAGTTGAGCTGGGGATGGTTGCAATGATGCAATGATGGTATACCAGTAGGTAGTATGACAGCAGAGCCTCTCATCTGCCGGTCCCTAGGTATCGATCGAGTGAAGACGGACTGACGGACTGACGGCACGTAGGAAATGCGACTGTGACGGTAGAGGCTAGGAACAGAATGGTACAAGGCCTGCGGCGGCGATGTTGATGTACTATCTGCCCGGCAGAGGGCCAGAGGCAATCTATTCAGGTCTAGCAGCAGTAGCGCTCGCTATATTTAGCTGCGTAGGTAGGTACTAACCTTAGGTACCTAGGTAGAACGAGTCGAGTTTTGGGCGCAGCTTCTCCCCAAGGCCCAACATCAACCTGTCGAGGCTTAGAGAAAAAGAAGAAGAAAAAACCACGTGACGGGGAAGACTCTGGAGAGGTGGTGATGATATCTGATGGATGCTCCGCCAGCTCCTCGTCTGTCATGAACGGACAAGAGAGCTCGAATAGTCGGACGTGGTGGTCACGGTGAGGGGTCAGCGTCGGCACCTCGTTGGGCATTTAGCCATGTGCCACCTGTGCAACCATCTATTTATGCGAGGGAGACGCAAGGGAAGGCAGATGAGGTCGCACGAGGAGATGATAAATAAAGTACCGTACTTATAAATCTCTTAACCAACGCGACGGGAGCCTCGATCGTAGATGTTGGCTGGCGCAGGAGGACAGGATAGATACCAGCAACGGCTAGTGTCTACGCGGCGGGTAATATATAAAAAGAAGAAATGGTTGATTCGCTACCGAAGTCGACAAGGGCAGTCAGTGTGGTTACTATGCCTGAGGTTTCCAAAGGTGATTTTTGTCCCGGAGCCAAATATGCCATTATGCTAGAGCTACTTTTTAACCAACTATAGCGCTAACGTTGCCGCGGTTTCGCCGTAAGGAAAAAAAGAGAGCTAAACTTAACCCAGCCAATCAGATCGCCAGGTTTAGCACATATCGTCTTGACTATTACTTTAGATGCTTGCGGCTAGCTTAGGGGCTTTTGCGGGAGCTTCTAAGCTAGCTGTTAGGGCATTTTTATACTTGGCGCGGGCCAGCCCTGTGCCTTTGTGGTAGCGGAACCAGAACGGAGATCTATCACAAGTCTTGGTTGGGATGATCTGTATTCTGGTTGGTGCTTGGTTAAGTTCGGACGGGAAGGGATCCCATCCGAGAAGTATATAAATACATAAATTACAGTGGGTTGGTACCTGTCACCTGGGGCAGCCATCCCAGGTAACCTTATCTATCGTAGAACGCCCTGGATGACAGGAGATCCGATAAGGTACTGGTGGCTGGATCCACTGGCTGGGATCCACAAGCCGCAGGAAGAAAAAAATACTTACTCGCAGCTAACGGTTATTATTATAATCATAATCACGATCACGCGAAAACCTCAGGTATTTACAAGCGCGAGCGTAGCCTCAATGTATGGAGTTTGTTAGTAAGCAGCATTAAGCCACGGTCTACTTAGATTTCGCGTTGTCGCTATCACGATTCGCGATGCGATGCGACCGTGGCAGCGTGATAGCCGTGGATCAAATTGCTTTCAGGTACGTGTGGGGGTGGGTAAAGAAGTGCCTCGATAGAGCCAAGAGCCATCTGATTGGGCTTCGTGTTTGCATCGACACCGAGCTCTCGAATGGCGGTTGAACCGTTGTCGAGCCATCCCTAGCAGTTAACAACCTAGCAGTTGGCCTAGCAGCAAGGAGGTAGCCGGACCACTGGTAGTAGCCGGGGGATGCTATGATTTTACTGACTCGCTCTGATATTGTAGCTTCAAGTTCTCAGTATTGCCGTATGATGCCCCCTGCTCCCGCCTGCAAGCCATTTAAGATCTCGAATCCCGCCAGCATCTCATATCCTGCCAATGACAGGCTGTGCGCCCACTGGGCTAGGCCATGCGTAACCTTTCAAGACCGATCTCTGGTTCTCCGTCTGACCGAGATATTCCTCCCGCACTTGTTGTGCGAGGGATGGATGTTCTTGGCCGCGTTTCCCTGACGCTGAAGCGGAGAACAAAAGTAAAGCCCAACGCAGGCTTCTTTGGCTACGTACCCCAGCAGCGCCACCGGCCGAGACCGATTCGATGGCTCACTTCCAATGCATTCGACCGAAACCTCGTGTCGGGAAAAGGAAGTTCAGAGGCTTGGCTCCTTGATTGGGCGAACTCGGCGCACATGTCTCGGAAGCGAGCGGGTATTTTCCATGCCGAAAGAACGTCCGCGAGTCGTCGTCGAGAGGGCAGATCTCACTACATTTTGCTGTCTCTGCTGGGCAAGGTAAGGGTCGATGATGAGTCCGCGACGCTCATTCACTGGTCTTGGCTGATTCAGAAAACCTATTCGTCAACTCGCAATCGCTATCAGCCATCCAACGACTATTGCTCGAACCAAGTGGTTGCTGAGCGCCGGAGTTGTTGGCACATGTACGGGCTGGGAATCGTTACCGAGTAATACGCTCATGAAGCAAGGGATCGACTTGGATGTTTCGGCAGCTAAGTCGGCAGTCCTGCAACGAAGATGTCGTCCATAAGGCTGAAAGGGAGCTAGGAAGGTCCTCCCGCAGACCAAGGGTGTTCTGTCGGGGATAGTGCGTGCTTGTCAGGCGACACATTCCAATGTTCGGGATAGCTTGCGTGAAGGCTCGCTTATAGCCTGGCCTCCTTGCATGTTGCTTGACTTGGTAATGAACTATATGGCTAAGATGTGCCAGCTGCGGTGTCGACCACAGGTCACGCCCTTGAACCTGCACACCAAGTTGTGGCCTACAAGCACCGCGTATGATCACCAGTCCCGACCACGAATGGACTGGACTCTAGGCAGATGGCGTTGGTGCGTTGACGATGCACAGGGGCTGCGACGTAATAGTTGGACCAGTCATGAAGTTGGTGACAGGCCACCCAGGACGTCGGCGCCAGCTGCTTGAGTCCGACTCGGCGAACCGGGCACTCGGGTCAGCCAGTCGGCCTTATTCATCTGGTCTGCAGCGATCTTCGGAAGAGTTATGCCGCTGTACGGCTGGCGATGTGATCCTCGCTAAGGAATGACTGGCAGACGATGGTCCCAGTGGTGTGGCTTGGCGCGGCGTATAAGTCGATATCATTTTATACCACCTCGTTATGATGCCCTGCCATCGTCAAAAAGCCCGCGCATGTCGCCCGTCGTCACGATCCATGTAGTTCAGATACCCCTATTGCCGAGCCGTACGCCCCTACAATCAACGCAAGGTGGTCGTATACGCCGTGTTGGCGGGTGGCAAGAATACCCAGAAGCGATATGACTCGTTTCGAAAGCAGGAAGTCTGGGTACCAACGTTGCCCATTTGGTCTGCCTCTTCAGACTACCTAGCTCTTCGTTCAGGAACAGCCTTGTGTCAATCTTCACAGCACAAGCCGAACGAAAGGACTGGTCGATCTTGTACACCTTGGTCGAGCACTCCTTACGGCCTTGGCATACCGAGGACTGCCCACAAGATCACAGTTGCGTAACTTATATATCCGATCTGAGGCACACATGTAGGTAAGGTATGGACATGGAAAGGGGTCAGGATCTAGACAGAGTTAGCTTGCCAGAGATTTGGGTACGGTATGCTCACACATGTTTTCGAGCGCCACTTGACGAGCCTCCAGTGATTTATTCTCATGAATCTCGTCCTCTGCTCCTTGGTGGATTGAGTCGTCGCGGCAACCATGCTTTTCCATCGGGCTAGAGGGTGATTGTAGCATCCGTCGCCCAGTATGGTAGCGGCAACGAATAAGACGGCCGCCGGCACGCAAGAAACACTAGTACTGAATCATTAATAGTGAGGAACTCAGAGGACTTGCTCGCTTCACCAGACCACTCGGACTTACCGTGGGAGACGGCCTTCATGCCCTTTAGCTCCCGTGAATGTTCAATTCATACCATGGCCCTTCCCTCACGGGTCACCAGCGAAAGATCCAGGGGCCTATTCCGCTGACTCTCATATGGCCCATTTCGCTCTGGAGATGTTCAATAATCGAGCAAGAGCCGAATATCGGCTTTCTCGTCGGATTTGCGACTGACGTGTATTGAGGGTAAGAGGGGTGAGTCGTTGCTCACCACCAAAAGCACCCAAAAGAAAGGGTTTGAGGCTCAATGGGATACCACTGGTGCTCTCCTGGGGCAGAGTAGCACAGTCAACCACGTAGTATATGTAAGCCAAAAAAAGGGACCCTGGCACATACGACCATAGGATCAGGAGAACTTGGCATCCCGTCCGCTCTGCCTTAAATAAGCCTGATACCGGAGGTTCGTCTGCTGGGGTGGGGCGGACAGCGGTCGACATCGCTGACTAAGATCCACGTGACTGACGTGCCTGCCAGAAAAGGCTCCTCGACCCGATTCTGGAAACGGCATTTCGTTTGGGCATCGAGTTTGCTCACAGCCAGTCTGCTCCCACCGTCGCGCAATCCGTTTCGCTTCTATGTGAGTTGTTCAGTCTTCCCGCCGCACACCCCCTTCATATTGTACACACACTGCACCGGCGATGTTGGCTCGCCGTGCACTAGGCGAAGCAGGCCTCCATGCAGGCAGTCTCGATGCCAGTCACCGTCGCGTACTTATCTCCAGCTCGCGGGCGCTCTTCCCTCGCGCTCTTCCCCATTCCCTTCCTTGTTCACTTCCTCATTCGCTTTTCCCCATAACACCCGACCAGACAAGAGGGTAACGAGGACTGCAGTGATAGCGGCCGGGCAGCGCCCCTCGGGCCTTTCGCAACGGGCGACCTAGTCGCGCTTTGCCCGCTCGCTCGCGAAGAACTTGGAGTCCTAGAAGAAAGAAAGCCTCCAAAATATCGCAAGTTTCCGGGCGAAGCCCTTAACCGATACGCGAACCGTTGCAGCGAAGACCGAAGTAGAGCGAGTTCGATTGCGCGATGCTTGGACACTATATGCCACTCTTACCCGTGATCGCACAAGAGAAGCACGCTAATTATCTACGCAGGTATTTCGCAGATGTCCACCAGCTCGACGCCGACGAGATCTGGATCCAGATCTGCGAAGGTGTCGATGTTTCGTGGTTCATTCGGGACTTCTTCTTATCCTATGTCAACAACTCCGTGCACGACCGACCATGTCTCGGCCCCGACGATTCTCTTCAGGTGCGAGGCATCAACTCAGCCATCACTGTCGACGGGATGTGGAGATCCCTGATTGGGATGGCTGAGGCTGGCATCCTGCAGGACAGAAGGCATGCAGACCCGACCAACGAGGACAAGTGGACAAGTGGACACTGCGTCAACATCGCTATGGGCGCGGACACGGGCCCATCTACAAGATAAGCAAGGTGAGTGCCATACCCGGCCCAGATGGGATGCCCCCCTCCCCCCCCCGCCGAAGTTGGATCACCTCACTGACGCGCCATCTCATAGTGGATCGAGGAGGAGCTGCCGGACCTCATGGACCTGAACCGCAAACAATCTTTCGAGAAGAAGGAAATGACACCCGAAGACATTATGGTGCTGCTCGGCACATTCTGGACGCAGGCGAGGCATATCCCTTGCCTCCCACAGACACGAGTAGCCTTCCACTGTGCCATTTTCATCGCAGGGATTGGTGGATTCCGACCCGGCGAGGTCATGAATCTAAAGTACCGCCAGGTCGCCTTCGAGCTTGTGCAGGATCCGCGGGATCCTCTGAAGCAAAGGTTAGTCGCGATTATCACTATTTGGCACAATAAGCAGTTAAAGACGACCATCGAACGAAGCCAGCATAAGGTATAAATTTTGCTGTCATGGGTGCGTCCTAACTTCGTAGCTAACCTCTATAGGCTTTCGTTCTGCGTTACTACTATCCCTTGTAAACCAATCTGCCTGGTCAGCTTGCTACTGGCTTAGGCGATCGCTGATCAGGCCTTCAAAGCAGATTTCAAATCCCTCGCTGATATCCTGGAACGGCCTAACCTCGGCCAGGTAGATTCCCTACCTTTATCCTGGGCCGCTGGCATGGAAGACAAGGAAATTATACCCATCCACTATCCTACCTATCTGGACCCCTGGCATCGCACGCTACTTGTTGCTGGGCTGCGCGACGATACACAACGTCCCTACTCGCTCCGTGTTGGCGCTGGAGGTCAATTATCTGGTAAGCCATCCCCGTTCTTGCCGCTGGCCCAGCTAACCCGGGTACCGCAGGTAGTCTCGAGGAGCCGGTACGGAACTACGTGATGGGCAACACGAAAGATGTATTCCTCAGAAGCTACTAGCCATGGCGCGTCACCCACGACTTGGTCGCGACAGCTTTTGGCAGAGGCATGGCCGGAGATGTCGCCGACCTCTTCAAGTCTCTACGGCGCTTATTTCTACAGCGCGACCCCGATGCTCCCCTTTACTCTATGGAAGCAGATATCAAAGCGCTTGAGAGCCGCCAGGATCTTACCGATCTCCGTGCCGCGTATAGCGATGCCGTGGCACGCACTTCGTCCGATGACAAGGATGCTAAGTGCGTAGCAGGCAAGATTGCATGGATCAGGAAGACCCTGGCCAAGGAACAGCTGCGCAAGATGAGAAACGACTATTTCGAAAGGACCGACAGGGTTCGGGCGCTGGGCGAAGTAACTACACGCGCTGCAGACCACGGCACCAACCCGTTCAAGACTTTCGATCCCAAGGGCGCCTTGGCCGCCGAGGCAATCGGTCAATTCGTACAGCGGTTGGATATCACTGAGCATGAAGAAGGTGCTGTCAAACTTGTCACCTGATGATGCAAGGTCGCCGGGGTAAGGGACTGACTGGGTGGACGCAAAAGTGGGAGAACATTCAGACCCCTTCGTCTGACTGGGAACTAGCGTTCCGCCGAGATCAGGACGGCAGTATCCCCTTATAACGTCCCCGCTGCTCAAGACCCAGTCCCTGACTTTTCGTCATCCAACAAGTTGGTAGGCTTGGGTCGTTTGCTCGGCCTTTGTCCCGGTTTGGGTGTCGGTAACACCCTGAACGAAGCCGTTTTAGTCAAGGCGCTCTCTTCTCGTCGTGGAGTTGAACTCATGCTCAGCTGATCCGTCTGCATCATGCTGCCGTGCTCGATCTTGACCGAGCTGCAGGTTCTGCTTCCGTTGCCCTCGAGCTCAACATGAGCTGCTCTTCCATAGCTGCTCGACGGGCGCATCGTGCTGGTTTTGGCTGTCGCCGATACACGTCGCGAGGCTCCGGACAAGTCAGATCTCAAGGCGAAAAGGCGGCTTCGCCTATCATTTCGACCAAGACGTCTGCGCCCGTATCTCTTGCCGCGCATCTCATCACGCTGCCGAACAAATCGTGGCTTGCGGCAGCAGCCTCGACCTGCAGGATGCCTTTCGCTACCCATCCAACATCGACGGTCAGACTGGCCCGTGGGATGAGTCCGAACACGACCCGATGACATTCAATGCCAACACTACCCACCGACGGATCAGAGAACTTGTCGGCGCGTTTACGGCACTCTGACACCACAGCACTCTGCAACCGCTGCTCGCGAACCTCCTGCTGGCAGTTCTGACCCAGCACGCAGCCCTCGATAACATCATGACAAGCATCAGTGAGGCCAGACTGGACGAGCGTCGATGGATGCGCAAGCAGTCGACCACCATAACTGGATTGATCCGGCAGAATTGGTGGGTGCTTGTCGACACGCAAGCACACATATACGAGCGAGCAATGAGTCGCTGTCGCACTTTGCTCTCATTTTCCCGAGAAGAAGCCAACTCCCAACTAATCGAAGACTGGCTGCAAGAGTCCTCGACGTGGATCGCGACAACCAGGCATTCGGCAGCGAGCGCAAAGTCCTGACGCATCGGCGCATCAATCGAAAGCGCGCTGCTCGCCCGAATGTTCTCTCCTCCGTCTACACGTCGCACTCCGCGCCCAATTAAGCGGCGTCGCATTCAGGAAGCTGAGTCCGAAGAGGGTGAGGGCTCAGGTGAAAGTGATAGTGGTGGTGGACAAAGACACGATCCTGACAACCACAACGACGCCGCAACTCCACAAGCGAGCCCACTCCCCAAATGAACCAGATCCGACCTGCTACACGCACCGACAGCGTCCGACAAGGCCTCGGCTAGCGTTAGCAATGGCAGAGATAGGGACATACTCTCGGACACGACGCCCATGTCGAAGCGCTCCGGGCGAACTCTCTGGCCCAGGACTAGTGGCCCGGGCTAGGGGACGCACTTGCGACACGAACGCCAAGGGGCGAAGGGTCATCAGCACAGAGTCAGGCAGTCTAAAGCGACGAGGGGTGGGGAGGATAGGAGTAGGTACGCGTACCGGAATAAGAGTTATAAGAGCCGAAACAAGAGAATATTAGTAGAGTTATAAGAGCCGAAACAAGAGAATATTAGTAGAGTTATAAGGCCAAGGCTACATGCTGAACGAAGCGATAGACATAAATAGCTACAAGAATAAGATGAGAGTTGCCAAAGTGCGCGGAGAATTAGCCAATGACTTTATGGATTAGTAAAACGCCCGGTTCGTAATACATCTTTAGAAGATGGCGCTCCTTTCCTTCGCCGTCAGTTTACAATCTCGATGAAGCCGTCCCATTCCGAGTCTTTCATATCCAGCCTGTTTTGCCCTGGGTTTGACAAAGATCACAAGATACCCCAAATCATTCGTTCGGTTCCCTCTGTCTTTCGCAACGATTGCCACATTTGGTATTGGGGAAAGCGCAGTCTTCACGTCAAGGCGGATCGAGCCACTTTCCCTCCCATTTGAGTCTCGGAGCTGCAAATCATCGTTGCCAACCACAGGAAAGCTCATACCACGATCCGTAAACTCCCAAATGATAGTGTTCACGGCTGTTTCGTTAAACCCTAGGTCTTGGAACACTTCTAGGTCGCCAAACTCGCCGTGCGGAAACTTAATGGCCCCTTCGTAAGCCATCCAAGACCATGAAGGTACATCTGGTTCTTGAGATGTGTACTTGATCCTGTTCGTTATCTGCCCGGATGATCGTTGCCAGAGGAGCGTTCTGTGTAAGTACCACTTAATGGTACCGTGGTAGATCGGACAAGGTAACGCTTGACTGACCCGAGCCATCAACCCGGAAATAGCAACAGCTCTATCTGATGGTTCCGTAATACCACGCTGCGAATAATCCTCTAATAGTGACCGAAGAAACTCCCAGGTGACTTTAAAGCCTGAGTATTGAAGTTGGCGGGGAAACTGGGGATCAGTTTGGAAGGACTTTACAGTCCCAGGATTGCTAAAAGAGTCAACGATCCGTGGCTTCAACTATACCGTACTTGTTGTTCTTACCTTGTTAGGAAGATTTTATCTCCTGCATAGACACCCTTTCCACATTCCCCATATACCTGAGTGCTGGTGAAGTGGATCGTTCGTGGCGAGAGATATCGCTCTTGCATCACCCAAGCCCTTTTGTTGAGCTCGGCTGCGTTCACATCCTCATCGAAGTCTGCCACGTTTGTCGAAACGTAAAGACATTGTTCTGACGCATCTAGAACGTAGATGCCCTGGTTATTGACAGACTCTGCCAAGAAGCCAGCACGCGAGTCTGATGCTGATGTCGCGGCTATTGTGCAGTATGCCGAAGCAAAGACTTGTTCCATCTTTTGAGATTCTTGCTCCCAATCACCACCTGGGCCTTGAATGATGCAGATTGAGTCGATCCAGAGGTAGGATATACCAAGCCCTCGCGTTACGTGGACGGCATCCTGAAAGGTCTTTGGCAGCTCGGCCAATTTGAATCCTTTCAGACGTGGTTTTTCGTTTTCTGGTAGCGTACGCCAAGGTGGCTCCTTGTCGTTAGGTGACTCGCCCCAACGATGAGACAAGGCAAGGTACCGGGGGTTTCCTTCTACCTGTGCTGCCACTTGAAGGCATATGTCTTCGTGATCTTGAGACGGATTCACATAAAGAAGTCGCGTTGGCAATGCAACTTCCCGGGGCATACAGCGATGACCAGAATCGCACTCTTGAAGCCATGAGCTTAGCAATTTCAAGCGCGAGACGTTAGATGAGCCGATGAGGCCATGAAGATGTTGCTACACGCGTTTAGAAATGTTATTAAGATTCTTCAGCAATGAACATACTGATTGGGCGACTGGCAAACCCGGGACACGCTGGCCACGGCTACGGTGGCAAGGAAGGTCCGTAGTGGTTCCAGAGCTACCTTCAGAGGCTAAGTGATGACAAAGGGTTAGTAACTAATTGAGGAGAGACAGATAAAAGATGGCTTACGATGGTAGATTCTTGCGATGGAGCAAGCACTCGGATGTGCAGTTATTTTTGACTCATCGCTGTCGTCAATACAAACTGAGACATCGTCTTTCTTAGCCTGCTTGCATAGCATGGCCAAAAGAGGGCACGTAGATACAGCGTTTTTGAGATCAGGCAGCGGGACAAAATCTCGCTGGATGATAAGATTCTTGCACGCCACACAGGAGCCAGCTGGGTGAGGAGCAGTTGGTCTTAATAAATCGCGATCTTTGAAAGCCCGGTCAAGTACGTCGTCGTCCAGTTCATAATGCCACACGTTGAGCTACAACAGATTAGTTACAAACTCAAGAAACATAGTCATAGTGTTCTTTTTAAATGCATGCACAGCTTGGGATGGTCTGGCAGTCACTTACATACTATTCCATCGCACACGCGTCCGTCAGTCGATGCCACACAGCTTATAGCTCGGGATGGTCTGGCAGTCACTTACACGCTATTCCATCGCACACGCGCCCGTCAGTCGATGCCACGCAGCTCGGGATGGTCTGGCAGTCACTTACATACTATTCCATCGCACACGCGCCCGTCAGTCGATGCCACGCAGCTTATAGCTCGGGATGGTCTGGCAGTCACTTACACGCTATTCCATCGCACACGCGCCCGTCAGTCGATGCCACACAGCTCGGGATGGTCTGGCAGTCACTTACATCCTATTCCATCACACACGCGTCCGTCAGTCAATGCCACATAGCTCGGGATGGTCTGGCAGTCACTTACATCCTATTCCATCGCACACGCGCCCGTCAGTCGATGCCACACAGCTCGGGATGGTCTGGCAGTCACTTACACGCTATTCCATCGCACACGCGCCCGTCAGTCGATGCCACACAGCTCGGGATGGTCTGGCAGTCACTTACACGCTATTCCATCGCACACGCGCCCGTCAGTCGATGCCACACAGCTCGGGATGGTCTGGCAGTCACTTACATCCTATTCCATCACACACGCGTCCGTCAGTCAATGCCACATAGCTCGGGATGGTCTGGCAGTCACTTACATCCTATTCCATCACACACGCGCCCGTCAGTCGATACCACACAACTTATAGCTCGGGATGGTCTGGCAGTCACTTACATACTATTCCATCGCACACGCGCCCGTCAGTCAATGCCACATAGCTCGGGATGGTCTGGCAGTCACTTACATCCTATTCCATCGCACACGCGCCCGTTAGTCGATACCACACAGCTCGGGATGGTCTGGCAGTCACTTACATCCTATTCCATCGCACACCCGCCCGTCAGTCAATACCACACAGCTTATAGCTCGGGATGGTCTGGCAGTCACTTACATACTATTCCATCGCACACGCGCCCGTCAGTCAATGCCACATAGCTCGGGATGGTCTGGCAGTCACTTACGAGCTATTCCATCGCACACGCGCCCGTCAGTCGATGCCACACAGCTCGGGATGGTCTGGCAGTCACTTACATCCTATTCCATCGCACACGCGCCCGTCAGTCGATGCCACACAGCTCGGGATGGTCTGGCAGTCACTTACATCCTATTCCATCACACACGCGTCCGTCAGTCAATGCCACATAGCTCGGGATGGTCTGGCAGTCACTTACATCCTATTCCATCACACACGCGCCCGTCAGTCGATACCACACAACTTATAGCTCGGGATGGTCTGGCAGTCACTTACATACTATTCCATCGCACACGCGCCCGTCAGTCAATGCCACATAGCTCGGGATGGTCTGGCAGTCACTTACATCCTATTCCATCGCACGCGCCCGTTAGTCGATACCACACAGCTCGGGATGGTCTGGCAGTCACTTACGAGCTATTCCATCGCACACGCGCCTATTAGCTTATATATTAACTTAGTCCATATCTTCGTGGTAATCTCACTTCCTGCTTCGTAGTTAATATAATAATCGCTAGCGTCAAGGCAATTATGAACTACATTCTGTATTATCCTTATTAGCTTAGGTATAGCTCCATCATTGGGAGTCACCCCGATAGATAGCCTTCCTTGAAGGACCAGATGGATGACCCCAAGGTCATACCGCCGCAACAACGGGGATGGGCCCGTGAGCGGGACTGACTGTACTTATTATCTTGAGACCTCCACAACCCTGCGATGCAGAGGCTCTGGGAGGCGTGGTTTGCACTACTGAGGAGCTACCCCCACGTTAAATACAAAACAAACAACAAACAAACATTGGGAGTCAGCTCACGTACAATAAATAGGTCGTCGCCTAATCCGGTGGGCAGTTCTGCCAAGTCGCTCATTTTGTAGATCGCTTATAATACTACCAGTTGCGTTGTATTATACCGAGTGATTGATGGCCTCAAGTCAAGGTATAGGGCAGCAAGGAATTTCAAGCAGGAATAAAAAGAGGGTATAGAAAGGTTTAAGACTTGTCCCGCTATTCCCTAAAGCTCACGTGATCAGTCTGCCCTAGACCGGGTGCGCTTCGATTGGAGCGTTGACGTCTCAGCATGCCCACAACAAAAGACTGTTTTCGCAGCGCTAGGCAGCAGTACCAGGGTGTTAAGAACCAATCAAAGATGGCACCATGGCCCGAGGGCCTTGCCAGGTGTAGAAACATGCCCCCTCATTGAGGCATTGTTCATACAGCCTGACGCGCAGAATGCCTTGCGACGACGATAGCAGATCACCGATCTATCTGTAAATTCTCATTCCACTTTGCGGACTGCTGGTGATCATCTGCCGCCCTGCATGCCTCTTTATCAACCGCTATTGGAGATGAATGTTCCTCCCATTCCGCTGCAGCAACTCGTCATGCCACACCGACGTTACATGCCGCAAGGTGATCCAGCCTATTCCTGAACCTACCGGAACGAGAGCTTGGTTTGCGTGGGAGTGTAGTTGCCTCGTGGTTTCGATTGGCAGCGAACTTTAGACCAGCACATTAAACTGAGCGAGTTACTACATCTGCATCATCCACAGTACCCGGAAGGCGAGCTCTAGTGCACTCGGAACAACCCGATTGACCGAATAGTTCACACTGTCCAAAAATCAGCTTATCATAATCTATGTCCCTGCAGAGTACGTACCTTTCGTTTGGTGTAGTAACACCGTACACATCGTTTTGGCTTCTTTGAAGTGGGTGGTAAACTCGGTTGTTTGTAGCTAAGACAAGTGGTAGCGGGGTAAAACATGGCGAGTTAAAGCACTTACGGGTGAATATCAGACCGACGTATGGGTACTTTCCCCGAAGTGGAGCGTCTGCAACACCAGCGGCTGTCTGTTCGACCCGACGTCGCACTACCACCAGAAGCACGCGTGCCTGTCCGGGTCGCCTCCCGTGGTGGCCCGCGAATTCGAAGAACTCTACTGACGACGGTGCGATTAGCTCTTGAAGCGTCCAGCCCCGTGTAAACCATCGGCTATTTCGGAAACCCGACTTCCACACTGGTCGTGACAGTTCATCGACTTGTAGATTGACACTCTTGGAGACATCGGACAGGTAAACGTAGCATCTTGTCGCATCTTGGTACCAGCGGAACATGGAGTTGATAGCCTCATTGAGTTCGGTGCTGTTGAATTTGTCGATACAGCAAGTATCCACCCAGGAGTGTTTCAAGTCGTCCTCGGCAGCCTGCTCACAGCAAAACTTGATCTTCTGATACCCGCGTTTGCTTCTTCCCGTTTGTTCTGTCATGTCTTGAAAAGTAACCTCGTCTTCGTCGTCGCCCCAGGTGTGCGAAAGTATGGCATATGGAGGTATGTTGTTCACCAGGTCTTTAGTCAGGCGAATGCTTCCGTCGTTTTCGAGTTTGAGTAGACCCATGGTGAAGAAGTTATGCCGTGATGTAGGCAGCCACTCACCTCTACTCCATGCTACTTGATTACGATATCGGATTCCCGCCCGGCTTGCTGGACGTCCTCCTCCTCCCCCCAAAGTCACAGATAAAATGTCTGTCCCGCATCGAGTCCTACATCTATTCACGTCAGAATGGCGCCAGGTTCAAGGGCACCTCGGTTTTCGGTGGGTTTGGACTTGCCTATTCGTTTGCCGTCCGATACTTTGATATTTCAGAGACGCATCAGTCTATTCGCAGCCAGATCCAGGATGCGGCCCGAAAAGACAAAGACCATACTCTTAATGCCTTGGACAGTTGCTGGGCAGCTTACCTTGAGCTCAAGCGCCGCCACGAGACGTCTACCCACCATAAATCGAGGTCTATAGACGCGAGTTCGTTCTGGAGTGTACCCAGTCTTGCCCCAAGTGCCATGCAAAGGGGGATGGACGACTCGAAAGTCTTGATCCACGAATGGCCTCTTCCAGCCGTTGAGTCAGAAGCGAAGGCCGTCGTGTTTGAGCTCCAGGTTCCAGGACCAATCGCCACATGGCGAAGGCTCACACTGAACTTGCTCGTAGACATGCTCGACGTAGAGCAACGCCCGATGTTTTCTGGCGGGTCCCCGTATACTCCTTCAAGCTACACTGAGCTCTCTCGACACATCCCTCATGCTCAGATATGCCGACTGGGCCTCGGATCAGAGGCCAAACCATTCACGGTTGCCCATTATCGAAGCGTGCATGTTTCCGAGGCAACGGCAGACAACATCTGCAAGCCCCACGGATGTACCTGGGATTATTACGATCTCGATTAATCCGTGAACAGCTCCGCTTTGACCGAATTCTCGGCCGAAGCGAAGATGATAGGAGTCTTGCAGCTCACAATGAGGTTGGCCTTCGGAACCCAGAAGGTGTCGTCTTTCTTGTACCACGTCCGGGCGACTTGGTCGTTCCGGTCTACTCTGGGCGCCAAGGCCGGCTTCTCGACCTCCTTCTTCTCGACCTCGAGCTTGATCGGGATAAACTGGTTCTTGTGCGGAAGGTGTAAGCCGGGGAGCCGATCTCCCGCGGAGCAATCCATCGCCTTCGATATCTCAGCCAGGAAGTCCACCGGTATCTTCTCAGACTTGTATTCCGTGCCGTACCACTTCCCCTTCTGATCCCAGCCACCAGGCAAGTCTTGAGATACTATGGTCATTCTGAAATTGTCGGGACGCAGAAGTTCCACGCCCTTCTTGATCAGTGCTGGGTCGAATTTCCGTAGGCGACTTTGCCCACTAAGCAGCATAAAGAAACCAACTCGCCTATCTAAACGCAGCGCAAGCTTGAGAATACTTGACGTTGGCTGTGACTCGTTAAGGACGCAGCGTGGCTTTCCAGGAACCATCCTACAGGGGGCATGCGACGGGAGATGCACTCCAAGCAAGTCATCCCGTTGGTGTTCCTGGGGAAACGGTAGCCCCCCATGAAGTCATTCCTCGGAGGCCTGCGGTTGGCTTGACAGGTCAACAATTGTTCGATAAGCGCCTAAGTAGCTAGGCGTGACTACCAAGTGACTGGCATACTAGGGACCCGAGTGTCCAATGAATTCAGGAGCGTTGCGTGTTGAAAGCAACAGACGTGAAGTCTTGTTTTAGCAAACCATAGCAGGCAATACAGAGAAGGGAAACTGGCTCGACAGTGTCAGGAAGTTATCGATCCTATTTCCGTACATTTTTCCTGCCAACAACCGATGCCTGCAGCTTCGAGTGGGGCTGGTAGGCCTCTGCCTGCTAGCCGAGAACACAGTCAACTTTCTCCAACCCCTTCAGTACGGAGCTGTAATAGACTCCTTGAGTGGAACTTCAGCAAAGGACCCATGGGTTCAGGTCGCCGTTTTTATCGGTCTCAAATTTCTATCGTCTGATGCCGGGATTCGCATGGTACGGCAGTTCCTTTGGGAGCCTTTGGAGTGTTATTCGGCAGAGGCACTGACAGTCGCGGCATACTCACACATAATGAACCTTTCTTTGGCGTTCCACAACTCCAAGAGCTCATCCGACCTTAAAAGGGCTCTTGTGAATGCTGGCACGGTCTCGGGCATGCTCGGGGTGGTCTGCTTTCAAACGTTACTCCTCCAGAAACCATCCATCGTGCTTCTTGACGAGGTAACCAGCTCTGTGGATACTGTGACGGAGCAGAAGGTCCAAAAAGGGCTCCGGGCACTTTGTAAGGGCCGGACCACCTTCACCGTCGCGTAAGTTTTCTACTACCAGCTGTTTAGAACTTTCCAAGTCCTTATTTGTATTTAGGCACCGGCTCTCTACAATCAGAAACGCAGAAGTCATTTGTGTTATCTCCGACGGGAAGATTATCGAGCAGAGCAGCCACGAAGAGTTGATACGTCGACGTGGCAAGTACTTTGAGCTTTGTTCGACACAGAGGTTGGGACCGGAGCAGGCAGCGCCCCATGTATGAGCATCACTATTTGCATAATTCCTTCCTCGATGCATGTCGTAAAAGGGATGATGCACTTCTAGGCTGATTAGACACACCATAAGAGGGGCTTACTAGGAGCATATTGTATTGTCTGGTCTGCGTATGTCGGGACCTACTCGCGTCCGGGAGCTTTGAACTGCCCGGCCACTGTGGACGGGCGATCTCCGCAACACAGCTCGATTCCCACACCCTAGACCAAGCACAAGCAGTATGCAGGCAAGGATGAGCCCGGGGGTAAGCAAACAGTGGTCCTGGGGACAGGTATATGGGTCTTCCAAGAGCGCGACGTAGGACAACGCACACAGCCATGTTGATCGCCTCCTCCCCCCTTATGATATGCAGAGTGAGCCGAAAAAGGAAGCGACAGTTTCCCGTCTTCCGCGGATCTGTTCTTCTCAATACCAAATATACCAAGGTGTTGAGATGCCGATAATATGGAATGTTACGTTTTGACAGGGGTATCGATGCCTCGTTTCGTACGACCGTTGGAGGAATCTGGGTGTACGGGTCTAGGCCTCCTGAAAGCGACCACTAGCATTCCACATCTCCTGCGTTGACCTATAAGACGAATGTGAGCTGCCTACTTCCCGCAGCGGCTTGCATGAACCTTCGTAGGCCTTGTTAACCTGGTTCTCCCTCCGCTCGTGGCTGGGGACGGGGCCCATCCGATAGGCAGTAGCATATGCCCACATGATTGGGCGCATACGAGCGATTTATCGCGGAAGCGTGGTCAGCTGGTAATTTTCGATCAATCTATTCAATCAGGACTGCTGGACCGTCTCCGTTGAGTTTTCCGTACATATCGACGGGCGCGTTGATACCACCGTCCATGCATGACAAGCTGTTCGAGACGCCACTAGGCGCTTCCAGCTACCCCTTGCTCACATTTATGCCGTTACCACTACTCGGTTGGCGAGCTTATGCTCCGAACAGGGATGACTAGTGACGGGAGTCAAAGCCGGCAGCAGGTTGTGTGAAGGCAGTGAAACCGGACAGGGGCGAGGTTGCGGCCATGGATTGGTATGCTTTCTTTGGTTGAGATGCTGCACGGCAAGTCTCTTCGTCACGGTCTTGGTTCCAGCGCATCACGGTTACAATTTCAATTTACCGGTGGATCATGCGCCAGAGCCGGTGAAGTTCGGTCGACGTCTGAACCTGACGTAAGGATACGGACAGAGCCAGTGAAGGGTGGCACCGAACCAGTTACGTCCAGTAACGCGTTGCTTCCACGGTCCTTGCTGCCTTCCACTTGCGGCCAGTCAAGGAAAGCCGTCACTTGACAACTGCAAATATAAGGCACACCTAGAATTGCAAGACTGCTGCGTTATACAAAGTCCACCCGAAGCGTATTATACCCAAGTCTGCCACATGAATAGTCGATAGACACATTACATCTCACCTTCTATTAAGCCTACAGGTTCCATCGAAGCTAGCTCATATACTCCTTTACACTATCAGTGCGAACACCAGGACAGAGTGTGGGCACCAGAACGACCGGAGGACTGTCCGAATGCCCCAACCGACGAACACGGAAAGACCTATCGATGTTATCCAGTATCGTCGACGGCAACCCATCCAACGCTTGGCACGTGTGGTCGGGAGGAGACCAAGGTCGTGTGCCGCAGGAAAGTGCGTAAAAGACACGGCTGGGCGTGCCACTTATGTTATACGAGGACACAGGGTAGTCTCCACTGTGTCAACCAGGAATGCCGACACAAAGAGTGCCAATACTGCGGGGACCAGCAAGAAGAGTAGGAGCAAGAAGAGTAGGAGCAAGAAGAGTAGGACTTATAAGAGGTGAGTACCCCCGAGAGTAAGTAATGGATGAGAGACTGACGAATGAGGAGCTCCGGAACAGGTGTCTCGTCGGGTTGGAACATGAAGTCATTCCGCTGCCGGAGCAGACGTACCACGCCATCGACGACATCGAGCGGATCGTGACGCTGCCGCACGAGGCTGCCCATCGGGACGTCGATGAGGTCGTGCTGACGGCCAACGAGGCCGGCGGGGTTCGGACGTTGAGTAGGTGACTTGCCCACGTTTTTGTTGTGAACGGCCAGGGTAAAAAAAAATCAGTTGCATTCATTACGGGTGTTTGCATAGCCGTGGGCTTCGTTGGGGGTTTGATCATGCGGGGTATATAATTGGTCGTGCTCTGCCACGTCGCGCCGGTCCTCTTCCCTTTCTCTTCGTTCCTGGCCTTCTCTAACTGTGTAACAAGCACCCCGCCCCCGAGACCTAAGAATGCACGACTTCTTCATCGAACATTGGACGACAGGGCCGCACGACGAGGACGTTGAGCTCAGCGTGCGATGTTTTGGTTCTGTGTTTCACCTAGTTATTTCACCTAAATACATCAAAGCTCCCGAACTTGTAAAGCGGCATCTTGAATCCCTGCACGATTTGGATACGCGGGATGGCAGCGAAGTGGCGCGCCAGCTCACGCAACCTTTCGAATCCCTGATGACGAGTCTGGCGCCGGAAGGCCCAGACACGGCCGGCTATCTCCTTTCTGACTATCTTTACCCGCAGCATTTCTTGCTCAGGGCCGCAGCGAATGCGGAAGATACGCAAATCACCCCGCGTCTCAGTAAGAGGACCAGCGGCACCGCTCCCGGAGACTACATACTTCCAAGGCCCCGACGGGCCGGTTTCCATCAAGTAGGGCTCGGGCAAAGCTTGGGCGAGCTTCAACTGGAGGAATGGGTGCCGAATATATACTCATCAGATCAAATTCGACTGGTACCTTCCGCTTGGAGCCTGGAGAATGACGTTCGACTAAGTGGCCCGACGAAAGTCATTGCTCCTGATGGTACACCATACTTCTTCAAGCGATGGTGTCGATTCGGCAATGGCCCAGGAGCAAGTTTTCGAGAGCTTGCCACGTACAGAGCAATCCAAGAGGCCACGACATCAGGGAAGCTCCGGCGCGACTTGCGCATTTCCCGCCTTCATGGGGTTGTGGTTGATACAGACGTGGAAACACATCCACGATTTAGCGACAGTCCACAGTCCAGCGACAAAGCTTCCCTGGGTCAGGGCCGTCAGCGCCTTGTTGGGATCCTGCTTACTTTCGTCGACACCAACAAACCAAAGTGGCTTGGGACGCTGTCTGACAGGGTTTGCTGCAAGGATGGAAAACCCACGTCGGCTTTACTCTCCCGTTGGGCACGGGAATTAGACGAGTGCGTCGCTGCGTTGCACGGTGCTGACATCATCTGGGGAGATGTGAAGCCACAGAACGTACTGGTAGACCGGGAAGACAACATTTGGGCAACCGACTTCGGGGGCAGCCACACCGTCGGATGGGTCGACAAGGAGAAGAGAGAAACGATCGATGGGGATCTACAAGGCGTTGAAAGAATCAAACATTTCCTCGAGAGTGCCGCGGTCTAACGATCGGATGTTCTGGAATACTGTTCGGGATGAGCAAAGGTTGCTTGAAGGAGGCCGACTCGGGAGGTGTGCTCGCGACCCGCATGGCCCAAGTATTGGTTGTCAGGGCCGATGTCATGGAACTTTCTCTTCGTTTGTCGTCCTGTACTTTATCCTTAGTGCATAGGATAGCAATATTATTGCTGGCAAGAACGAAGAGCTATTACTAGCGTACGACGAGTTGGATGAGCGCAAGAAGCACGTGACGCAGCACAGCGAGCATCAGACTGTGTCGAGTGGTGAGGTGAGCAGCGATGCTAAGAAGTAACCACGGGAAGTCAGCAAGAACAACTGCGTACCTGATATAAGGTACGCATGCCTCCCGACTGGCGAGAGCATCCTCCAGCAACTGCACTTGGAAGTGGTGCGCGACGAGTCACGTTGAGGTCGCGCATAAGAAACGCTGCCGCCACGAGGGCGACACCATCGCCTATCTGACCACGATGCAACTGTCTATGTCGTAGACCAAGAAAGCCGCTCGCTGAGGCGCCTCCAGCAGACCCGCAGGCCTTCGAGCCCCTCAGGGCTGTGAGTAACCGCAAGCTGGACTCGATCAGCATCCAAGCCTTTAGGTGGCGGCGCACCAGCCTCGACGGCCCAAAATACCAAGGCTCTGCAGAAGCACCTAAGCCACAATCTTCAAGCCACAGTGGCTCAACTCACTAAGATTAAAGCGGTAATTCTTAGGCATAAACACCTTTCCTACTCGAACCTCACGCGGAAACCTCAGGGATCTGCAAGCGCCTCCTCACATGTGCCAAGCAGGTTCTCAAGCAAGCGAACCAATCATGACAGGAAACCTTTGCCAAGCGTGTCATACGTGTCGCATTAATTCCAGCGTGCATGTCAAGAGTTTAAAGAAGGCTACGGATTGGCTAAAGGTTATTCCACTTCCCAGTGTCGAGTTTTGATTTAGGTACTCCAGTACTTCGGGCTGCACACAATGTGGCCACTGCGTCCGCTTTTGACGGACGCATAAGGGCACTCTCCGTATCTTGCAACATGGCGAGAGTCCGAATTCTGTTTCTTGATATCCCAAGAAGCTGTCATTTTCGCACTCTCTGATTAGGCCATCTTAATAATAGGTCTCCCCTATTCATCTAATCCCGTCCAGTCTTGGGTAGTTCAGTAACGGCGGTTTACCCAGGAATGCCTTGTGATTACATCCGACGTATCGTAAGAGTGAGTGGGTTCACAAGTGGAAAGTCCTCGGGCTGAGCAGAGAACGTCTAGCCATCCCTGCGTTCTTGGGGTCAGGGTTGTGGGACCAGGGGAGAACAGAGTGATAGGCGGTAGTGGTCCGATAGAATCATGGATGCCAGGTGTCAGCCAGGGTGGTGGTGCGCACGCCCGCGAATCCCAAGCAGCTCTTTTTCATGACTCATATGAGAGGAGGCAGAGAACGCCTAGCCACCCCTGCGTCCTTGGGGTCAGATATGCCTTGGGGGACCAGGGGAGACAGAGTGATATGCGGTAGTGGTCCAATAGAATCATGGATGGATGGGAGTCGGCCCAGGTGGTGGTGCGCGCCTTGTTTCATGCCTGAATATCGGCGCCTAAGGTAGATAGCTAATTGGACTCTTGCCTATGCCCTGTCATATCCTTGTCATGTCAGCGCTTGAGCTAGGCGGACAAGATCGAAACGGGATACAAACGTAAAAAATGTAAGGTGTGCCCGTTTCTCTCTCGGTAATGACCGCCCGTATGAAGCTGGCTCGTGGTCCGTGCTGTGTGTCTACCAGAGGCAACCGGTTTCAGCTCAATACCACCATTGATGAACCGTCATAATTCCAACAGACATGTCCTAACACCGCCGGATTAGTAGTTGGGTCGGTGACGACCAGCGAATCCCCGGTGTTGTATGTTTTGCGTTTTTGATATCCTTGCCTTGCCTATCTGTTTTGAGGATATTGTTTTTGGGTCATGCAAGCTGGATGAGTTCATTTCTTTTGGACTGACGATTCTGTCGGTGGCGAGAGGTTGATATAGCGTGGATGCGTCTATATTGAGACGTCTGAGTCGATGGACTCTGATTCAACACCAACCGGAACTCGCGACTTGAATATCCATGGACGGGTTGCAGTCCTCTTCTGGAAAGACGCCGGAATTGTCGGTAGAGAAGGCCCTTTAATGGGCGTTGATTTTGGCTTATCCTTTTTGCGTTGTTGCATTTCGTTGCATTGTAACGCCCTGAGTTCGGAGCTGAGATACCATCATCGTTGGAATTTGCCTTATTTCGCGATTAGATCTGATTTTAAATTGCCTACTGTGGTTTCGTTGCATACTGTACTGTCATCTCTGGACTCGAATCATTTGAGTTGTCCCCTCTGATTCCTGTACTAGAGTAACCCCAATACATAGGTAGTAAGTAGTAGTCTCTGCTCCGCGAACGACAGAGGGCCGGGAGGTGGCTTCTGCATGAGCAGCATTGCTCTCTGGTGTAATGCAGATACCAGATGCCTACCTACCCATGGTCGTGGGAGGCGTCGGGCATGGGTCAATCATATTTTGGTACACATCCCAGGAGTCTTCCTCTCGGCTGCTTAATCACCCATAACTTTCATGTAATTAGAAGGCAGTATATTACCAGAAAGTTCGCACCGGACTCTAGTAGAGTATGCTAATGCTATGTTGTGAACGCAATTATATGCTATGCCTCGCCGCCATGCCTGTGAGTGTGTGTGTGTGTGTGTGTGTGTAGGTACCTATCCAGCAATCTGGTTTATACATGATTAAAATATGGTGTGGAACCATTGCGCCTAGAAACTCAAAGCAATCCGTGTGAACTCCATGGTCTCCGTATGTCAACAATATCCGCCTGTGGCCTGTCTTCATCTTCCGGTCCATCCATCCATCCATCCTCCATCCTAGAGGCTTATGACTGCCCACCCCCCTTAGCAAGCGCCGCCGGACTAGGCTTCTTCGCAAACGCCTGTTGCCGATTAGCGTAATCCTTGATGATCAGCGCGCACGTGTGGTCGGCGCAAAGCCTGCGCCTCCGCTGCGGCGGCAGCTTGGTCGCGAATTCCAAACCGCTGGCCCTCTCGACGGCCTCGACGGGGACCTCGAAGTCGGTCAGGGGCTTTGAGTTGGGAATGTGCGCGTTGGGCAGCACAAAGGCGCCGACGGCGACGTGGCCGCCCACGGCACCGTCCTCGGCAAAGATGACCTTGTAGAAGTGGGTGGGCACGGCGACGCTGGGCGGGCTGCCGATGACCTCGTAGCGGACGTACCACTTGCCATCGGCCGGGTCGCGGCGCGGCAGGTACAGCGGCCCCGTGACGATGCGCACGCTGGGGTAGCGGCCCGTCAGGCGGCGGCAGAAGTCCTCGAAGTGCGCCCAGTAGTCGCGGTTGAAGCCCTCGCCCACCTGCGGGCACATGTTGGTCAGGTAGAAGGTGTCGTCCATGGCGCCCTGCGACCACCGCGCGTCCGCCGCCGGCACCTGGTGGCCCCGGTCGTACCCCGACCGGAAGTAGTCCTTGAGCGTCGCGCGGAACTGCGGCGGCACGGCCGGGTCTTCGGCGAAGACGCTGTGCTTGCGGTCGCCGTCGCGCTGCGCGAGGGATGCTGGTGTGATGTGCTCGGCTACCCAGTGCGGGTTGCGCAGGCGTCGGTCGAAGGACGAGATGAGAGCTGCGCGCGTCGCGATGTCGGAAACGGGGCCTGGGAAGCCATACTCGAAGAGCCCGGCCGGGTCGACGGGGGCGAGCCCGGGCGCAGCGGGCGCGGAGGTCGAAAGGCCCGGCTGTTGGTTCGGGGGCGTGAAGATCTGTTTTGAGGGAATGGGTACGGGCGCGGTCGCGCCACTGGAGGAGGATACAGTTGTGGTGGTTGTAGATATGGTCTTGGTTGGCATGGTGGGTGCTTCGAGCTTGCGCTCGGTTTGCGGTCGCAGCGAATACATTGTGGCAGTAACGGCGGCTCCGGCTCCTGCGCTGGCCGCTGCGATGATTGCTAGAGTTGTCTTGGACATCGTGGGCGAGTAGAGGCGGCTCCCTCGAGGAGCTGCGAGCTGCGGTGTGGTTTTTATATGGGAGGAGAGTCGGTCGCGGAGACGGTTGAGATGAGGAACAGCTGCTGCTGGAGTCGTCAGGCGCAGGTGTAACGGACGCGGTTGCGGCTCACGAGGGGGCGATGCGACGCCCGCTTGGTAGTGCGGTGTGGTGCAGGTGTCTCAGACAGATGCTTGTGAAAATGAGAGAGATCTCAGCCTCGAGGACGGGGCTATCAAATGATGGTGGTCGGCTGCTGCAAGGTACGCGTCTGAAATCAAACGGTGTGCTATTTTGGCGTGGGCAAGGATCCATGGGACGGATGATGAGGGTCACTGGCGCGGGTGGTGGCAGCTGTCATCTCTGGTATACCATGTTACTAAGGGGTCGGCTGGACGGTCTCTCTTAGAATAGCAGCGCACTTGCTCGACTGGCAAACCCCGTGACATTGAACACAAGTCCACTTAGGTACTAATAGCCATTACAAGTATACAGATCATCCCCGTTCATTTGCCTCATCAGATGTCTTCCCATTCACACGTGTCGATCATATATGTCTTTATATGTACAGTAGTTCCATCGTAACCTTCATCATCTTGACCCTGTGTCTCCGATTCCCCAACGCCTTCTGTACAAGCAAAGCAAAACACCTCTGTCCCAATGTGCCTGGGAGTAGACACCAGCCGTATCGACTCTCTTGGTATTGTCTCATTCGTATATCATGATAACAACTTCATCGTATTCGATCATTACAGAGGTCGGCGGCGCCCCGACCGGCAGACAGCAGGTGACGGAGGTGGCGGCGGCTCGTCAGGAGCCGAAGCTAGCACGATGCGCCCATCAGGTCGTTTGATGAGATGGAGGTGGATATCCGCATCGTCGTTGAAGATGCCGTAAGGGTCTTCCGGTGTAGCCCTCGCCGACGGGGTTTCAGACTCTCTGGGCCAGGCCTGCTCGACCTCGCTCGTACCTGTGCTGATGCGATGTTCGCTCCGGCTACCCCGAAGCAGCGCTCGGAACACGGGGATCGACTGGGCGAGGATTGTCGTAGCGGGCTCTGCCACATTCGTGACACAGATCTTGCCCACCACGTCTGTTGAGGACATTGTTCGTTAGCTCTGCCGAGTTTGGCAGGTGCAGCTGCCGGCAACTCACAGGTATAATCAAACGCGCCATTCGTCTCTGTCAGGAGGACTATTCGGACTACAACCACGACACAGGCTCTAGAGAATGCATCGCGTTAGCGACCTGGTTTCATCTCGATCACCAAATCATAAGAGGGCTACTTACACCACACCCAGGCTCATCGCCACAGATAACCCTATTCTATCTTGGACCCGAAGCTTGATCTTCCATATGATAATCCACGGGAAGAAGGCAAGTGCGAGATCCATCAGGCCAGAGTATGCTGCGGGAAGACATCGCGGTCAGCCGAGTCACGGTCGAAGGAGGACAGCGCGTCTACGTACTGGCTTGGACATACATGAGCTGCCTGAAGACGTCAGCCTTCCAACATGCACCAGGGAGTACCGCGTTGGCGAAGCCCTTGCTATCTTTCGACTCGCACGACTTGGCCCAGACGCCGACGGCGAACATATAGCAGATGACGTTGAGGCCCAAGATGGAGAACCACAGGAATGCTTTGGCCACCTTTCGCTTTGTTATGCTCAGCAGAGTGATGGCGAAGGCTGTCTTGCTCCAAGCCGTGGAGAGGGCCGCCATGCTGAATGCGGCAGAGAATAGACTGGCTGGAAGGCCAGTCGCCAGGATGTCCTGCCCAAACCCTTCCGCAAACATGGCGCTCTGAAGACTGCACGTCAGCAGCAAGGCGACCTGGTACTTTACGTCAGCGGGGAGGGCTCACGAGGAGTCTGACTCTCTGGACCGTGACTCACGAGAGAAGCGATGAGCAGGTAGTCATCGTACCAGAGCCCACTGTGTAGATACGCTCTGCACCAGATGCGAAGGGCCAAGAAGACCGTCGCCAGAATAGCCACGGGCCAGGAAGACGAGTTCACCAATATCGTGGGATTGCGGTGACTCTCCATGCCTCGACGACTCTGGAGTATGAGCGCCTGCAAAGTGCACGATTGTCGGTCTGGATTAATATCAGCGACCCGTTGATCATGTCCACTCAGACGAAGGCGGCTCGTCAGGGTTGCGCGTCCATTGCTACTCCAAAGGAATCACCAGATCTTGAATACACATTTTCAGACTCGATGGACAGCGATGAGACGAGAGAAGGCAAAAAAAGAGGTGGCAGCAAGTCTGCAAATGTGCATGGTTCCTGATCCCAGCACTTGGTTCAAGCATCCCAGTCGAAACCAGACCCGCCCCCGTACCCTGACCGCAATCGGGATATTAGCGCAGGACCGATAGAATGTGGTCCAGGGTCAGGATCACCTCTACAAGGATATGCTCTGGGAACTTGGAAGGCATCGCTCGCATCGGTCTGACAAGTAGTTGGGATCATAATTTGCAGTGGAATAAGCAGTGGTTGGTCATACTACCTAGGCAGGCTGTGTGACGATGATAGATTGGTACGACAGAAGTCCATGCATTCCCACCAACGCTACGCAGTCGCGAGCAGAAGAAATCATAAGCCCGACTCTCCCACATAAATAATACGACCCAGCGATGATTCGAGGGAACCCAAATAGACTTTCTCAGAAACTTAGATAGCATTCGCCCATCTACCGTTCCGAGGGTCTGGAAGCGAGCGATACTGGCCGGCCACTGAAGATCCATGAAATTATGGAATCCCACGTGGTGAGACCGGATGCGACCCCCTGTCTCCCAACCCCGGATAGCTTATTATGGATGGACCTGGTGATCGCCCCATTTGGCCCTAACCACACAGTTCACCGCAAGGAAATCGGCAGAGGCTGGACACATGAGGGCATCGGAATACTTTGCTCAGTACCGGTACCGACAGTGGACAATTAATGGTCTGTGGAATGTACGTCACGATTGCAATACCTATGTCCGCTACTCTATGATATGCGGAACCATGTCGTCTTCCTTCTCCCCGGAATAGATATCACTGCTGTACGGCAGTTGCGTCGCGGGTGGAGGTCTTGTTCCGAGGCGGTGTCCATTGATGCGCTCCCCGCCCGTATCTCTCGCTCGCCCCCTCACGAAGGATTTGGGGCGATCCTCTCAAGTGGGATATTCTTCAGCCTGCCCAGAAGACGAAGCCGTGGAGGTGAGAGTCCTGGTTGGGTACGGGTGACCGCGTCATTGACCGACGAGATATCTGTGGATACTACCGAGTCTCTGTCACCCAAGGATTCTCCTGTCGGTAGCGGCTGCGTTGTATGACCAGTTGGGGTCTCTTCCTGTGCGGTGCCAGCTGCCAGCTGAGACTCGGGAAGAGGTTGCGCCTCCGCTTCTGCGTCTCTATAGACAAGCCTCGGTCCGGTCTGCACGTCGGGCAGGTAGAGAGATATCCAAGCCGAGATGAGCATCAGCGGTATGCACACCAGGAGCCGTATGCCGAGCGACTTCTCGTGGTTCTCCGTCGCCTCGATGACGGCGCGGATGACGATCGCCCCGACTTTGCCGGACGCAGCCGCCATGCCGTAAAAGGTGCACCGGTAGACGGTGGGGAATATCTCGGCGGCCAGGACGAAGATCAAAGTGTTCGGGCCAGCGTTGAAGGTGAAGTGGATGAGCGCGATGAATATGGTCGTCAACAGATGGGCTTGGTTCTTGTCTGATGTGACGATCAGGTTCGCCCCCGCGACTGCGAAGAGCACACTGAGGATGAGGAAGGTCGTGAAGAGGATGTACTTCCTCCGGAAGTAATTGATGATTACTATGGCCGTGATGCTGCCAGCTAGGGACGCGACGGTGGTGATAAGGATAGACCTGACCGCGTTCTCCTCCAGCATGTTGTATATTGTATTGTTGGGGTTCCAATAGTCGGTGTTCCAGGAGCTATCGGGAGCATCACCCTCTGTCTGGTTTCCTCCGCCGTGCATGGTGTCGTTCGTCCCGGCGTGCCAACCAAAGTCGTACGACGTTGAGTTGTCCGACGGATCATGAGCCAATGTCGACAGGGCGCTGGGACTGTCCATCGACAGTCCGTAGAAGCCTATATCCATGATGCACCATAGAAGTGATATAGAGGCAAGTCTCTTCCAAGCTTTCTGCGGTCCCGTCAGATAGTTCCAGGCACTACCAAACCAGTCGTCCTCTTCGTCGCTGTCCCGTCTCACTGGGGTATCGTAACTTCGGTTTTTCTCCTTGATGTCTTTGTTTCGGCCGTAGATCTTCACTGCAGCGTCTCCAGTCAGTACAAGCTATATCAACACAGCTTGGCAAAGATTCCCGTTCTCTGGGTATCGAGACTTCCTGGCTAATGAATGAGGAAACTCGATAGCTACTTACTGGCGTTCTTGACAGCCATCCGCAGGTCCTTCATGATATCTGCGTAGTACCTCGGGGTTTCCGGTATTGTAAGTCGAAGGAGAACTGCTACGGCGGCCGGGATCATGCCTATCCCGACCGTCAGTCTCCAGACGCTGTCGACCACCAGTTTCATGTCGTCGGAATCACTTCCAGGCGGCACATGCCAGCGTTTGCTGATTACTTGCAACGAGCCGAGGCTGACTGCGCATGCTAGGAGCCGCCCTATAGCTTGCGTCAAGAACACGGCCGAGAGCATCGTTCCCCTGGACTCGGTAGATGCCCACTCTGCGCATATGATGGACGAGAGGGGATACTGCGCTGAAGTCTTAGCATCACGTTCTATCGATCATCGTCATGAATACTCACCTCGGCGCCGATTCCGAAGCCTAGGATCAGCCGCCACCAGGATATCCAGGAGTAGATGTCCATGGAGCTCTTGTAGGTGCCGCCCGACTCTTGCACCATGAACCCTTCAGAAGATTGCACGACTCCCATCGTCGCAATGATTAGGATCAGCAACTCAACGCCATACCACGTCTTCCGCCCAGACCGGTCGGCTAGGTGGCCCATGACCACCATGCCCAGCACAGTCCCGATGAGCGTCAGCTCATCTATCACGAAGCCCGGGCCGGGGCTCAGTCTGCCGTTAGGGGGGTACAAGTAGAACAAAGACGGCGTGACCACGTTCATCGAAAACAGGCTGTATGAGGAAGCCAGGAAGCCAGATGCGGCGACGAAGAAGACAGTGGTGTTGAAACCTCCATCGTCTACGATCTTGGATATCTGCCGTTCACGCTCTCGAAAGCTCTGATCCCTGGTCAGCTATGGTTTCTTCTTTGTTTATGGTAAAGTTGAAAGTGACCTACATAGTCGATGACCAGATGCTTGACCTCGCGATGGTAATCCACCCAGAGGTGCCACCATGGTCTGCGCTTGACCCTGGTTACGTCGTCTTCTTGGGCACTGTCGTGAGCCATGGCCTGTCAGTCACTAGATATATGTGATGAGACTGTCGATGTTCAAACTAGACAAGTTGACGGGTAGCTAGAATGGCGGTTGTTCCACCGACATGGTTGGAAAGTCGAATATCTTCAATCTCGGGCAACAACATGAAGTGGATGGGCTCTGGAGGTTGTCACCTTTGCAAGCCTCCTAATATAGATAGAGCCTCATCTCAGGTTGCAAGATTGCCTCGCGAACCCAGCCACGATCCTGCAAGCCCGGAAGGCGGCGCAGCCTGAAGTCCTGAACCCCTGAACTGGACCCCGCCCCGAGTTGCCGTCCCCCTGCTGTCATACAGTACAATCGCCTTGCCCTGATTTGAGGATGTTGCACACCTGATCAAATATTGCCTGAGAGCCTGCTCGAGACTGCGCCGCATTGCAACTCACCCACCAGTAGACTTGTCCGTTCTGAAGGCGTGGCTTTTCCACGCAGGCACACCTCGGAGGGTGGGTTGGTCCCTCCCTTGACGAGCTGACGGCTGGGCATCGCATCGCATCCAAATCCGTATCGTCGTTGAAGAGCCCCACCCCGTGAAGCTGTCCATCCTCTCTCTCTTTCACATCTCAAAGGTTTTGTTGCTCTTCGCAGCTAGCCTTCGCTAGGCGCAGAAGCCGCGACAACTTCCTCTGTCAATTTTCAACCCACATTCCCCAGTCTGGCACCCGATGGACCCAGGCACGGTACTTGCGATCGTATCGCTCATTATCCAGGTAGTCAGCTCGGCGGATAAGGTGATACAGGGGTTTGATCACATTCAAAATGCCCCCAGAGAGTTAAGGGACTTCCGCGCGGCTGTCTTCCGGCTTCAGCGAAACTTCGAGACTCTTCAACCTAGTTCCCTCCACGCAGATGACCTCCAGCCGATCGAGGAGACACTGGAGCTATGTGCTCATCTGTTTCAGCAACATGACAGTGTCCAGAGCCAGGGGATGGTCAACAGTGTCCTCCGAGGCACGTGGTCCATTCGCAACAATCAGAAGTTGACCAAGTATCGGTATCGTATATATGAACATTACGTGACAATACTCATACCTGCTTTGGTCGCAGCAAGCGGGTAAGTACGCCCCGTGCCGGTACAATGCTGGAAGCTTACCGCCACGAACAGCAGAAGCAGTGACCACAATACGATTGGGTCGTCTTTGTCTGGCTCTACAAAGTTTCAGGCGCAGGGAGAGCGACCTGAACACACCGGCACTACCGTGTCGCTGGAAGATCTGGGAAGCCTTCGTCAACTTGTTGAAAACCTTGGAATTAGTGAAGAACGGGCGGCTACCGAGCGGACCCTCAGTGAACTCGACCGACAGCTACGGAGATGCTGGATCAAACTAGGACTTCAAGATGACGACGTATTCGACAGTGCCGGCTTGACAGGTAGGGTGCAGATTTGGTCGGTGCAGCTCGTGGACCGCGTATCGCTGACAAGTCTACGCTCTCAGATCGCCGTCGCCAGTCAAACGTGACATTTGAGGTGGCACCAGTAACTCTGTACGTCAAAACTGCCCCTTGATACCTGCCATGTGCCAGCCTCTGACCGCCTTCTAGATACATGAACGACGTCCCCGAGCAACACAAGAAGCTGAAGCTGGAGCGGGTTCATATCATGGCCCGTGATGACGAGTCTCGCATCCTCTTGTACCAGAACAGAGAAGCAACAATCCAAGTCACTCACATAGGTAACTTACTTCCCATATTATATATAGGATACTTGATAAGGCTACTGACATGCCATCAGTGCCCAAAGGGTCCATTCCATGGACGAGTCCGCAGTACCACAAGCGAGTCTCGTTCCTCCACCCCCACGTCATCACCGTGGTCGACGGTGAAGGGTACCACCTGTACCAGGTCGATCCGCAATACTCCTTCAACAAGATCGAAACATGCGAGAGCTTCCAGTCCATGCTGCGCGAGCGAGAGCTCCGCGGGACGTTCCTGGCGGCAGAGATCCGAGAAGGGGGAGTGACGCTGTGCCGGATGCAGTTCATTCGGTTTTGGCGGCGGCACGAAATAGGAAAAGGCGAGATACTCACGCTCACCTTCCTACAGACCTCACACGACGCGGCCGCGCAGCACAAGGAGGTCAACCTGGCGAACTATCAGGCCACGCCGGAATACCACGCCAGAAGACTAGCGACGGTAGTCGTCAGGAGGCCAACAGAATCTAACACCTTGGACATAATACCTCGGCGGGCGCACGCGAAGAGCCTCGTCGTGAGATTTGGATCGGTACAAGGCACGACACGCGCTATGCTTCACACGCTCCTCCCGATGGCAGCTGGCTGACTGTGCTATAGACGCGAACAGCTTCAGGGAAAGATACCGAGCCCTTCATACATCCACGCCATCTCTTCAGCCAGCCACACCAACGCTGCGTCCGGCGCCTTCGCCGCTCATCCCCACCACCTCTTCGTCGGGGACGCCGTCGCTGTACTCGACTTCGACCTCTTCGAGAACGCCGTGCACCACGGCCGCACCGACACCGTCAGACCACACGTGGATTACTTTACCGCCTCCAAAGTTGAGCATTTTCGACCTCGATGACGGGGTTCCTGGGACCATGCTCCCGCCACCTGCCATACCATCGTCTCCAGTAAAGTTGGAAAATGCCAGCACGTCACCTCAGATGGTTGTGGGTCCGTTGGGCTTCGAAGACAACTCCGACGAGTGGCATACTCCCGTGTATGCCGCCATTAAGAAGGAAGAAAGGGGCGCGTGAGCTCTTCGAATGCTTCGACATTACTTGTATTGCGAGTGTATGAGGGTCCATGGCCCTGTGTGGACAATGATACTGGAGTCTCGAGTGGTAGATGTGCATTAGGTACGAGATCTGGTCCGGGATTCAATTAGTTTTCTCATCACTCATATAAGATTCCACTGCTGTCCACAGGTAAAGCATATTTTAACCGAGTATTACTAATCCCTCACCAAGAGCATTACGGCCTTGTATGTGCCACGCATCATCGAGAAACAACAGTCGACTCAAACAATTTTCAGATTTGCAAAATGGACACAACGACACAGCCGAGGCCGATGGCCAAAATGTCTAGACCATGTACGAGACTAGTCGTAGGGGGGCCGAATCTGCACGTGCCTGATAGATAGGCTCATCGCATGATACGCTCGGCACCCAAGCCCATGAGGCTCGGCGAGCAATGCTGCCCACCGCAACGGCCGCGCTTCAGATATCGACATACGGCTTCGGGTTGACTTGCTAGCATGTGAAAACGGGTCCAGCCTTGCAGCCGGGGCCTATGGATCTTCATGCCCCTGTCTGCCTCTCCCAGGTTATTGCAGAGCCACGCTTCAGACCGCCAAGTTCCAACTTCATGACTGGTGATGCTCCATTTTTCGATCAAGCATGTGTTGCGTTATCTGGCAAGCAGGGAGTACGAGCTCCAGATAAATTTTGACCGAGTTACCTCGGGAGTCCACCGTTACCCTGTGTCTGTGCAACGTGGTAGCTACGAAAATCAACATTGCCGAGCAAACGAGTCATCACAGCCAAGTTTCAAGAGCCATAAAACATTATATTAGCCGTTAAGTTGGTGCCCACTCAATGCTTCGACAAGCCCATCCTCATACCCAGCTTCAGCAAGTTCAGCGCGGCCGGCCCATTAAGACCCTTCGGCACCGAGAGCGGCGCCCTCTTGAACCTCTTCTGCAGCGCCGCCGCCGCAGTCAAATTGCCGCTTCCGCCACCAATACTGGCACTATTCAGATTTCCCAGAGCCCCCGTCGTGTTCCAGTGGCTCAGCACGTCCTGGATCAAGGTGCTATTCCCAAACACCTCGCCGACGAGGTCCGTGACCGAGCCGTCTAGGCCGCCGGTGAAGCTGCCGACGAGGTCCGTCAGCAGCTTGACCACCGGGACGCTCGACGAGATGCGCTTGGCATTGAGCACCTTCTCGACGAAGGGGATGTGCACGCCGTTGACGACGGTCGCGTTGCCGGTGACGTCGATCTGGATGTTGCCGTCGCTGAGGGCGGTGCCCTGGCTGGCCAGAACGGCACCAATATTTTGCACCAGGGCGCCGATGAACAGCTCGCCGCTAAAGAACCAGCTGTTGTTGCCCGGCGGCAGCAGCACGTCGTTGAGGGTGATGAGCCCGATGCGCACGTCGCCCGCCATGAGGTTGAGCGAGATGTCGCCGAGCCCGAGGGTCAGCACGCCCGAGTTCGGCAGGTTGACCGTGCCCTGGATGTTGGTGCCATTCTCCTCAATAGCCGGCAGTATCACCGTTAGGTGCTCGATGCCGAAGCCGCTGAGCTGATTGAGCGAGCTCGCCGTCACCGTCTTGTCGATGTGCGCCTTGGAGTGCAGCTTGCCGAGGCGTACCGTCGCATCGCCGCGCACCGACAGCTGCACATCGGGCTGGTCGAACACCTTACTAAACCATGAGACGAGCTCGGTCTCGTTGGTGATCGTCACCGTCTGGTTGCTGACGACGACGTCGGTCTTGCCGTCAATATGCTGCTTCGGGAGCGTTATGTTTAGGAAGGGCGTGAACTCGGGCGTGTCCTTGTTGTAAAGGAACAGCGTCGTGGCGTCCAAATCCGCAGGGAGTGGTGTGTTGAGTTCTGTGCTGAGGGAGACGCTGAGTTGCGTGGCCGACAGAGCTCTAAAGGTGCCACCGTTTATGGGCAGCGACTGTTTGCTGACGATGTTCCGCACGATGGCAGGAATGATCACCAAGAAGCTGAGATATTTGTCAGTGCTGCTATGGCTCTATTATATATGTCTGAGGCGATCTACTCACAGGATTGGCAACAAGATGGCGAGCAAGATGATAGTTCCTATCACATACCACCACTTGAACCGTCCGCAGTGGCGCTTCACTTTCTGCCTCTTCGTCAGAGTGGTGGCCGCCGCTGTCTTCTCCTGAACATGGTCGGCTGAGGAAGCATCGCCACTGCCCCTCAACGGCGCATCCGAGGCCACTGCGCCAGCACCGCCTCTACCGCCATGTACAGAGACGGTAGGACTGTCTGGCTCGAAGTGAGATGCTTCTTCTCGAAAGGCCGAAGTCATGATCACTGCGTCTCTGTTGGCATCAACAGAGTAAGTTGGCGAGAGGCAGCAGTGTGACTTGATGGGTACCCGAGGATTACCTGGTCGAGTACTGGGGAATATCCCTCTGCCCCAGTGAGCTTAACCCGGAAATCGGCCCTCGGATATCAGTCGACGAGAACGACGGCTGAAGACAGCCAGGCGATCGTGGAGCACCCCAACAGAGTTCCGAGTCACCCGGCACAACGACATATCTGGCAGTCCCTCCGCTGGCCCATCACCATCGGGCAGAGCGAGGCACATTGTCTACCGCCTGCCCAGTCGCATCTCGATGAACCAGTGAGCTACCCCTCATGTTTTTTTTGCAGTTCTCCCCGCATATCATGTTCCTACCCCGGCCGTGATATTGCAGGGGGCCTTGTCCGCACCGCTGTTTCCCGGTCGATGACTGGATTTCCGCTGGTCACGCACATATCAGAGTATGACGATCCAATACAACCCGCCCTCGCCCGCCAGGCTACCGGGGTGCTCACCTTTCGCGCCATCGGATCCGACGACCTCCTCCGTACGGGTTACCTCTACAGGTAGATCCTCATATCCAGCTCACCGCAGAGAAAACATTGTAAAAATGCGATGTCATGATAGCACCCCGCCTCGCTTTGCCTTCCATGCATCTCTGGGCCTTGCGCCGTTCAGATGGTTCTACTCATACCGAGCAGTCCTCCAGAGTACACAATGACCATATGAAACCGCTGACCGCTTGAGTTCACGTGCGAGGTACTGTCCTGGGCTGTAAGTCCAGATGCGAGGCTCGTAGTGACCAGCCACTCAAACTGATCTCCGATGCGTTGGCCCACCTGCAGACTGCTGCATAACTCTTGCCGAATCAGGCAACCAGAAGGGAGATAGACGTCTACCTTACCCATTCCGGTGTATTGCTTACTTCCAATAGTCTGCAATTTGCGGGGTTGACACCCACGGTTCTCATTCGCACAAGGAGACCAAACGCTCAGAGACTCAACTTGCCTCGGTATCTTGAGTCTGCACGGCCGTAGAGGAGGTCTGCACCGCAGGACGGTACCTTGCGTGTAGTAAGATGGAGGGTGTGAGAATTTGGAAAGGATCTGTATGCCTCTCCTGTCTTGACAATCCGGAGCTGTCGGGGTCTTGATATTTCACCAGAAGCACCCGCGTGGAGCCGTGGGCTGCGTGGGTAAGGCCCTACAGTAGGTCACATAACCCCTCACGTATCTCAGCGCGGTGAGTTGATCATCGTACGAGCCTCGGCGCAAGCAGCATCAGCATCGCTGGCATATGCGTGTGACGTATCCAGGCTAATGAGGTGGCCTTGTTGCGCCCATGGTCGCATGGGTGGAGGTAGCATTCTCTCACCAAAGGGCCAACACCTTTGTGCAAATTGTGACCATCGCGGAAAAGTCCTAACAGTCACAAACAGACGTCGTATCGGCAACCGGATTTTAGTCTAAGCGGGTCAAGCCGACCAATGCCTATGAGTGCAGCTTGACAGCTGCCAGGTGTCCCCTGCTCCTTGGTACCCCATAGGGGTATATCGCCGAGGAAGATTGGGGAAGCTGGGGAAGCTGGAGAAGCTGGAGTTGCCCAGCCTCGGGGAGCCGTTTGCCATGTGAATAATGTGGGCGGAGGTGCCAAGGAGGCATAGGATGGATCACGAAGTGCCGTAGGTAGTCGGCATAGGGTCCGAAGCTCCCTTCAGTACTGACTGGTCAGAAAGGGCTTGGTTATGTGAAGGATACGCGCTGGGACATCTCAGTCCCCTCTCACCTCGTCCGTCAAGTCTCATCTTTCCTCCTCGAGTTGAATCAAAGCTTCAGCGCGCCGACTGGGAGAAGTCAAGGATTTGGGAGACCCTTCACCATCGTCAATTTTCAGAATGTTGTTCTCCAAACTTCTCATAGCGGCCCTGGCGCCAGTCGGCCTCCTTGCTGATGCCTTGGCGCCAGAATTGGATCTTGATGCGCTTCTCGCGAAGCACAATCTAGCACTTGTGCCTCGATCAGATCTCACAGACGCGCTGACAGAGCTCAACGGTCTGCTCAGGAGGAACCAGGCTCAGCAGCAGAAGGTTCCCCTATATCCACGGCAAACCAATGACACGGGTTCTGGTTCAGGGTCCAGTAACGGCGGCCTTGACCTTGGTGATATTACCGGACTGGGGGATCTCGGAGATATTCTCACGAGTTTAACCAAACTTATCACCCAGTTCAGTGACCTCGCCGGTTACCTCGACGCCATCCAGAAGCTGTTGAGCGACGAGTTCCTGGAGTCCCTGAGCGATGCCATAATCTACCTTGCCCAAACGCTTCGGCCGCCTACCCCCACTCTCGCCAGAAACATCCTCGCCAAGGTATCGCCTCTGGTCGATTTGATCGCGACTCTGGATCTAGAGAGCATTATCGACACGGTTAATGGCATCGACATAAAGGGCATACTCAACGCCGTGTCACCGCTACTGACGCCTGATGCGATTCAGGGCGTCGTAGGCCTCTTGACCAACGCGGAGTCACTCCTGACCACAGACACGGTGGACGCGCTCAAGTCACTACTTTCCAGCGCACAGCCCTTGATCGACAGCCTCTCGAAAATTGATATCCAAGGAATTCTCGATGCGCTGTCTCCACTTCTCACGCCCAACTCTGTATCTGGGCTTGTGAGCTTGCTGGGCAATGCCGAATCACTCCTGACCTCGGACACTGTGGACGCACTCAAATCGCTGCTCTCCAGCGCTCAGCCTCTCATCGACAGCCTTGGTAAGATTGACCTTCAAGGCATATTGGACGCGCTGGCGCCGCTTCTCACGGCCGATTCAGTCTCTGGGCTCGTGAGCCTTCTGGGTAATGCCGAGTCGCTCCTGACCTCGGACACCGTGGACGCACTCAAGTCGCTGCTCTCCAGCGCTCAGCCTCTCATCGACAGCCTTGGTAAGATTGACCTTCAAGGCATATTGGACGCGCTGGCGCCACTTCTCACGGCAGATTCAGTGTCTGGTCTTGTCAGCCTGCTGGGTAATGCCGAGTCGCTTTTGACATCGGACACTGTCGACGCGCTCAAGTCACTGCTTTCTAGCGCACAACCGCTCATCGATAGCCTTGGTAAACTGGATCTTCAAGGCATACTGGACGCGCTCGCACCGCTCCTCACGGCCGATTCAGTGTCGGGTATCGTCGGTCTACTAGGGAACGCTGAATCTCTCCTAACGTCCGATTTCGTCGACCAGACCAAAGATTTGATCGCCGGGGCTGCACCGCTCCTTGCAAGCCTAGGCCAGCTCGATCTGCAGGCCTTGATAGACCAGGTCACTCCAATTCTCAACGCTCTAAGTAAGATCGATCTGCAGAGCGTATTCGACGCTGTTAGCCCGTTGCTCACGGCAGATTCCGTGTCGGGTATCGTTGGATTGTTAGGAAATGCAGAATCCCTCCTTACAGCCGACTTTGTCGATCAGACCAAATCTCTGATTTCCGGTGCAGGGCCGCTCCTTGCAAGCCTGGGCCAGCTTGATTTGCAAGCTTTAATAGATCAGGTTACACCCATCCTGAACGCGCTGAGCAAGCTGGACCTCCAGAGCCTCTTTGATGCCGTCAGTCCGCTGCTGTCTGCAGACTCGGTAGAAGGCATCGTAGGCCTGCTCGGCAACGCAGAGAATCTCTTGACATCGGACTTTGTGGACCAGACGAAATCCCTGATATCTGGTGCAGCACCACTTCTGGCAAGCCTTGGCAACCTCGACCTCCAAGGCTTAATAGATCAGGTCACTCCGATCCTCAACGCGCTGAGCAAGCTGGACCTTCAAAGCCTCTTCGATGCCGTCAGTCCGCTGTTGTCTGCAGACTCGGTCCAGGGCATTGTAGGCCTCCTGGGCAACGCCGAGAACCTGTTGACGTCGGATTTTGTGGACCAAACAAAGGACCTCATCGCGGGAGCCGGACCTCTGCTTTCCAGTCTGGGGAGCATCGATTTGCAGGGCCTGCTTGACCAGCTTGCACCAATACTCAACAGTCTGAGCAAGATCGACCTCCAGGGCCTTTTCTCCTCCATCGAACCATTGTTAACACCCGCGTCGATTGGCGGCCTGATTGGGCTTCTGGGCAACGCCGAAGACCTTTTGACTTCAGACTTCGTGACCCAGACCAAAGACCTTATCTCAGGAGCCGGGCCATTGCTTTCCAGTCTGGGAAGCATCGACTTACAAGGTCTACTTGACCAGGTGGCGCCCTTGCTCAACAGCCTCAGCAAGATCGATCTTCAGGGTCTCTTCTCCTCCATCGAACCCTTGCTGACGCCCGAGTCCATTAGCGGCCTCGTTGGGCTACTGGGTAACGCCGAGAACTTGCTGACCGGCGAGTTCGTAGACCAAACCAAGGCCCTGATATCTGGCGCTGGTCCCTTGCTGGCCTCACTCGGCAAGATCAATTTGGAGGCCCTCATCAACCAGGTGTCGCCTCTGCTGAATGAACTGAACCAGATTGATCTGACGGGCCTGGTCGCGCAGTTACAACCTATCTTGAACGCTGTGAGCAAGGTCGACATTGCCGGTCTGATCAACCAGGTGCAGCCCCTCCTCAATGAGGTCAGCCAGGTGGATATCACTGGTCTCGTCGCCCAAGTCCAACCTATCCTGAACTCCCTGAGCAAGGTCAATATCGCTGGGCTCATTGGCCAGGTGGAGCCCCTGCTGAATGAGATCAGCCAGGTCGATATCACTGGCCTGATAGGCCAAGTACAGCCAATTTTGGCTTCTCTGAGCAAGGTCGATATCGCAGGCCTTATCAACCAAGTCCAGCCTCTTCTGAACGAGATCAGCAAGGTAGACATCACGGGCCTGATAGAACAGGTACAGCCTCTTCTGAGCTCCTTGTCGAAGATTGACTTGGTCGGTCTTGTGAACCAGGTGCAACCTTTGCTCAACGAGGTCAGCAAAGTGAACATCACGGGCCTGATAGACCAGGTAGAGCCTCTTCTGGGCTCCTTGTCAAAGATAGACCTGGTCGGTCTTGTGAACCAGGCGCAACCTTTGCTCAACGAGGTCAGCAAGGTGAACATCACCGGCCTCATAGACCAGGTAGAGCCTCTTCTGAGCTCCTTGTCGAAGATCGACCTGGTTGGTCTTGTAAACCAGGTGCAGCCTCTTCTGAACGAAATTAGCAAGGTCGACATCACCGGCCTGATAGATCAAGTCCAGCCTCTTCTGACTTCCCTGTCCAAAATCGACTTGGCAGGTCTCGTCGACAAATTGCAGCCCATCCTTGATGCCGTGGGCCAGATCGACCTGGTTGGCCTGATCAGTAAACTCACCCCTATCCTGAACCAAGTGGGCGACATCGATCTGGAGGGCATCTTCGAAGCCGTCTCGCCACTGCTGACGCCGAAGACGGTCAGCGGTCTCGTCGGGATTGTCGATGCGCTGGGACAAATCGACGTTGCAGGCCTCCTGGATCAAGTCAAGCCACTGCTCAACAGCCTGAGCCAGATCGACCTAGCTAGTCTCGTCAGCGCGGCCAAGCCTCTTCTCGACGCCCTGGGCCAGATCGACATCCAGGGCATCGTGGACCAGATCACGCCGCTTGTCACGCCGGAGACTGTCGGCGGTATCTTGACCCTGCTTGGCAACGCGCAGAGTCTGCTGTCGGCGACGTTCGTGTCGCAGACGACCGAGTTAATAGGCGATGCCACACCGGTAAGTTATGCTCCTATCCCGCATGCTTTTCGAGAGACACCCCTTGCTGACTCTCTTTTTCTCTACGCAGATCGTGGCGACAATATCGGACTTTATCAATGCCATTCTGCAGGCGTTGCTGAACGGTTGAGGGGTTTACTGATTTCTTGGGGTACCTACTTTAATGAAGGGAAATCTATACACGGGCCACGCACGATGAATGACGTAGCATGCTTAATGAATAATAATGAATTTTTAATGATCGCGGTGCGCGAGCTCGGGGACCGGAGACTGCGTCCACACGACACATGATAGGTACCTTAGTCATGCCTCCCAGCCTGGTATTATTCGTCCGATAATCATACCGCATGGCTCCGCGCCTGCCTAGGCCTGAAAAGCATTTGACAGAGGGGTTCGAAACCTTCCAAGCTGTCGTTATACGATTTCAATGATCGATCCAACCCAGAGCGCATGCTGGAATCGAATTGTTCGAAAAGTGGCCCGAGGTTGGTTCAGCCCGTTTCTTCCCCCATGACCCCCATCCTCCCCCCCTAATTCTTGTGCCAAGGAGCACTCTCCGTGCCGGCATGATTCCCCAACACGGCGAGGGCGGGTACTCGTGGTTCGAAGGCGAGCAACACACCGCGGGATTTCTGGACGGCCAGCTCGATGTTCGCCCGGACCTCGAGCATGGCCTCTTTGAGGTAGCGGGGAGGAGCAGCTTCGAGGTCGCGTGGAGGAGCACGAGGGCGGCTGCGGTGGCGGCTGCGGTAGCGGCATCGGTGACCCGCGACCGTGCAGAGGACGATGATGACTGATGTGATGGCAAGGACGAGCGTGAGGCAGCTGACGATGACGGCCACGAGGGCAATCGTCTCAGTCCGTGAGGGGTCCGCCGTCGGGGTGGCGGTGGAGGTGGCCGTCATCTTCTTGATGAGCGCCGTGGCGGTCGTTGTCGTCGTCATCATCGTTCTCTACTTCTTCGTCCTAGTTCGTATTCGTCTTTGTCTTCGTATTTTCTCCTGGCTCGTCTTCGTACTCGCTTTGCGTTTGGCGGAGAAAGAAGCAGATCACCATGTATCTAATCTTGAGCAGGCTTTATCTTCAAGACGAGACTTTTTCCGTGTGTCTTTGGCGTGTAGCGTATCGGTATAATTTTATGAAAGTAAAGATCAAGATTATCGTGGCTTTTCATTCCATTGGACTTTGCGTACACCACGGAAGCTTTACCCTTGTTATTATCCAGGGCGTTTGGCTTTTGCTCATGCAAAATTCTTTAGGCAGCCCCCGCGACGCTCCTTGCCCTTGATTTCGACTGCTCTGTAGTCCGGTCAGCCCCTATTGCCTTGTAAAGAGCACTGAAGAAGCGAGCTAGGAGTAAACCACTCTGTCTTAGTTGAGTACTCAGCACTTTAATCAGTCTGCCGGGAAACCGAAGTAGGATGCCCCGTAGACGGTGCGTCTTTTGGAGGCTATTAGGCTTTTCGCAAGCAAGACGATGACAGTCCGTGGCTTTGTGGCTTTCTATGGTAAACCTAGAATCTGGAGAGAATTGAAACCCCCTTTTCTTGGCACCTATTTGTTTGGCCACAATAAACCCCATCAAAAACTCAATCCCAGCCCCCAAACACAACCACGCACCTCTCTATCTCTCTCTCCCGCGCTCTCTCTATCTCTCAACCCTTGGATATAGAAAATGTCAGCCAACAAGATGGCACGACGCGTCCTTTCTTGGTTTCGAAGCCTTGGAAGGCAAAGCCGGAATTCTACTGAGCCCCAGGCCATGGCCCCAACCCGACAAGACGCGAACGACGCTCCCCCAGATTCCTGCCCGTCAGCCAGTTCCACCGGCGTTGCCGCAATCCATGGGGCTCCCAAGATCGCCCGAATGATTGCCGCCGTGCCAGATGTCGACGCGATGACAGAGCCCTTGCTGCTGCCGCTGCTAGCTGGCCACCCGATCTCGACTTCGAATCCCTTCCACCAGGAGTCGCTGAGCTGACCCCGGGGCGGCTCGGATGCTCGCCACATGTTCCGCCATGTCGACAATAGAGTAGCCGACAGTCCAGTCTGATTGCGCCGTGCGCCCCGAAGCTCGCTCTTCCCTGGCCAAGTGCTTGACCACAAGGGCTACGATCTCGCCAAGTTGTACGATGTTAATGACTTTAGGCGTGCCATCAAGTCCGCCGCCGCTGCCGGCCTTTCTGGTGTCGCCTATGCTATTGCTTCTGCTATTGTTGTTAGGACCACTGCCGAAGATGCTAGGCGGCGTTGAGTTTCGCAAGAAGCGGAATACCTGCCTCGGCACATTGTCCATTTTATTCCCAAATCCAACTCAGCACGCACCTAACTTTCATTTCAGCCTTCATGGACGGCGACTCCATTTCCGATTCCTGGAAAGCACCTGCAACCGGTGCTGCTATTAGCAGGTGCAAGAGCTATATGTTGCCTTCTTCCTCTCCAGCTGTCAGGCATATTTAGGGATGGTCTTTCCATGATCGGCATTGACGTAGGCACACTTCGCCGCCTGTCACAAGCGACCTAATTGTGCTTCTTTCAATCTTCTTCCGTCTTTACTGATTTCCACCCACTATGGTATACGCCCATTCTACGCCAGTCGAGACACCCTCCCAGTCGTGTTGCCTCAGCTTTCTCGCCATGTCGCCGTACCCATTCTACTCATCACCTGGAACAATACAGCAGATGCAGCAAAGCTCAATCCACCGGCATTTCGCGGAACTTTCATGCTGCTCGTCTTTCTCCAGACTGTACGGCGTGCCGCTTCACAACTGCCAGCATGATCCGCTTCCAACACAACTTTGATCACAAACACTCACTCTATCACTGTCTCGAAACCCTTGCAGGACTACCGAAACCATTGCGGGCGGCGTACATATCAGGCTCCGAGCTGGACGTCTTAGCCGCGCACCTTTTGGCTCGCGCACCCGAGGCCATCATCGCCGCCCCGGAGGTCCAAGTGGTTCGCCACCATGGTCTCGAAGGAGCAGGAGAAGGAGTAGGAGGAGAAGTAGGGTTTATGTGTAGGGTGTCGTGTGGGGAGGACCGGGCTGGACCAAGCTCAAATGAAGGAAACTTTCTTACATAATTGGATGACTGAGACTCACTGTCGCCGGCTGTTGAGTAAATATTTCTTCCCAGTTCAATACCAGCCCGCGTTGCGTATTTTTTGGGCTGCTATATCTTGTGATCCCACATGCACTGGTGACCAGTTGCACATGTGAATGGCTTCAGACAGGTCCCAAATTGACCAATCAGAAGCCAGGGTAACAGAAGGCTGCGTGCGTTATGATTGCCCTGTAATGGGGCATAGCGCGTGGAGAACTGTAGCCGTATCCGAGCATCTTAATGGATGATACTAAACGCGCACTCGAGCATGTGATGTTTTCAACAACATAGGAGGAGGGAAGAGGAAGAAGTAGGGCGGTCGTGTGGGTGTCGTGTGGGTTCAACCTTACCAGCTGGCTGACAGGTGCGACCAGAAGGGGACCATCAAGGTACCCCGGAGCTAGAAGCTGCATGTGCTTCAAGCGCTTGGCACAGCATCATAGGTCCGGCTGCCGACCACCTTCCAATTGGCAATACCCGCCTCCAGCTTCGAGTTCGTCTACCTTGAGGGCTCATACCTTACCTTAATACCTTGGATCAACAACACCTACCCTACGCCTACCTATATATCTAGGTACCCATCGTGTCGCATCTCCCGAACCTTTGTATTTCTTTCCATACCTCCTACGTGTTGGGCGTGCTCTTTGTTAACCTCCAACTGCCCGTCAACCTCGAGAGCTCCAACAGCCGGAAGCGTACATACTACTAGACTCCGTGCCCGAACCTACCGCCTTCACGACGAAGCCAATGCTCCCCTAGCCCAGCTGCTCGACAAGGTGCGATCGAGGGAAGTCTACTACAGCCACAAGAGACGGCGAAGTGCCGTCGACTAGCCACCGTGGTCGAGTCAAAGGCCGTGTCGTTACACACCATGGCCATGGCCGTCGCCGACGTGGACAATGATACAAGGGGGTGGATCATGTGCATCGTGAGCGGTGTTGGTGCGTGACCTCGAACACATGGCCTGTGCGATGGTGTGCCTGATTTGCTGACTCTTACCGCACCAGCATGTCTCCTCGGTGCCGGCATTATATATATCGATGCTTTTGTGCGAGTATTCCCCGGCCAAAAGAACTTTCGAATACAGGATAGCAATACATTCCTGGCCTGCTCCTTGAGCTTGAGTTTTGGTGTCATGGTAAGGATGTCCATCCCTGATGTTACAGCTTGAAGAAGTGCAGCTCCTGACACTTTGCAATGCAGCTTTTCATGTCATTAAATAACATGCTGCCCGAAGCGAAAGAATACTTTGACAAAGGCGGTTTCGACGAACAGGCCGGAGGCTTCGTCATGATGGCATGTTTTGTTGGTGGCTTCGTGGGAATTCAAGCGCTCTCGAGGCTGTTGCACCGCTTCATACCGACGCACGTTGTCGACTGTGACCATAGTCATGAAGAACATGCCCTGGAAGGCCATTCTCAGTCAGGCGGTCGTAGTCGAGCCACGTCTCGCGCCCGAAGCACCGACAAACGCCGACAGTCTCTTACTACACACATCAATGGTCCGATACCGCAAGTGATGGAAAACGGACATGCTAGTGAATCGACCCCTCTGCTGCCAGCTGAGCTTCCGTCCCGCAGCGCCCACACCCAGCCGCTCATGCGAGCAGATACCGTTAGCATCGGCAGCCTGGCCCGTTCTGGCTTTCGTGGGCCTCGCAGCAGAGCTGCCACCTCGGCCAGAAGACCTTCGATGCTACCGAAGAGGGTTATGTCCTTCGTCAAAGACACCAAATTAAACTGTGATGATGGGGGTCCCTGCTACGGATACTCGGACCCATGTGGGCAAGAATGTTTCAAACATGTCACCAGCCGTTCTGCACTAATATCCCGAGCACCAACTTTACTTCGAAGCGCCACGGGGTATGTCGACAACACATACATGGAACGAGTGCCCGAAGATGAGGACCAACAAGACATGTCTCCAGTGAGCCCCGGACAGCACAGAAGTCGCACCCACTCACGTGAGACATGCCACGAAGAACATCAGGAATGCGATTCCGAGACCTCGGACGATCCTGAGGCTCAACATCACCACCATGTCGCTGAAAACGCGTTCTTGTCGATCGGCCTTCAAACCTCTATAGCCATCGCGCTTCACAAGTTTCCCGAAGGTTTCATCACATATGCCACCAATCATGCAAACCCAGCTCTGGGATTCAACGTCTTCTTGGCCCTATTCGTGCACAATATCTCGGAAGGGTTCGCTCTCGCGTTACCCCTTTATATGGCACTCAACAGCCGCGTACGTGCTATACTCTGGGCCTTCCTCCTGGGTGGCTTAAGTCAACCATGCGGAGCCGGCATCGCTGCGCTGTGGTTCAAGCTCGCCAAGCATACAAACATGACGCCTGACGCGGTAGCGTATGGGTGCCTCTTCGCCATCACGGCCGGCATCATGGTCAGCGTCGCCTTGCAGCTGTTCGTCGAGAGTCTGAGTCTGAATCACAACAAGAACTTGAGTATTCTATTCGCCTTCTCAGGCATGACGCTGCTAGGGCTCAGCAGCGCTTTCACGTCGGATGTCCATTAGAGAGTTCATGTGTATATACCAAGGGCGAACGAAAAGGGAATACTTATCATTCCGGTGTCTCGATTCTTGCCGTTGAAATTACGGTTCACAGGCGTTGGATCACGAAGGGTAGGGCATGGCACGGCGTCATGGATGGCAGGCGTTCATCGAGCTTGAGATGTGATACGACAATGCCGAAATACGAAGTTGCAGACCAGGCGGCGTTGACTTCTGCGAAGGTCAGGCGATGGTTGTATTATTCAAGGCTCTTCAAAAGAGTGGTTAGCATGTGCATTGGCCGCGGTGTCGGTCATCGGTCAGGACCGGATTGGGAGGTCTGGAAAACATGGTATAGAAACATGGTATGTAGAAATTGGAAGCCCGGTCACTCGGCCAGTCTATTTTGGACTCTGAACTATACCTATCTTTTCAGATTGTGTTTTGCTGGTGACGACGAACGCGCGCAAGAGGATGTCCGTCGTCGAGTTGCAAATGAAGTGTCGTACTTTGAACAAATTAGTGATTTTTGTTTCCCCCTTTTTAACAAGGCTACAATGGATGTCATGGGTACCAACCAAGGTATACCATTAACACGGATGTCCCAGCAGTGCCTCAGCAGACAGTGTAATCCGATCTACCTGGACAAGGTACACACCAGCATACATCTTCACAACCGGCTCCCCTCCCCCTGCCCCAACGCACCACTCATCAGGAACTCTGCGCCATCATCATCCCCACCTCCCCGTCCACGACCACCCGACAACACCATCTCCCGCCCGCCCCGCGTCCCCCACCACGCGACGCCCACGGCCGCGCGCTCGACGTCCATCTCGCCGCTAACGAGAACGTCCCAGAAGCGCCGGCGCGCCGCCTCCCGCATACCGGCGTCGGCGATGCAGTTCATGGCGTCCGCGGCGCGGCTGAGCCAGTCCTCGAGGATGGGCAGGGGGAGGTGCGGGAGGGCGTCGATGAGGGCTAGGACTAGGGTGGTCTGTTCGGAGAGCGGGGCGTCGGGTGGTGGTTGTTGTGCGGCTGCTGGTTGTTGTTGTTGTTGTTGTTGGAGTTGGGTTTGGGTTTGGTCAGGGGGCAAGGGCGAAGTGGAGGCGCCCCCCTCGGCCGGCGAGGCGCGGAACCGCAGCATCTCGAGGAGCGTCTCGGAGAGCGCCGGGTGGGAGGCCGCGATGGGGAAGGGCGGGCCGGCGATCTGCACGACGGTGCGGAAGGCGAGGCGGAACTGGCGCGGCGAGATGCGCAAGGGGAAGGCGGAGAGGAGCGCGTCGATGTAGAAGGGGATTAGTGATACGGTTAGGGATGAGTGCTGCGGGCATGACATCACGGAGAGGATGGCGGCGTGGGCGGATTCGAAGAGCTCAAGTGTTAGCGATGGGGTGGTGGCGTTGTTCGTGGCTGTTGTGGTGGTGCCGGGGGAGAGGTATGCTGTCGCGGGCCCGATGATCAGGCTCTCGCATGCGGGTGTGGGCAGTGAGAGTGGGAGGTGCTCTGCTGTGTTGAGGTAGAAGAGCGTCAGGGCCTGCGTCACGGGGGAGGGGGACGTGCCGCCGGCCTGTGATGGTAAAGGGGGTTGCGTCTCCTGCAGGAAGCTGGCGCAGGCGTCTGAATACCGCGTGAGGATGTCCAGGGTGGTGAGGTAGGTAAAGGTGTAGACCTGGAAGGCATTCGCACCCTGGCGCGAGGATATGAAGGACAGGTGGCGCAATATATGTAGCGTTTTCAGAGTGACTGTCGGAGCGGTCGCGGCGTTCCGCAGATGAGGATCGAGAAGGGAGCGCCCAACTATGGGTTGGAGCGTTGCCACGACGGTGTACATGATCTTCTTCAGCAGCTCCCATAGCGTCGGCCAGGGGCCTTGCAGAATCTCAGGGGAAAGAGTCATGGCTTCGACTGATAGGTCGATCCTTGAGAGCGCACATTGTTCCCATTGCTCCAATAACCCTGCCGTGAAAGCTAGGAGCTCTTCCTGCACATGGAGAACAGCACTTGAGTCTGTGGCGTTTTGCACAGCGAAGGCGACGAGCCGTGATAGGGGGCCCATGTTCTGCGCCAGGGGATGGGACTCAAGCTTTTGGAGTCGAGCCACCGAGGGCGAACCTGTATACCAGACTATACTGCGCTCTGGCGCAACGTCGTTCGATATGGCTTGGATGAAGTCGCCATGTTGGAACCCTTCCTCTCCCACCATTGCTTCGATCGCAGCTGGCAGCAGAGCATTGCAATTCAGCAGCTGCTTGGCCGACTCGGACAGCAGCGGAAACGCGTATGTGAGTGCTAGGACAACAGCGCCTCTTCCCAACGGCCCCGTCCGTATCGGATCCTCCAACGCGAGGTTCGCCGCCGTGACGACGGCTTGTTCTAGCGTCGACCGCAAGCTCCAGGACAAGGACCTCCTCTCGTCGGCTTCCATGCCCATCAGGATGCCGGCAAGCACCAGGGTGTGCGTCCACCTGCTGGTCTTGTCATCCAACCCTTTCGCGATTACACGCGCCCACTCCTCGGCATGGACGCCGCTGCCTGCCGGCGGCTGTCCACTTGCGGCGTTCGCATTGTGTAGCTCGTTCCTTCGCACGTTTATGGCGGCCGTGTTGTAGATGCTGATGATGCGCAGACATGTCCGCAGGCCGTCTGGCAATTGCCATATGGCGCGCGCCGTCAGGAAATGCGCGGTGAGGAGGGAGAGGTTGAGCGGGTTGTTCAGGTTCGTCAGGAGCATGTTGGTCGTCGCGAAGATCTTGTCGGTCTCGGCTGGGTTGAGAGGGTCTTGGTAGGCCCGCAAGACCGTCGTCAGCAGCCGGTCGGCGGGCATCTTCAGTCGGCCCAAATTGCTTTACAGTGTCATTTCAGACTATGTTTACAAAGCTGAAGTATTGATTCAACATTGGGGTTGATGTTGTAAACAGTCTGGTTGTGTGACTTGTCGGCGGAAGGTTGGAAGGTTGGAGGGTTGGATGATTTGCCGAGGCTCGTCGTCAATGACGGAGCTTGAAACCAAACTCCCGATCGCATTGGAAGCTCTTCCCCCCCAACACGCGTTCCCTACAACTCATGCCATTTCTACTTTACCCGTCCTACGTCCACATCGCATAGTCCTAGCAACCAAACCAACGCTTCGGCCAAATGGCCAATCCTCTGTAAGTATCCAAGCTCCGATCGCCATGGACTGAACTACGTTCGGCTGACTGTGACATCCAGTAAACAATGTGACGAATACCCCCCAGACGGCTACCACCGTCTCGGCTTCCCATCCCTCTGCTGGCCCTACCAAGACAAATACTGCGCTTTGTATTCCGTATACGACTCGTGGCGATACACCTTGCTATGGACACTCATTCTCTACGCCCTCTTCCACCTTGGCGCCACCGGCATCGCCCTGTCCATGCAAATTGGCAAGAGGAAATCAGTATGGAAGTACTTGGGGGCAGTGCCGATAGTCTACGCGTTAGTCGCCGGGATTGAGGCGCTATTTGCAGGAAGCATAGTCGGTGTGGTGTATGGACACAACTGTTGACTCTGTATCTGGAGTTCGATATGCTGACTTGCGCATCTGCAGTCTCGGCGCCGTCTACATTTCAGGATGCTACGAGATGCCGACATGGATACCGTTCGTCTGGGGATGGATCAACGTCCTGGTCCTCATCGTGTCTTCGTTCACCATCCAGGGTGGTCTATGAGAAACTCGGATATATCTAAGAGTTGGGAATATCTGCAGGTGGTGTATACCCGGGCGGCAACTCGTTTTGAGGCACCTCGCGAACCGGTCTCAGTACCTTGGCAGGATTTCCGACTGCCACCATGAACGGCGGAATGTCTTTCGTCACTACACTTCCTGCGCCGATAGTACAGCCTCTGCCGATCGTCACCCCGGGCAGAACGACGACGCTCCCACCGAACCAGCAGTCCTCACCAATGGTGATCGGCGCCCCGCCCTCGGGACCGTTTGTGCCATTGCGAACCCTTGGGTCCGTGGGATGTGTTCCGGAATAGAAGGAACAGTTGGGACCTATCAGAGTCCGGTCGCCTACGGTGATGAGGCACGTGTCGATCCAGCACGAGTTACTGTTCACGTAAACGTTCTTGCCAAACCTACTATCGTAAGCAGGGTGCTGACATGGACTGCAGGACGACATACTTGACATTGTACCCGTAGTCCATCTTGATGGGGCTATCGCACCAGACGTAGTCGCCGAGCAGGTCCTCGTCCTCTTCGGGCGTCGGTGCTGGTGGCGGGAGAGGCGTTGTATCGGCCTGGATTCTGTGTCGCCGGTGTCAGAGAGCGGCGGCTCAGTTAGGCTTGAGGGTAGTGTGCTGTCCTACTTTTGAAACAGCTCGACTATTCTACGTCTGGAAACGTCTCCTGCGTTGTTGAACTGGCTCAACGCATGTTGGCATCTCTTGCGATCAGCTAGGAGGTCGGGCGTGAAGGCGAAATAGAGTTCCCCATTCTGCATTCGTCGCCGATTCTCGGCCTGGTCGATAGATCGCAGAGCCATTACTCAGGCTGATACTCGATATATGAAGTGCAGATTACAAACTTCTTGTTGAACATTCAGATATGCTCCCATTGAATCAGCATGTGCGAGAGATTCAATGTTGATTATACGCGACCACTTGATCACCGGAATACGAAGCGTAAGCCTGGGCATGACTTACCCCTCTGCCCTCGGAGACCCCCACCAACTTAAAGTGGACGGCACAGCAGAGAGGCCAACCCCTAGCTTGTGGCTGGTGTCCGTGGCATACTTCAAGGTTGACTGCTCGGTGTTTGTGGTGTTCCTTGCGAATATTGCAACCTCCTAATACGATGCGAGTACTCTCACCTCCTTTGAACCTTTTAGATACGAAAAAAGCCACTTCAGAGTTTCGTGTTGCCAGCTTCTGTTGGTTCTCTATCTATCCCATTTCTTTTTGAGTTTGAAATTTCGAATCAGCTATGAACCTACCAAGGAATAAAAGGAGAGATGCGAGCCAGTACCTCATTCCCACCGGCTCATCGGTGGTTGGGTCAGCCAACGAATATTTAGACAGCCTCACAGTTCTATACCCTGTCATAGCCCGTAGCATGCCAATGGTCGAGAGAAGCTTCCCCGCTGTTGTTTGTCGTTCACACCCCCTGAGCGACTCCATTGCTCGAACGGATGACTTGACTCTACGCAAGGCATCGGGGTGAGAGAGAGGTGGCTCTTTTCCAGTAGTTCTACGCAACCAAGAGCAACCGGAGAAACAACAGTCCAACCATCAAATCTACCGCATCCATACCTATCGTACATGGTCTATAAAGCGTGGCCATCACGCTTATTCACGCTGCAACCAACCACCCCCAACCTAATCCTGTCATGACAATGGAGTCATACAAACAGCGAAGTGATAGCCTGCGACACCTCGATGACATCGGATCCTTCTACGGCAATAAGATCCCGACGGTCGAGGCGTTCGCAGAGATCATGGAAACCTCGGCTTTTGTGGCCTGGGCACGAAGTGGTATCGTACGCCAAGTCATGATAGCTGCATGCTGCTTCGGGTCGGCCTCGCGTACATGTCCTCCCTAGCTCCGAGAGACAGCTCTCTCATCGAACCCCTGGACGCTTTCGCGCGCCGTAAGCAGCTGGTTCCGACAACCACCAACGTCGCACCCGGTGCGCGAGAGCAAAATGTCAACTGGCCACTTCGAAGACGGTCCCGCTTCGGGCGCGAGTTCCTAGTCAGGCCGGAAGCTTTGGACGGGTCGCTCAACGAGCTGCTACTGGGGTATAAGGCTCGAGCCAGAACAGCAGGGAAGCAGAATCTCGTTCTTGTCGTTTACGAGTACGCGGCCGAATGGACCATTGTTGCCTTTACGCTACGTAGAGCTCTCGACAGTGCGATCAAGGTAGGGGAACATTACCTAACATGTCACCCGACACGAATTGGGATGTCAAGATCCTGTGGTCCGCCTAGGCAACCGGTGAAGCAAACACCGCCGAAAAGCGCATGGATTGCGTTCGAAACCCTTGTCGAGCTGCAATTATTCGTACAAAAGACCAACGCGACTGAAGATCACGGAATGGTGTTGAGAATCACCAGTCTGTACGATTTAGAGCTGCTCGGGGCCGATTTGGCTCGGCGAGAAACTATCAGGCAGGAAAGGGCGACCTTGAGGGAGGGCTCGACTGCTGTGGACGTACCTGACCTTGGTGATAAGTTCTCGTGAAAGATCCCACCCCATGTATCGATCGATCTATCAGAATTTCCCGTATTGCGGTTGCATTCCAACGACTGATAAAGGTATTCTCTGGGTAAGCAGTAGTCATTGATAGTCCACTAGCAGCTTCGAACCACATCTAGTAGTGCTCTGGACGTGCGTATCTGATATTGACAGTACCAGCAACCTGGTTTGAAGCTTGGTAAGTGAGAGGGGCCAAGGTAAGAGACGATACACCTATGATACTGGTTAGGTGAGCTATGTAGGGGTATTGGGCTGAGCCGTGTGCCACGAGTTGGGCAGCAGGTCTATCGAGAGAGTCCTTTTCTTTTCAGGAGCGAGGTTGTCGCCCTCAGGTCCTGGCCATAGCCTGGCCGGCGCACAAACTAGCTGCATGTTCTTTACACTGAACCCCCAAAAGGCTCCGTACACCCCGTGCCTCATACCTAAGTAATGTCCTAAAGAGGGGCTTTTTCTAGTTGTCGCATAAACACTCTGTAATAAGCATGAGAAGGGTTTTTAGAATACATAATTCTCATACCAGTTTGCTTATATCACGACTCGTTCTTTTTCCAAGAAAGTAAAAAGCACGAGGTGCGCGGACGGAGACTCATGAGGGGTGACTGTGATATACATCGAACGTTTAACCGTGGCATGACCAGCCCATTGTCTTACAAGAGTTGTGTCCCGAAACCTCTAGGTAGGCAAATTGACAAAGCATCGCGGTCTCATTGTATTGAACCAAAGATGCCGAAAGCGAGCCTCGTCAACTGCCGTCCGCTTTTGCATGATAAGATGGTTCCTGGGCCCCCTCATACGATGGCGCGGAAGTTCGAGGGAGACGAATATGTATAGAAGTTACTGGGGTCTAAATCAGGTAGTCCTGCAAACCCGGTTGGTCTCTGGATGCCTGGATGTTTCATGTGGAAGAGCCTACAAAGTAACGACGGATCAGACTTGAAAAGCGCGTACCGCACGTGTACACGTATCTTACCTTCAAAGGATCCATGGGACAGGGGGAACTGATCAGTTGGCGCGGCTTTCCTTTCCAAGTTGCGGCGCCAGTCAGGGGTAGGCTTACTGCCACCAACCACCGCCCGATTTATTATCATATGGCGGGGATTGATGCTCGATCAATCATCAAGGGTCCAACACCAACATTGAACGGCCCCACTGGCAGTACCTTCGTCACACATGCACACCAACAAACAAGAGAACCTCAACTTCTCTTTGCGCCCCAACTCGTCGCGGATGGTGGGTGTCTTTGTTCATCATCCTGTAGTGCCTATATAACGGGCTGACACAACAACAAAGTCGTCCGGCACGACAATGGACTGGCCGCCGGATAGGTAAGCCCTTTCTATCGTCGCCTACTCCCTTCCCAGAGTCCCAGACTGCGCAGTACGGGAACACGACCCAATCTTGCAATCCTGCCTCGCTTGCTTCACGAGACCAGATAGTACGACACAACACCATCACAGCTGGTCGTCTTCCTCTGTTGCGACAATGCCTTCAAGCCCAAGCCTCCCGCCCCCACCTCGGTCCTCACTGATGCCCTCGCCGTCAGCTGTGCCTGGGCTCACTCCTCTCCAGGAACATCGCGAATATGAGGCGCCGTCGTGGGCCACGAGGTCCAATAACACTTTCCACCGTCGTTCCCTAGCACAGCTTGCTTCTATCACCACGCGCGCATCGGACGAAAGTGCTGACGAGCTACTGCCTCTTCTCAGTCCCGTCGCCCAGAGCGCTCAGATGACCCCCGATAGGCCCTACACCCCCGGCCAGCCCAAGTCCCTCGAGGGCATTGCGGTACGGTCCTTCTGCCTCGGCATCACGCTCGCCCTGTCCGTGGTCACCATGATCACGATCCTGGTCTTCACCTCGTCTCCGCTGTGGCGCGTGCCTTTCTTCTTTGGCGCGCTGTCGACTTTCCACTTCCTCGAGTTCTGGACGACCGCCAAGTACAATACTCCCATCGCGAACGTCGACTCCTTCCTTCTCACAGCGAATTGGCCGGCATATGCGATCGCGCACGTCTCGGCGTCGGTCGAATGTCTGTTGTCGAACCTGTTGTTTCCGAATCGGTCGTGGGCTCCATTTTACCTCGGGCATATCCTCCTTCTGATAGGGTTCTTAATGGTATTTGTTGGACAGGTCGCCCGCAGCGCGGCCATGGTCCAGGCAGGCCAGTCCTTCAACCATACTGTCCAATCGAGGAAGAAGGACAATCACGAACTGGTCACTACAGGTCTGTACTCGTTCGTCCGACACCCATCATACTTCGGCTTCTTCTACTGGGGAATTGGCACCCAGCTTATCCTCGGAAATCCAATATGCTTCGTCGCCTATACGGCCGTCCTATGGAAGTTCTTTTCAAATAGGACGAAGCATGAGGAGCATTACCTCATAGAGTTCTTCGACGAAGACTATATCCAGTACAAGAAGAGGGTTGGCACTGGAATGCCCTTCATTTGGGGAAGCGCCAAGACTCAGACCACGGGCAGACCTACCATTAAGGATAAGACTCCAAGCGATGCTTCTCTAATAAAGAACGGCGACTTGAAGTCAGTGAAGCGTACCTGAGTCCACTCAGAGTCGACCCTGCCCGAACGAGGGGTCCCAATAGGATACAGCACAGCACGGCGATTGGGAAGACACAAGGCACAGATCGAGCTTAGAAGACGAACTACCTGTGTAATAGGATACGTAGGCATCGCACGACGACGTTTGGCAGATAATTCTACATGTAATACAACCGTAGGCGGCTAGTTTTGATTGATTCCAATTCCTGCTGGGGCTAAATATCAGCGTGTGCTTTTCATTGTGAAGCTCATAACAGTAGGAACATTGGTTGCTTAACATGGAAGTCCGGGGACTTGTAGAATCACGATGTGCATAAAGAAGCTTCCAGAGGGCAACTGGGAACTTTGTTCTTTAGCTTTACCCCCTGGCATATAATTAGGAGATACATTACTGTCCAATAAACCATAGTAGGCTCAACATTCCAATGTCTAGAGCCCAAATTCAATGAGAAATCCTTCAAGTAGATACGAGAACACGTTTAACTGTAGAACAGTGGGCCTGTGGGTTCAGCAAGCTACCTGGCCACAGGGGGTTCCTATAGATCTATTGATAGCATCAGACACATACTAACAATAAAAGCCACACCTAAAACTGCCACGCCACATCCCTTGCTTATCGATAACTGCCAGGAAACGACGTAGCCTTTTGATTGGGAAGGCCACGATTCAATACGCCGTATTGAATACGATGCTTCTAAATTTAAGCCTGTTCGTCGCACCTTGTTCTGTGTTTCCCACGAACAACACCGTCACCCACGGAGCCACCTGCGAAGACCCTGTAGAAGGGCACGTCTTCACGATGAGTTCTGACTACTCCTACGATTCCGAGGGGACCTACTATCCCTTCTTCATCTTCACGCTATCCACCATCGTCACGCTTCCTCTGACCTACAGCCTCCTGAAGCCGTCGCAAGATCCCGAAGCGCTGGCACCGAGGATCCAGACCTCCTACAAACCCGAACATGCCGACCTAGTTCAGGCACAACGCGCAGCACACAAGCGACGGCAGCGCAAGCTGAAGCGCGCCGTGGTCGCCCTGCTGGGATGGGCGACCATGGCCGGCATGCTCTACCTCATCATCACTACACAGCGAACCGAGGCCAAACTATGGAACCCCTACGACATCCTGGGAATATCCGACTCGGCGACCGAGAAGCAGATCAAAAGCCACTACAAGAAACTCAGTGTCAAGTTCCATCCTGACAAGATCCGTCCGGACCCAGCCAAGAACGAGACCGCCGAGATGCTGAACGACAAATGGGTCGACCTCACCAAGGCCTATCAAGCGCTCACCGACGAAGATGTACGCAACAACTGGATTCAATTTGGACACCCCGACGGCAAGCAGGGCTTCTCGATCGGCATCGCCCTTCCCACGTTTATTGTATCCGACGGCAACGGCAAATACGTGGTGCTCGTCTACGCCCTGCTTCTTGGTGTGCTCCTACCATACTACGTTGGGTCATGGTGGTACGGCACTCAACGTATGACCAAGGATGGCGTGCAGGTGGAAAGTGCGAACTCGCTCTTCCGTGAATACTCGGAGGCCATCGACGAGGGAGACCTGATCACCGCCTTGAGCACAGGCAAAGAGTTCCGCAGTGTCCTGAAAGGGGACAAGGCCGAATCGGGTCTGTCCAAGATCGAGTCGAGAATATTGGCCGATGGCGAGGTCACCGCATATGCCGGTGGTCTGGCCGTCAAAGACAAGGAGAAGCTAGAGGATCTCGAGGGCGGAGTCAGGAGAAAGGTCCTGGCCCTGCTCTGGGCGTATCTTGGCCGCGTCGAGCTGGATGAACCTGCTCTGAATAGTGCAAAGTACATGGTCGCCCCGATCGCGCAGTCTCTGTGCCGCTCCTTCACTGCAATCTCTCTCGCATACGGCAACACAACACCCCTCCTTTCTTCCTACTACACGAGCCAGCGGTTAATCCAGGCGCTGCCGCCGAAGGCATCTCCACTCTTCCAACTCCCACACTTCACTCCCGCTGTGGCCAAGGCTATCGAAGGTGATTCGAAGACTCATGCCACTGTCCAAGAGTTCATGGACCTCCCTGATTCTCAACGCCGACACGTAGCGGTTGGCAATGGACTTCTGAGCGAAGAACAATACAAGACAGCCGTCAGTGTCGCCCGTCAACTCCCATACTTCAGAGTCGCAAAGGCGTTCTTCAAGGTCACTGGTGAGCGGTTCATTATCCCGGGTTCCCTAGTCACCTTTGTTGTCAAGGGTCGTTTCGTGCCTCCTGGAAGCACCGACGTTCCCGAGATCGATGAGCTCGATCTTGAGGATGTGGATCCTGCCGAGGACGACCTTGACGCGATGCTGGGGCGAAAGAAAATGGTAAAGGATGCCGACGGCAATATGGTGAAGGAAGATAACAAGCCTATCGCGCCGCCACTTGCATTCGCCCCTTACTATTCTCGGGACTACTCGCCGAAATGGCACGTATTTCTGTCGGACAGCAAACAGGGCAAGATGGCGGTACCGCCGTTCACTTTTGCTACGTTCGACAAGCCTATCTTCACCCCTGAGGGCAAGCCAACATACCACATGCAGACTCTGAAGGCGCAATTCGCCGCACCCCCTCAGGCCGGCAAGTACACATTCGTCATGCACGCTGTATGTGACAGTTACGTTGGCTTCGACACCAATATGGAGGTTACTTTGTCGGTTGAGGATGCCAGCAAGGCCGCCCAAATGACTGCGGAGGATGAGATCAGTGAACCAGAAGAAGGTCAGTTCATCGTGTCCATATATGTTCAGATCTGTACTAACAATCAACTCAGATTCACTAGCTGGCCAAATGAATGCCCTCAAGGGTGGTAGTGTTCCTACTACGAAGCCAAAGAAACGGAAAGAGGAATCAGACTCGGACGAGGAGAGTGGCACCGATGAGGAGGAGTCGGACACCAGTGATACTAACACGGACACTGAAGATGAGTCGTAGGGTATGTGAATAGCGATTGAGAAAACCCATCCAAAGTATCCTGCGCTATGCCCAGCGCAGGGACTTGATGCGTGACCCCGGGCGGCGGACCATGATAGATATCCACTTGCCACCGGGCGTTGTGTTGTAAAGTACAGGTCGTTAGCAAAATCGCATCAGGCAGCATAGAGCTCGGCGTATCGGGAGTTTGGCAGGTGACTGCTTTCGGCTTGATAACCACGTCTGGTTCATTTTGTTCATGATAGCAAGTAGTAACCCTACTGATGTTTCATGGTACTATGCCATAGTCTCGTCAGTGAACCCTATGCCATAGTCTCGTTAGTGAACCCCTTTCTCGTCCTTCCAATGCATCGTGGATGCGAGTGGTTCATGTCGCGGACGTGCTGGTGCGGAGCTGGCAGTAGATGGCGTGAGTGAGATACTCATCTACCAATATTGAATCCAGAGTTCATCCGCATCCATAGCCCACTTGGTAGGTACGTGTTTACTTGTGTACATCAATCTGGATAAGAATAGAGTGCTGTTGCGAGCAATCTGCCTCTACCTATACCTCGCTGAGTAGTGTCGATTCCCCGTAGATGATGTGAGCCCGTCTTCGGCATTGCGAAGGGTGGCCAGGGGCACGAAGATAACACTTCACTCAGATCCACCCCTTCTCGAGGATCCTTGAGTATTCAGAAATGGAATCCGCCACACCCCAGCTCCTTGCCACTTGGCGCTTTGGCACCACGATGGCGTCAGTAGTATTGGGAAGGATGAAATCCTAGTCCCCGTCTTTCTCGTTCAGCCAATCAAGGGGGCTATCTCGTACATGTAGTTTTACAATGGCCGCAGCCAGGCATCCAGCACCATAATAGACAGCAAGCTCCAATGCTGGAATACAATGCTGACCCAAGTCCCACACATTGACAGCTATTTAGGTACATACAGTGGTTTCCCATGTCTAAGTAAGTATGTACGTAGGGCTACCGAATCTGCACCGTGGCCGATCCGCCATGCTGGTATCATCAGAAGTCTTCCCACCATTTGAACACAACCACTCCCCAGCCCTTTTGGCGTTGGCAATAGCTACTATCGGGAGCGACGGCAGCAACACAGACAACACGCACTAGTAAGATGAGAGATCATCCTTTTACAACCAACTCCCAGCCTTGTCAGCTGAAGCACCGCCTTTCTTTTTGCTGCTTAGCTTGTAACGATCTCTGACATCTGCGGGCCCTCGCCTCACTTATGTGGAATCCCGTCTACAACGGCTCACATCAAGAGAATATATCAACCAGCCAGTGTGCTGGTCTCCGTCATGAGGCTACCTATCTATCTCATTACCATACTGTCTCTTTTCTTTGTCATAACAGTTATTCTAATACGTAATTCGCAAATACCCTTGCTCGACGGTCACGGTCGATATCCAGCCGAGACGATGAGTGATTCTCAACTGTGTTTAACGCCGGCCTGCATCAAGGCCGCCGCCGACATGCTCACCAACTTGCATCCGAACTACCAGGCCATAGACCCGTGCGAGAACTTCGACTTATGTAAGTCTGCCTTGATGACTTGCCGTTGTTTTGCATGTTCTCAATTGCTGACACCAATGCCAGACGCCTGTGGCGGATACCCCGCTAGATTTCCAAATGCCCTGCCCGAGAGCACCCTAGGCCAGCAGGTTGAAAAGAATCAGTATGTACTGAGAAACATCCTCGAAAGCCCTTACCCCGGCACAAGTGATGGCATTGTAAGTCGAATATCCAGTCACTGATGACACTCGTCAATCAAAGCTATAGCTGACACCCTCCTAGCCCGACCCTGACGATGAATATATCTTCAAGCAGATGGTATCAGAGTACAATGCCTGCATGGACGCTGATGCAATCGAGGTCTCGGGCCTAGCGGGCGTTCCTGATATCATCAGTCAGATCGTCACTCTGTTCCCGGTCGACGAAGACGACTACACGTCCAACGCCACCATCACGACGGAGGAGGACTACGACAATCTGGCGAGGACATTGGTGTATCTCAACTCGGTCGGTGCGCCGGGCCTCGGGCTATACTCCTCTGATATTGACTCTCAGAACCCTGTGTGTTCTCATTGCTTTCCTATAACTTAGACCTCGAACACGTCGCTCTAACTACCAAGCGCAGGACTTCCTGGTCCCCTACATTCAAGCAACTGTGGAGCTTGGGAGTGTAGCCGCACTCAATGCCACAGAAATCACGGCGAACTTAGTTAATCTGTTGCCGAGTCAGGCAGCTCTGGATGCTATAGACCATCTATCTCAGGGCATTCTCGACTTCGCCCTGGCTATGGCACCCGCGGTAGAGGCAGTCGATGAATCAGATATTGAAGTTAGCCACACGCCGTCCCCTACCCAGAGTAGCCGGCAAGAGGCTGACATCACTATAGGCACTCTATTTCACTACCACGATAGCCAGTGTTACAAAAGAGATGCCAGCGCTTGTCATCGACAAAATTATTCAGCAGATAGTACCACCGGACTACAAAGCGGACCGCATCCGCCTTGCCTTTCCTGAATTCTGGTCGAACCTGTCACCACTGCTTGCGAACACGCCGAAGTCCACGCTGCAGACTCTGTTGATCGCACTGACATATGTATCATATGCTCCATATGTGGCAGATTCTACGGTACGTCTCAACAAACCCATGTCTCACTCCTCCACCTCAATCTATGCCCACCCACTGACAGCCCCAATGGTCCAGACAACAGGCGAAGACCGCTTCGATACCTGCTTTAACGTCCTCGACCTCGAGGGTCTCGCGTGGACACTAAGCAAGTTCTTCGTAGACGTGGCGTACGACAACGAAGCCCGCGAGTTCTCCAGCGCCCTCGTGACCCGGATCCGCGAGACCTTCACCGAGCGGCTCGACCAGCTCGACTGGATGGACGACGCCACGCGGGCGCTGGCCAAGCAGAAAGTCGCGAACATCGACCAGAAAATCGGGTATTCCGAGACTGTAAGTCATAACCCCGTCCCATTGAACCACCACGCCGGCCCCCTTTGCCCGGACTAGTCTAGAAGTATGTACCGACACATGCGCACCGCAGGACCCGAACGCCCGCAACGTCACCGCGCTGCGCGAGTACTACGCCGGCGTCAATATGACAACCTCACACTTCAACAACACCCTCTCCCTGCGCACCTGGGCCACCAACCACACCCTCTCCCTCCTCAGCTCCGGGGCACACGCCCCCCGTTCCGCCTGGTCCGCGCAGTCGCGCGCCTACACAACCAACGCCAACTACCACGGCGACACCAACGACATCACGGTCCCCGCGGGGATCTCGCAGCGCCCGCTCCTCGACCCGGCCGTGCCGGCCGTGCTGTCCTACGCGCGCTTCGCCTTCATCGCCGGCCACGAGCTCACGCACGGCTTCGACACCAACGGCCGGCTGTTCGACCCGGAACGCCGGCAGCGGAATTGGTACACGCCCTCTACTTTAAGGGCATTTGAGGAGCGGACGGAGTGTTTCGTTCATCTGTACAATAACATGACCCTCCTCGACGACGCCGGCTTGCCCATCGTCGACCCCACCACCACCTCCACCACCCCCTCATCCTTTCCCCTTGCGGCCACTATCAACGGCACCCTAACCCTCGCCGAGAACCTCGCCGACGCGGGCGGGTTAACACTAGCGCACGCAGCATGGCGGCGCCACGAGGAGGCCACCGCCGCCACCACCCGCGCCTCAAAGCCGCTGCCCGGACTCAATAACAACGGAGGAGGGCCCTTCTCGGACGACCAGGTCTTCTTCCTGGGGTACGCGCAGAACTGGTGCGACAAGACGACGGCGGCCGCCGCGCTGCAGGGACTCGGGACGGACAACCACGCGCCGGGCTTTGCGCGGATCCTGGGCCCGGTGGCGGGCTCGCAGGCGTTTCGGGAGGCTTTTGGGTGTGCCGTGAGGGAGCCGGCTTGTGTGCTTTGGTGATGAGGGCCTGGAGAGTGAATGTCTAGATAGATTGGAGGGGTGGTGGCTGGGAGCCGTAGCGATTTGGCTATCCCGTCCCCGTATTTCCGGCCGGGGTAAGTCAGAAGGCTGCGTTGCGGAAAAAGGGGGTGGGGGCGCAACTGGCGATTGTAATCGAAATGGCAAGACGAAGCAATACCGCTACAGCACGATCGACAGGAGACATGCCGGCAGGAAGAGATGCGTAGCGAAGGATCAACCTTAGGGAGATGACCTGTTCGCCGCAGTATATCCTTGGCAACTCGGCCTGGCATATCCAGTTGCGCTTGCTGTTCCCAGCGCAGATAGTAAGCAGGGTGGAAGACCGCTTACTAGCCATCTGCATGGCTTTCTCGCGGACTTGCACGACTGTTCGAAATTCGTCCTTTGCCAACGACAATCTCGAAGGCTGAGGACAAGACGGTCTCCTCTCAGCTCTGTCGGTCGGCTTCGGGGGACTGCTCCACTTGCCGTGAAGGGGTTTTCTAAGTTCTTAGCCATTCGGCTGACACTCTGATCGAGAACGGCAGTAGGCAGTCAGCGTGGGGGATCGTCCGTTAACCGGCCGCCCCGAATCCTACTTGATTGCAATTGGAACACCATCATACTGCACCGTGAAAGGCTAAGCCGCAAGCGATCTCGGACGCCGTATGCCGCAATGCCGCTGCCTATTTGAATTTTGAACGACGCTCATACACTTCAACGGTACCTCTGCACCGAGTGCTCGCCATCAATCGTCCTGCCATGGCTACAACCACGATGACTGCAACGGAGACGCTGCCTGCGCCTGCTTTGACGATCGAGGTCGCACGCAGGTCGGAAGATGTCACCGCACCTCCATCGACTACGCTGCAACCTTTCGATAACATTGTAGATGAGTCGATGCCCGCCAGTGCAGAGCCCGAGTACCCAACAGGAGCAAAGTTCTACATCATCGTACTGTCACTCTGCCTCATTCTGGTACTGGAAGGCTTGGACGAATCGATAGTATCTACGGCTGTCCCAGCAATCACCGATCACTTTCACACTGGTGAGCTTCCCGACCTGTCCTTGTCCCCTCTCTTCAATATACTAATGCCAGCTAGTCGCCGATATTGGCTGGTACCTCCTCAGCATACCGCCTCCCACTGTGTGCCTTCCAATTCTTCTTCGGCAAGCTGTACAAAATCTTCTCGGTCAAGCGTGTGATGCTAGCTTCAGTACGTATCTTCCTGCTGGGAAGCCTACTGTGCGCTGCTACTGCAACGTCGAAGATGTTTGTTTTCGGAAGAGCTGTAGCAGGCCTGGGGTGCGCGGGTATACTTGCTGGCTGTTTCACGTTGCTGGTGCAGATACTGCCGCTGCGCTTGCGGCCGTTGTACACTGGTCTGTTTGGCGGCATCGAGACAGTTGCCGTGGTCGTTGCGCCGGTACTTGGAGGTGTATTAACGCAGAGTCTCTCGTGGAGATGGTGAACTAATCATTGACAGTCTTGATCAGGGGTCCGACTAACGCGTGCAGGTGCTTCTGGATCTCCCTTCCTATAGGCGCGCCGGTCGTCCTTACGGTCATCTTCCTCCTGGAAGACCCGAGAGAAAATGAATCCAAGAACATGTCTTAGAAAGCCATCTTTGCTCAACTGGACCTCTTGGGCTCTACACTCTTTGTGCCAGCCATCACGAGTCTGTTCCTTGCCCTGTCGTGGGCAGGCACAAAGTACGCGTTTGATAGTCCTCTCGTGCTGTGTTTATATGCAGCATTCGCTATCCTCATAGCCGGCTTCGCGTGGGACCAGTATCGCAAGCAAGACGCTGCACTGCTTTCTCCCCGGATATTCCGGCGACGCAGCATCATCGCCGGCTTCATCTTCTCCTTCTGCTGTAACGGCAGTCTGAATATAATCAACTACTACATGCCAACATATCTACAAGTGGTGCGAGAGTACTCGCCAGCAACGAGCGGGTACCTGATGGTGCCAATTATCGTCGGCTTCCTCATCGGCATGCTCATGCATGGCGCGGGCACGATGTTGACAGGCTTCTACACGCCATTCATGCTCGCGGGATCCGTGCTCATGCCATTGGCTGCGGGTCTGGTGACCACCTGGACCCTGGACTCGGGTCTAGCCAAGCTTATCACCTACTCTGGCCTCGTACCCGTGCCCCGCACCACTTTCCACCTCGCTAGGGCTCACCATATAAAGTGGTGCTCACCACAGTAGCACACCAACCACAATAACACACCAATATGAGGTTATTCAGCATTAAAATTTACGTAGCGATCGCATCTTCTTGCCAGATTCGTAGATATCAACAGCAGGCAGTCCCTTAATAGTCCTCTAATGCCTGGCCAACTTTGTTGCCTCTTTATCGAGGTTTTTTTGTGGTTAGAGTTCCTTCTTTGCCAGGACATCTGCCTTCTTTTGGAGGCCTGTCACGGTCTCCTGCTCCTTTTTCCTTGCCATTTGATGCCCGATTTTAATTGTGAGTATTCCTCCTGATTAAAGAGGAGTGTTCTTTGCAGACTTGTGCTGTTTATTAACTCAAGAAGTTAATTTGGTCTATCTAAGGTCCCTTTTAGTCTGGACTAGCTGGGAGGCGTAGAAGCGCGCCCCCTTGGATAGGAGCCTGATCCTCTTAATATCTTCAGGAGTAAGATCCCCGCCATTGTCCAGGTTATTCAAGGCCTTGTTTACTTGATAAGCGACCTTGTGAATTTGCCGCATTGTAGCTGGGGTGGCAACTGGAGAGAAACCAGGCTGGTTAGGGGGGGGTGACGGGGGTCCTCGCGCGAGCTTTGCGCTCCTTCAACTGGTTAATCACAACTGACGGTTTGAAGGGATAGATGCCCGTTTTCTTGAAGGCAGAAAGGATAGTGGTCTTCTTAAAAGCTTGCTAGCAAACCCCTTTAATACACGACAGGAACTCAATCTTCCCAATATGCGTGAGACCATCACGCACCATAATAGCCAGGGCTTTAACATAGTAGTGCTTCAAGGGCTGGAAAACCACCACATCGAGCGGCTGTAGTAAATGCGTCATATTCGGACGGAGACCAAAAGGGATAATGCCGTTGTCGTCACAATATCTAATGAACTGTGTCTTGTGGTGGCTACCGTGACCGTCGATAATTAGGAGCCTCTTTATACCAATTTGAGAGGTCTTAAAGTGCTTATTGAAGTGCTTAATCCACTCTAGGCTGATCTCATTGTTCGAATAACCACTCTCTGCGGTTGTAATTGCCATCCTGGGGTCTAATTTGTGTACCTTGTACCATGGAGACATATGGAGGGTGCCAGAGAGAATAAGGAAGCCTGGGACAACCTCGCCAGCGGCAGAGATAACTTCTATGCCAGTAGCAGACTTCCTATTCTCTGGTATTCTGAAATAATAGGTTCTTTTTTGCTTAGTGACAACCATCTGGTCCTTTCTAACCCCTAATCAAAAGCTAGTCTCGTCCATGTTCCACAGGTCATTAGGGAGGATACCCTCCTCTCTAATGACCCTCTTCAGTGCGTTTCAAGTCTTTAACAGCTTGCTGATCTTATGAATGGACCTTCTAAGGCTGCTTGAAGTATCTGTGGCGCTTGATGAAGCGGGAGGCCCAATTCTTGCCAACTGTGGGTAGTTCCGTGACTGCGGCACTCGCCGACTCCTTGAGCAGCAAGTTGGCAGCCTCTGTGATGAATTCTGGCCTCACGGAGAGATTAATGGCATCTAGGTGGTCGATATAAGCACAGACAGCCTTTTTTTGTATCACATTCAGCTTGGTGGGTGCTTCTCGTAGTCCTTTTTTGGAAGGGATGCCCTGCAGGCGGTTGCGGAAGTGCTCCCTTAGAACCCCGAATTGGCGACAGATACCACGTTCAGAGGCATCCGGATGCTCGTCGGCATATTCTACAGCTTTGTGAATAGGGGATTCTATCGCGAAAAAGTCGTCTGTCCAAAGAGACAATGACTTTGGTGTGGTTTTGGCTGGAGGGTGGTTATTTTGGAAGACTGGTGTGTTATTGTGGTTGGTGTGCTACTGTGGTGAGCACCACTTTATGTGGTGAGCCCTAGCGAGGTGGAAAGTGGTGCGGGGCACGGGTAGGCTTTGCGACGGGCATTGGTTTTCAAGGGCCCCAGAGCGCAGTGCAGACGACTTTGTCAGAGCCGGACGGTCCACTGGGTCTGAGCGTGATCCTCTTCGCTCAGCACTTCGGACCAGCGCTCTTCGTCTCGGTCGCTCAGACCATCTTCACGAACCGCCTTGCCGTCAGTCTGCATGCAGTTGCGCCGCAGCTTGACGCAAAGGCTATCGAGCAAATGGGTCTCGGGCAGCTCAAGTCCAGTATCGGCCCGCAAAAGCTGCAAGACGTGCTACTCGGCTTCGACAGGTCACTAGTGCAGACGTGGTATCTGCCGCTTGGGCTGGCATGCGCAACGGCCGTTGGTTCCTTGATGATGGAGTGGCGGTCGGTGAAGGAGAAGCGGAGCTAGCGCCAGGAATCCAAGCAACTATACCTTGGCGAAGAGGCAGAAGGATGAGCTGAGGGTTGATCAAGGACGGGACTATGGGGGTGTATTGGTGACAACAAGGCGCAAGCGGATTGCATATACCTAAGTGTACCTCATTCCTCGAGGTACTTTGCTTGGGCGTTCTCGGCGCTGGAAGAGATAGTCATCAATCGAGTGTCGAGTTGTTCATACATACCTAATAGACTGATCAAACGCACTGTATACTCGCCTCTTTTCTTGCGTCTTTCCCTCTCCTTATCAAGCAAGTTCAATCACTCGCCAAGAATTTTCCTGGAATCTGACATTTTTGAAGAAATGGAATGGGCGATCCTCACCCCAGATGGTCCTTTCCACCTCCAGCAATCTTCATCTCATGCTTCTTGACGCAATGTCCAATGTTCACCCTTTGCTTCAGACGGGCGTTCACATGTCTCTGCCGCCGAGCTTCTACCGTCTGGTGGTGGTATATGTATCAACATCTACCACGTCGCTGGTCTTCAGCCAGGACATAGGCAATGCTGCCGGCAAAGGGACCATAACATCCTTCCGTTACTACCACATTTGCTTCCCTGTCCTCCCCTAAAGGACGAAGCTTCTGCGTCGTTTGTAAGGTATGTATACCATTAACCAGTAGACGACTAGCCTACCTCCCGACAATGACAATTCCACAAAGGTGCCGTCTAGTCCTTCTCGACACTTTTTGCTTCTCCCAACAGATATCTGTTCAACTTGGGCTCTGGTTCGCAGGATCAAGTCCTCCAGACGGCTGTAGTGATGTCCTAACCCGAGAACATATGAACTTGGAGACGCCGAGGAACTATAACGATAATGCGGACCTGAAGTGTAATAGACAGCTACAGAATAGACACTGTGTTATATACTATATCGTTCAGATTTCTTGCCGGGCTGCCGAGTTCAGAAGCTAGCTTCGCATATACAGCTCTAGCTTCCGGAGCCAGGACATCCGGGCATTGCTACGGGCCCGCTAGAGTTCGAGCTGGATCGTCCCAAGGTCACTGGTATAAGTAGGTACGTAGTCCGCACCCAGCAGGTGTATACCGAAGATACAGCTCAACTTCGAGCCCGGACATAAGATATAAGATGGCGGACAAGCAGATCACGCTAGTCGCCACGGTGTGGCCGGCTGAAGGCAAGATGGAGCGGGTACGTAGAGCCTCCCATACCCTCCGACTTCGATGTTGTGTATTGCTCCACGCAGGACCCAGGTAGCAAAGCTGATGCAGGAGATGATGATGTAGCTGAAGGAAGTCGTGACCGCCGCCACCCACAACCTCCGCGACGTCGAACTAGGGACGTTGCAGTTCCAAGTACTCGAGGAGACAAACACAAAAAGTTCTCGGATGGTTCTAATCGAAGTGTAAGTACAACTACTGTCTACTGTCAGCGATGATGACATCCAGAGTCTGTCTGACTGAGTATTGGTATAGGTACCAAGACCAAGCAGCGCTAGACGCGCACAGAGCAAACCCGGACTACACGGCTGTGTTTAAAACGATCTCGGAGGAAGGCTTAATGGCTAAGGCGCCTGAGGTGGTCGAGACGAGGAGTGTTGGTGGGTATAAGTGAGGCGGAAGCCGTGCAAGGCTCGTAGGCTAAGGCAATAGAGCTTGCTCCCCTTCTCCTTCTTTCCAGCCAGTACCAGGCTCCTATATCGGTCGGCGGATAACTTATGAAATGAAGATCTTTGGCATCCTCGAACGAGGTTGAGAAGCTCTTGAGATAGTGAAGCAGCGGTATAGGCCGGTCATAGGTCAACATAATATCTTTCTGCTACGCTCTGCTTGCTTGGTCTTTGTACAAACACGCAATCAACCACGACTCTGTCCCCTACAGGGATAGCCGTCTTGTAATGCCTGCTTCTCAGCATGACAGTTCCTAGTGATCTTCTCCTTTCGAGACAGTTAATTGTACAACCGTGACCCTTGGATACTTAATCCCGCCACACTCTAGCTCTTGTCTTCCGTCAATCAGCACACCCTCACCCCACATACCTCGACACCCTTGCCCTCGACAAATGCTTTTTGGTCGAAATATGTCGTCAATGCTTCCTTCACGAAATATGCGTCCGATGCACTCCAGACATCAAGCCCCATATTGGCCATTGCATCGCTTTCAATCCTGACCCCGCGCCCTCGATCGTCGTCATTTGATTCGATCAGGGCATCGTCCTCTCCCATTGGGCTCTCGTCTCCAGCGTCGCTGTCACTGGCACTCTCCACAAGATCTACCAACGTGCCAAGGATTTGCGTAGTGAGTCTGTGGAAGTACGCGATGATGGCTAGTTCAACGCGAGCCTCTTCGGAATCCAGCGGGGCCGAGGCAGGCGCAGAATTACGCCTTACCGTGAGCGAGGTTACGGATGCCGAGATGTCCGCGGAGCGCGGCATGCTCATATTCATGGATGGGGATGATAGCTCTGCGAGAAGTGAAGAATCGTGCGCCGCCTCTTCGGCCTCGTTCGACCGAGCCTGTTCGCCGGCCGAGGCCCACCACATGAACCCGTTGTAGGCCAGTGCCGTCCAGCTTAGGGGTTCAATGATCTGCTCTGCATCATCGATATATCTGTCGCCGCTGTGCTGTGGTTTCAATGCGCGCGGCGTTGTCGGCGAGGTGGCTCCGCTGCCGGCAGTAGCCCCAAACCGGGCGAGTCCGGCTTTGAGGGAGCGGAAGCGCCGTAGATCGCGTTGCGTGGCTTTAACAGACACGCCGTGCGGACACTCCACGGTAGGCCATACGTGCTTCTTCGTGTTGGAGGAATGGGGTGATGGCATAGTAATGAGCATGTCCCACAGCGTGTCTTTCTTAGAGAGGATGCTGTCGGTTGTGCAAGCTATCCAGCCTGTCCCCATCTCCCCTTCGTAGTCTGGCGAATCCTCAACATTCCTAGCCGACTTTGCGTCATCGACAAGGAAAGGAATATCGTGGACGCCGATGGAGAACAACGGCCGTAAGCGATGGGGTGGTGAGTTTGGCGAGAGGAGGTCGAATGTTGACAATGGTATATTTGAGAGTATGGATATATCGTAGACTATGCTTATCATTAGCCGTTTCTCGTCTAGGACAAACGCAACGGTCATTGCTACTGACCAAAGTTGCAGGCTTCTTGCACCGGCGCATGGCCTGATATGAGAATGCGCTTGCGAAGCAATGCAGCTCGTTGTATAGGGAATATAAGCGGCCCAAAGGTATCCAACAGCTTCGTTAAGCTCCACGCAGGGTGAAAGGGAGATAGCTTGTGACCAGGTGGTATCAACGCCGCTCCATCAGACGCCGACCGATTCCTAGTATGGCCGCGCGGAGGCTTTGGAGGTGTCTGGAAGCTCATAGAGGGCGATTCGAGCGCCTCTTTCAATGCGCCTGAGTCCTCCTTTACGGGGTCGCGCGCCTGGTTCTTCTCCCAGTATTGCTCCAATATGCCTGTGTCCTTGCTGTTCGCGGCGAGTGCTCTGTCGGTACATGTCAGCGATGATTCCAGGCCAGACAACATCTATAGCAGGGCAACATACGAAGCCATGACTTTCAGCCCTTCGGCGTGTCTCCAAGCTCTTCCCAGACGTCCATAGCTCAGCGGTACCAGGACGCCGACGGCCAGCATGCGCGCATTGCGGGCGGCAGTATCCTCGACCGGGGCATTGACGAAGGCACTAAGCCCAGCATATCCATCATGCACGAAGTATATCAGGTCTTCCGAGACAGTATGTAGGCCCGAGGGCAGTGACTTGTACTCGACGGTGCCTTCGAGTTCGATGCCAGGGTTCGACGCCTTCCACGAGATTGTATAGCCAGCCTTGACGTCGAAGTCGATCAGGAACAGCGCGGATATGGGAGGGAGATCGGGCAGGGTCGCGATACTTGGGATCGAGGGTAGTCGTACGTGCAGCTCCGGCTGGCCGCGGCGTGATGCGGCCATGACTGAGTTGACGCTGATGTAGGCGCGTCACCAATTGGCCGATTAGCTGGCCGGGCGCATCATTTGTCGACGAGGTTACAAGTTTGCGTCTTGTCTATTCACCAGTGGCTTGTTGATCTCGATGGCCGATTGGACTTGTATCTATTCTCGTACCGGTAATCGGCTGTCTCGATGGATAAAGCCGGGTGGTCGGTGGTCGGTGGTCGGTGGTCGGTGGTCGCACCGAGGGGTAACACGTGACCCGCTTCTTCAGCGATACGTTACCCGAGATAACCGATCTCTAATAAGGTCATGTTAGAAACCTTCCCCCTTAACCCCTGACCTTAGCAGCTGATACTAAAAAGTGAGCCATCTGAATACTCGCAACATAATTCTTAAACGATGATAGAAATGATATGTACAGTACGAATCACAGATCCTGTATTCGCCATCGACCCGATGTCGCAAACCGACAATTGCCAAAGGTATCAGGAGGGTTTCCTCCGCTTTGCGGTGCTTTGGCGGGGGCAACGTATTCATGACATCAGAATCAACCGGATAGAAAGTCGTCGTGTAGAACGTGAACCGCGCGTCGATATCTGTAAATCTCAGCGTGTCTAATTCATCAATTGAATGCGATATTATCATATCCTTTGCAGGTATCTTTAATCACCACAACTGTGGGAAAACTTGAGACCAAATCACTTACCTATCCCCAATTCCCACCAACAACACAATGGCAGCTACGAAGCCATCGAACGTACCCGGCGACAAAGTGCCGGCTGAGGATGTGGCTCTCGAAACCGGTGCCTCCTTCATACAGGTAATGTTCTGATCCAAAACGTCCATTGCATTTGGCATCACTACTGCCCAAATAGATACTTACACGTAAGATAGAATTTCGAGCCCACCAAGCAGCTCTGTGCTCACCTGAATGCATTTCACACCTATGCCGATGAGCCAGGCCGACATGTTGAGGCAAACCACTACTGTGCTCATCTGACTGAAGGTACATACATCGCTCACCCGCGTCCCAAGCCGGATACATACTCCGTATCCATTCATGTGCGCAATCTACTGACACCTCGCAGACGTCCGCCAATGCATCCTGTACGACAGTCCCGGACCCAACGCGCGACTGATCGGGATCGAGTACATGATCACGCCAAAGCTTTACGAGACGTTGGAACCCGAAGAGCGAAAACTGTGGCACTCGCACGTCTTCGAAGTCAAGTCGGGCATGCTGATCATGCCCGGACCAACCCTCCCCGGCGCGGTGCAGGCATGGGAGGCCGCCGAGACTCAAGAGATGAAGCACGTCATCGGCCTGTACGGCAAAGTCTACCACCTGTGGCAAACCGACCGAGGTGACCAGCTGCCCTTGGGCACCCCGAAGCTGATGATGAGTTTCACCGGGGAAGGACAGTTCGACTTTGAGGAGACCGTGGGCGAGCGGGATCGCAGATTCGGTACGGACTGGAAGAGGAAGAAGGCCTTGCGGGAGGGCATCGAAGTCCCCAAGATCCATGAAGATGCGGATCAGATCTGGAAGACGAGACGCAACTCCATGTAGGTCGTGGCTTTATCACTATGCAAGTGACAGAGGCCTCGCTTTGGTTCCAAGGGTGTCAATCTACAGCTGCAACGTCATAAGCACCGCAGCAGACGAAACCTGCCTTCAGCAGCATGGAGCTTGAATGCGAGGAAAATTGACCATGGAGGGTTCGTTATGCGACGAGATATTGCAGAGCGTCCTCCTCCTTCCTCACGTCTGCCCCTTTATTACATTTCAAGTATCTTGTGAGCATTCCATACGGCTGAGGAAAAGCGACTGGATTCCTACGGAGACTTATCAAGGGCGACTGTACATCTTCGGAAGCATGGGTACCTCTCTGGTGTTGAATGACAAGTGAACAACGCCAGTATTGGCGGGTTCAGATTGACTTTCCAGAATAACTCAACCACCATGTTATACACTGCGCTCCTAAATGCGGGCTGCTACGAACCACGCGGGTCTGAAAGACTCCTCCGCTTCGGATAGTACATGTGCCTGACATTGCTCACGCTTGTGACATCTGCGGGACCTAGCTATGGACCTGTTTGCCTTGCAATGATAGAACCTTTACAGAGACGGGCGCGGCATGGTGCCCTGTTTTGCGTACAAGGCGGGTGGCGAAGGGTCGGACTGCGGCGTCGAAGTCGTGACTTGGACGATCGATCGCCATCGGATGAGGGCGGAGGAGTTGTGGTTCAAGGCCCCCTTTGCTGGCATGATACTGGTTGTGGCTTCTCGAGGAATGGGGTCGTGCTGCCGCTGGCGACGATCAAGAACAATATCGACGAACTTAGGAACGACACGGTGATCTGGGACGCCCAGAAGTTGGCAGCTGGCTCACTCGCGACGTTGCATCTGCCCCTGAAGCTCCGCCTCGGTCTCACGGCAACTTCATCGATCACAGAGACATTGAAGCGTGGCAGGAGCGCAGAGCTGGGGACTTGGGCACTGCGCTGTCGTGGCAGAAGACGAATGCTGGCAGATAGATATGCCCATCACATGAATGAGACGCCAAATGGATCTGTTACGGACGGCTCGTGATTCAAGGACTGGGGAATGTGTATGGACATCTCATTGGAATCCACCTGCTACTACATGGCTCTGCCTGTCTAGGTACTTGGTGATCGAGGGCACCATTTGCTCTAACCAAGGTGACCTAGGAACCCTATAATTGGGATAGATCAGGAGTAGATACTGGGCAAGACAGAACTTCGAGAAGCCGAAGATGGTCCAGCCTATATGTCTCGTCTTGGGGGCTGTCACGATGTCAGCTTCTTCTGAGGGCTCGTCGATCAGTGTAGCTGACGAACCGGTGCTTAAAACTTGTTCGATCAACGCCAGCTGACTCCGCGCATCTCCTGTAAAGCTCTTGATCTTCCAATAGTCCAAGGAAGACCTCCCGTCAATGCCTTGCCTTGCGCATTCGTCTGAGCTATGATCTCGTTCACCCAGCCGATGGTCTGGTCCAGATACGAATCAAGGGCTCCTGGCATCGTAGAAGCCTTGATCATCTTGCGATTGGGGTGTGATGTGCAGAGTGCTCGTAGGTCGTGGATGTGATAGAGGAGTGCATTACACTCGCCAAGTAGCCTCCCAAGTTCGTGTTGTGTAAGGGGGGCTCCAGAGGGGCCGGCCATGTCCGCAGGTCGGGACGCGATAGATTATGACTTTCGATGCTGAGGAAATCGCAAACCTCCCAATCCAGCAAGAACTTGTGACGATCAGGCCTGCAGTACAACTGGTCAGGACTGATGGATAGATAAAGCTAGATTCAACGATCTATGAAGAAGGAAGAAGGAAGAAGGAAGGCCGCTTCAGGTGGGAGGTGGGCCTCCCATATATATAGGTACATGTGGAGGTACAATGTACTTGTACCGTAACAGAACTCACTCTCGACCGCTTTTGGCTCCTTTGTTGAGGAACATTGGCTATACCTTTTTGTCGGAACTCGCCCATGGCAGGGTTTCCTTTGTTCATGGTGCCTTTCACATTGTATGCAAGGTGATTCTTACCATGTATTGCCGACTTGCAGGATTCTTTCGAGTGCCTGCCGTATTTGGGTGGTGATGGGTGCACTTGCACGTAGAACAAACCCTCCCCAAGGATGGTTGATTTCCAAGTCAGTTGGTCGAGGGGGCAGGCAGCCACCTTCGTAATGCCGTGATAATTGTTGGGACTAGAGCCGCAGAGAGGAACATATCATCTGAGCCCGGGTAATCTTATGTATGGCTTCATGATTTGGTCCCGGATGGCGGTATCACGTATCGCAATCGAATCCCACCTCCTGTCACAAAATCTGAAATAGGCAAGATGTCGATATCCTGCAACCTTGTCACCTCATCGGCCAAGGCAAAAGCGTTGCGGTTTCGGGAAGGAGGTTATCCTGTGTGGGCTGCCACTGACGTTGTGTTGCATCGGCTCTATTTCTCCAACTACCGGTATTCTGAAGATACGCGGTTACTCGCAACAGTGTATAACACAAGAACCCCCGCCATTCAAGATACCAGAAGCGCCCATCCCGGAACACACAGCAATCAGTATGAAGCTTCTCAGTATCTTTTGTGTTTTTGTGGGCTTGGGAGCCGCCGCCCCTTCCAGCCAGCAGGACAAGGTCAGCTACGATGGCTACAGAGTCTATCGCGTTACCACTGTCAACGAGGTCGCTGGTGACGTTGCGGATTTCCAGTTGCGAATGGCTGGTCTTTCCGCGATCGAGCTCAATCACCGTCATATTTCGGACGAAGAGACGACAATCGACATCGCCATTCCTCCGGGCCAAGTTGACGACTTTGACGCACATCCTTTTAGCGCCACCATCCTGAGCGAGGACCTAGGCGTTGATATTGCAGCTGAAGGTGCTCTGGGCAACTATCAAAGTTCGACTCCAGATATGGCACACTTGGGGTATCTTTGACTGATGTTGTCGTAGGACTAAACGAAAGTGACCAGAAAGTGCCGAGCCCATCGTGGTTTGACTCGTACCATGCCTACGAAGACCACGTCCAGTTCTGGTCCGATTTACAGACCTCGTTCCCGGACAACTCGGAACTTATCGAGGCTGGAGTCTCGTTCGAAGGTCAGCCTATTCAAGGCATCCACCTTTGGGGAAGTGGCGGCAGGGACTCGAAGCCAGCCGTTTTCTTCAATGGCAATGTCCATGCCCGAGAGTGGATTACCTCGATGGTGCGTGGCCGTAGAGCAGTCATGGCCTTGGCTCAAGGAAACTGCTAACTGATGCGTATTGCTTCTAGGTGGCCGAGTATCTCATCTACCAGATCGTCATTGGCTACGAGAACGACGCCACAGTGCAGTCAGCACTAGATAACTACGATTTCTACGTGTTGCCGGTAGTTAACCCAGACGGTAATGAGCCTTCACTCCTGAACGATGTCTGTTGTCCACTGACTAATACCACACCGTCAAGGCTTCGTCTACACACAAACGACAGACCGACTCTGGAGAAAGAACCGCCAAACTCGAGACAACACGACCGAGGTTGGGACTGACATCAATCGCAACTGGTCCGTCGGATTCGGAGGCGAAGGTTCGTCACTCGACCCCGGATCGGAAACCTTCAGTGGCTACCAGCCGGGTGACGCTCCCGAAACGGCTGCATTGATGGCCTACGCGCTGAAACTGGCCGACAACAATGGTGTCAAGCTATACATCGACTGGCACAGCTATGCCCAGACTATCCTGCTATCCTACGGTTACACCTGTACCGAATTCCCAGACAATATCCAGGACCAGATACGCCTAGCAGCAGGCACAGCGCAGGCAATAGCTCAATCGTACAATACCACATTTGTGTACGGACCTGGCTGTCTCGTATTGTACCAGTCGAGTGGCAATGGCAGAGATTTCGTGACTGATGTCGTTGATGCAGAACTTGGCTGGGGTATTGAGCTCCGGGACACCTCTTATGGGTTCATGCTGCCTGCCAATCAAATCCTGCCCAGCAGTGTGGAGATCTGGGACGGGATGAAGTATCTGTGGGCAAATATGTAGCCGCAAGGTCAGGAGGCTAGTGGCACACGCAACAGATCTCGTTCTGTGAAGCAATTGGGGCTAAGAGGGATTACACTCGACACAGCCAAACCACAAGTAGTTTTATCGGCTTTCCCTATACAATGTGCACTACAATTCTATTATGCCAATACATCATCACTTTTGCGCCAGGTAGCCATCCAGTGTTCTAATTAGTATATACCACATGAATCCAAGCCCGCTGCACCCCACGACCGCAGCCTCGTCCCGGTGGAACGAGAGTTTCGTAGTCTCGTATGGTATCTCGCAGAGACGGGAATTCTACCGTTATCGCTTTTAACGCTTGGGAGTGGTTCGCTTGGGCGAAGAATAATCCGAATTGTGAGGTCCTGATTGACTTCGAGCTACCAGTCCGGCAGACCCGGCCATGAGCTGGAATACGGGATAAGACAGATGGTGTAAAAGGGACACGTGTGACCCTTGGGAGTAATATTATTCCTACCACGTGCTCCGGGGGTTCCAGCTGGTTGTTGGCTTAGGGAGCCCCTGTTTCTTAGGAAAACGGGGGGGGGGGGGGGAGGCATGCTGCCCCTATACGGAGTCAAGCGCCGCCAGTCGTACATCATGAGATCCCACGTACGTGGCGGCGCAAGTCTTGAGGGATATCTGAAGAGTGCTCAGCTCATGGAGAATAAGATCATCATTTCAGGTATTTATTGTGACCAGCTTCTCCATCACCTCATGGCTCTGCGCGACCGGCTTGTGTAAGGCCGCGCGAACATAGCCGCTCCAAAGTCAGTTTACTCACGAAACCCGTGCGGCCAGTATGAGTGGCAGACTTCGATGTTGAGGCATTGAAGAGGAATGTGAGAAGTCTTGTTAGTGGGCAGGAATTGATCACAAACATGAGGCATGGCTGTTGAGAAATTTAGTGGGGGTCTTGACGATCCTTGGTGTTTTCCAAATCAAAGACAGTGAAACTTTTCAATACCGGCCCACTACATATAGTCAGGTCGGGAATACTTACTCATCGAAAGCATCATTCATCACAGTCTCGCACGATGAACCGAATCACTCCATCTGGTCGTTGACGGGCAGGGATGGTTTTGCCGCAGCGGCGTGGCACGGGGGGCCCGTTGCGGCGGGGAGGCGGCGGCGTAAGGAAGGTGAGGTGTGAGGTGTGAGGTGTGAGGTGTGAGGTGTGAGGTGGGCTGGGCTGGGCTGGCGATCATGACACGGCAGAGCGGCTCGGGTGGACGAGCGTCGGACTCTGGTGCGTCGATGGCATGAAAGGCTTTAAGCCGGTGGGTTGCCGCTTGCGCGATTAGTGACGGGACTTCAGACCGCCAGACTTCCATGTCACTTCATCGTTGGGCATGACGTCGCTCGCCATCCGGATCCACATCCGACGTCGTTCAGTAAGGTAACGCGACGTGGAGCGAAGTTGCACGTTTATGGCCCCCCGCCCGGCACTACCCAAGTACGGGAGTATATCCGTTAGAGATGTGCCGACCCCGGCAGTCCCGGGCGATACGAAGATGGCGGCTCCGCATGAACCTTGAAACCTCGTATTGTCTAATTACATGTAGCATTTGTAAAGTAGTGTCGGCATAATAAAATAGCCCGTCACCGGCCTGCATTTGGATTGACAGATTGAGTGAAAAGGCACACGATGCCGCTCTCCTTTTGAATCTCGTGAATCTGCTTCTCGTCCGCTGCCATTGTACTCTCGAGGCTTTTCCACCATGGCAAGTTTAATTTTCGGAGCGCTCTTGGCCCAAGGCGCTGCTGCGCTTCAGGATTCAGTGTCCCTCCCACTGTCTCTCGCGTACGGCGATGGATCCAGCCAAGTCATGACCACGTTCCGGATGGGGCACCCGGAAGGGGAGCCTCTGAGCGTCGTCGCAGACACAGGTTCCGCAAACTTTTGGATATTCGGACCCAACGCCACTGTCAACTACGGCTCTCAATATCTCGGTGTCCCAGGCCCATGCAATGAGACCGCCTCTCCCTTCTACAACTACACCGCCTCGAACGCCGCCACCGCGCCCGAGGCATTCGGCCCCGCCGAGTACGCCTACGGCGGCAACTCCAAATTCATCGACAGCACTTTCACCGTCAACGACACCGTCAACGCCGCCTTCCCCGACGCCTCTGAGAGCGTCGTCGGCGTCCGCGTTGCCGTTGCCGAGTCGGCCATGTACCGCCAGTACGATGACGGCAGCTGCGCGGGCCTTGACCACGAGACGGGTATCCTGGGCCTGGCACCCTTCGCCAACACGACGACAGGCCCGTCGTTCCGCCAGGACCTGTTGGACCAAGGGACTGTGACGTCCAAGGTTTTGAGCATGTGGTTCGAAGCGAACGAGGGCGCGGCGACGGCGCCGCTGAACGGGACCGCGCTGATCGGCGCCGTCGACCACACCAAGTACAGTGGCGAGCTAGTGGAGCTGCCGCTGTTCAGCTCGCCGTCGAGTGTGGGCTACTTTGTCGGCGTGCCGAAAGTCACGATCAACGGCGGTATTGTAGCGCTGGAAAACAGTACCTCGGACTGTCTGATCGACTCGGGGTCCATCTTCGACACGCTCCCGTTCACGAACGAGACGGAGTTCCTTGATGCTACGGGCCTGGTGGACCTGCAGGGCTTCATCGCGTATCCCTCGGCCTGCGACGACATCCCGGCCAACGCGACGATTGACTATCTCTTTGATGGTGCCAAGGACGGGGAGTCTGTTACTGTCAAGATCCCGCTGCGGAACTATGCCAAAGGCTCGGGAGACTTCCTTGGAGAAACTGATAAGTGCGGAATTCAGATCCAGCAGGGTTACGATGCGTGCACGCTTGCTGCGCCGTTCTTCACTGGAGCCTTCATCACCGCAGACGACGAGGCCGGGACGTTTGCGGTCGCGCAAGGAGGACTGCGTGGGTCGTATTCGGAGGAGAAATAGATTTAATGCGTGGTAATAGATTTTACGATGCGTCACCTTTTCAAGTGCGATCGCAGTACATCACCTGCAATGATGTGAAACACGAGGTTGCAACACTGGAAAAGGGCTTTGCATTGTTTACCTGCCACGAGCGTTCTACGTCTGTCCCTATCCAGCCCTGTGCCCTTTGAGTTCTTTCAAGCCCTGCGTATAGCTCACCACAAAATCCTAGAGGCAGACAGTCGCACAGGTTAGCCCTCGGCTCCGACTCCAACTCGCTAGACTTGCAAGAGACGGGGAGAATGGACTTACTGCCAAGAACTGGGGCAGGAACTGCGACACGAACTTGATCCCACTAGAATTCGGTCCCTTCCAGACCAGTCCGGCCGTCCCGCTCCCGCCCATATCTTCGACCAGCATCTCGGCAAACTGCTCAGCCGGTATGCCCTTTGGCTTCAGCTCGGCGCTTGCCCAGCCGGCAATCGTCTTCTCGATTGGCATGTACAAGGAAGTTGGCGGCAGGTGGAAGTCTGGGTCGTTATTGTGGAATAGGCTGTTTATGGTGCCGCACATGATCGCGACGACCGTGACACCCAAAGGAGACAGCTCCAGGCGCAGAGTCTCGGACAAGTTTGTCAAGGCGGCTTTGGACGAGGCATATGTACCTGTGTTTGACGCGTAGAGGTCAACCATGCAGCACGAGTGAGTACGGTCATGGTGAGTACCTAGTTATGGCGACATACCTATCCACGGAGTGTTCACAACTGCTCCAACGGTACTTATGTTGACGACACGGCCCCGACTGGCAATCAGAAGCTTGGAGAAGGCTTGTACCGCGCGGATGGGGCCCCAGACGTTGAGGTCGTAGAGCCTCTGAGCACGCTCAATGTCGACGTCGAGCAACGGCATGGCGTAGCCGGCGCCGGCATTGTTGACGAGCACATCGAGGCCGCGGCCACTCTCGGCGACGAGCTTGGCCGTCTCGCTGACCGACTCGGTCCAGCAGACGTCGAGTCTGAGGACAGTGACATTGGATAGGGCGGACAGGCTTTCCGGAACCTTGGATGTGTCCCGCGCGGTCACGAAGACGTGGTGGCCGCGCGTGGCCAGCGCACCGCAGATGGCAGCGCCGATGCCCCCCGCGGAGCAGCCCGTCACCAGAATTGTCTTCAGAGGCATGGCACTCAGGCAGGCCGTGTGGAGATGGATGTTCTTCGCTGCAGCGTTGCCGACATCTTTTGGGGTCCTGGGGGCTGGTTTGTTGGTTGGTCCTGCATGAAGACTTTGCATGCCCCCCTGGACCATTTCTACCACTACATGGGCTTGGCTTCTCCTTACCTCCAAGCTCAAGACGCGTCCCTCGAATGCTCATATTCTCATTTTAACCATGGTTGCCTTGCTATATCGGCAACAAGGTCCGGTTGCTTGTAGATTTGCGATGTTGTACGAGTTAGCCTACACCCTTGCCGGGTTGGTCGCTTTGGCTTATGCTGCGGACTTTGCATTTGGCCTCCGGGACGATCCCCGCGAGCCGAGGCGTGTGCGACCCCGAATACCGTTCATCGGCCACGTTCTCGGCATCGTCAGGTATGGTTCGGCATACTACAGCCAGACTAGGTAAGTTGCACCGGCGACCTGAATCATATGCGGGGTGCCTGGTGTCCCGTATGGAACCTACTTCGAAACACATATATCAAGGGACAGGGGCCGGGTCCAGTTGTTATTGTTCGACAGAGGGTTCTACGAATGCTGCTCAAGCCATGGCTCTGACCCTATAGACAGCGCGAGACCGAGAATGAGATCTACGCCCTCGACGTCGTCGCCCTCAAGCTCTACGTTGAGCAGGTCTCGGCGTCTCATCCCGTTGATCCAGAAGGCCTCCAAGACGCTTTCTTTCCGCCCCTTCACGAATGTGGCGGCACGCGACATGGCGGGTAACTCGGAGCCGGCATGTGACTTGTTTAATGGACCGCTCGTCGACGAGTATAGTCAAGTTGTCAAGATTGCGCTGTTGCCCGGCTCTCACCAGGATAACCAAAATCTGCGCATGGCTAATTCGGTAATCTCTCTGGTTGATGGTATTTCCAATGAGGGCAAAGAAAAGCCCATGGGCCTGCTAGAGTCGACGAAGCATGTGATCGTCGAAGCGAACAGCTGCGCGGAGGTTGAGAAGGCATTATGGTCCGTGTTCATCGCTTTGGTCCTGATCGTCTCGATACGGACCTGGTGACTTGGACTCTCATAATGCTATCCGTCGGTTTGAGAGTGGGCTGACTGAAGCACCCACAGGGGATGGCAAGCCCACCTCCACTCACACATGGCTGGCTTGGACTTCTTTGGCAAAGCTAACAAGGAGCGGAAAGTGGTGCACAAAGCCTTCTTCAAGTGGTGTCGCGAGCTGCGAGACGATACTTCAAAGGTGCTCCTCGACCGTCAGCGTATCGTAAAGGCTGCCGGAATGGACTTCGAGGACGCCGCAAAGCAGGAGACCCTTTTCTGTGTGGCCATATTTAGCAACACGGCCCCGACGCTGTATTGGACTATCTGGGAGCTGTTTTCACGACCTGCTCTGCTTGAAGAAGTCAGGGATGAGTTAGAGGAACATGCGATCACGAGGGATGAGGGAGACAAGGACGGAGAAGGCACAGCGCAGCACACGCTAGATATTACGGCTCTCAAGACACAATGCGCCATCTTGCTCTCCATGTTCATCGACAACGGGCGCTACCTCTTGCGCAAGGGTAATTATGTGCAGATGCCCGGCGCGCCGATTCATTATGACGAGAGCGTCTGGGGCCCTACAGCAAAGACATTTGATCCGTACCGCTTCGTGGAAACAGGAATAGTGAAGCGAAACAGCCCGGCTCCAAGCCGTTCGCTCCGCTACCAGCCGGGTTCCTCGCCTGGGGCACGCCACTTCACCTTTGCCCGGCTAGGCAGTTCGCAACGACAGAAATCTTGATTACTGTGGCGTTGCTCGCAGTACAGTACCACCTCGTGCCGGTAGCGAGCAACAGTGAGTGGGAAAAGAACCCAGCTATCGACTACAACGACGTGGTGGCGGTCTTCAACCCGCTCAAGGATGTCGAGGTAGAAGCAAAGCCTAGGAAAGGCGCAGGAAACTGGACTGTGAAGATGGGAAAGAGTAAGACGCAAGTGGTTATTGCTTCAGGGTGAGACAAGGGCTGGTATATTTTAGTTGTAGTGTGGAAATTCCAAGAGCAAAGCTTGGAACGTTATACTCTTTACTCACGACTCAGGAGGTATTCATGCTGGCTCATCGTCACTCCTGGCATTCAAGAACCTGCCAATTCGTCATACGGCCGAAGGGACGTCTGATGCCGGAATCTAGACAGCCTGTCAGAAACCCCGATATCAACTGAGCTGGAACGTTCAACTAGCTTTGTTATGGGCATAACCGGGCTTGCAGGCGAATGAATAACCGCCAGGTTCAAGCAGGTAAGAGATCATAACACGTTGCGCTGATGACGCTTGCTGGTTTTGGGTTCCTAGTTGCCGTCGCTCTTAGCTCTCGTCAAAGCAAGCTGTACCTAAGGCATTCTGAGGTCGCCTTATCATAGCAAGCAGTCCATCATTGAAGTTTGGAACTATGAAATCCGGGGTATCATTAGTAGCACATCGTCACCTCGTTAGCCACGGCCCACGGGAGCCGGTTCCTGACCTCGGGCCAATGAGGTGTGGCAGCGAAGCCTGTGATTGCTGTTTCAAGGAGGGCGCTATAACGACGGTCAATTCCATAAGGCTTGCCCCGCAATCCATTGTGGGTTCATGCAGGTGAGGTCCCCGCCTTTGACGTCTTTCGGTTCTGGGTCTGCAAGGCAGTGACGTCATTGCTGGATGCGGTAAGGTGCCAACTCCCACGACGGCTTCGATCGCGATTCGCATTCAACGGGCAGCCTCACGCCAACTTTCTGTTACCGGGCCTGCTTTGTTTGCACGAACCTGCCTTCAATGCCTGCCGTGCCACAGTACTATGTACAAGGGATCCGGAGTGTTTGCTACGAGAGTGTCCCTGGCGCACGCTTTGGGGCGCTGACGTAGCCTGCCTGTGGCGCATACGTAGCCTTTTCCTTTGCAAACGACAGGTAAGCTGAAGTGGAATGATGGACGTTCCTGAAAGCTGAGGTAAAGATAGCTCTGTTCCTTTGACTACAAAAACACCTACATCATCCACCACCTGCACCTCTCTAGCCACACCTTGACCTCCCTCTCCGAAGTAAACAACAACAGCAACTACCTACCATCACTACTTGACCAAACCACCACTACCAAACCCATACCAACATACACACAATAAACCGCCATCATGGGCATCGCATCAGGAATCGGCCACCTCTTCCAGTCGGTCATCGAGATGATCCAGGGCCTCTTCGGCGCCATCCTCTCCTTCTTCGGCGCCATCCTCAACGGCATCCTCAGCCTGTTCCAGGGCTTCGTCAACTTCGTCGAGGGCACCCTCGGCTTCGCCATCCGTAAGTTACTCTCCCCTCCGTTGTTCTCTCCCTTCGTCTCCCGTACCCAACTCTCGCCCTTGTTCGGCCAGAACATATAATGTCACGGGATCCAGGCACTGACAACCAACCCCCTCGCAGACAACTTCTTCATCCTCGGCACCGTCGCCGCTGCCGTCTTCGCATACATGCTCTACACGCAGCGCCAGGGAACCGCACCCATCAGCTCCACACTCAAGAACAAGAAGGCCGCCTAAGCGCACCGAGCGGGTCATGTCAGCGTGCGATGAATGGGTGGAAGGATTGGATGGTTAGGATATACCCTTGGGGCCGTGTTTCTTTGTGATTGATTCCCCGATTCACTTTATGGTGGTCTACAGTTGAGGCGAAGGAGTTCAGAGTTCAGTTCCGCCAAAATGAGCTTTCCGCGGTCGTCTTCTCCTTGGGAAGGATGGAATGTTGTCTGAATGATGGATACTTTGGGCTTTCACGAGAGTAATGAATGAACTTCATTACGGACCAACTTGTCGCCTTGTCCCGTGTGATTTGTGCTGATGTCGTAGTCCTGCCAGAAGTTACCGAGTATTCACTCTGACGCAGAATAGTAATGTCAATATGAAATAGTGTCTTGACTTTAATTCTATTCCTATCGGAAACAATACAATCTAGCACTGTGATAAAGTGGCCCATCCGTGAGCACTCAAGCACCGGTAACAGCACCACTACCACCACCACCCCTCCCCCAAAAGATCTTCCGCAGCTCCGCCTGCAAACTCGACCTCTTGCGCGCCACTGGGCGCGGCGTCTCCGCCGTGCCCACGACGTCGTGGTCCAGACTCGGTTTCAGACTCACAATCGACGAGCGCACATTCAACTCCCGGTACGGCCGTCCTCCATCGCCCATCAGCCTCGCGCTGCTGCGTCCCGCGACAGCGGTCGATTTGGTGGTGGTGGTGGTGGTGTTTGTCATCCGCGTCGACCCGCCGCTCGGCCGGTACAGATTGAGGAACTCGCGCGACTGCGCGGGCGGCGTCCGTTGCGCGTGGCGCTGCAGCTGCGCTGTGATGTGCTCCGTGAGCGGGGAGGCGGCACGCTTCGGGTGCTCCTGCGGAGACGGCTGGGGTGGTTCTGCCGCGATCGTCTTCACAGACGGTGGTACATCGTGCCCGGATCCGAGGGGTGAGAACTGCCCGGGCGAGAACTGGCGGGGTTGGTAGAGACCCAGCTGGGGTTGGTTGGTGGTGGTGGGAGGCGTCTCGAGGTGTGTCTGGAGGTATCGAATAGTCGAGGAAGAGGACTCTGCACGGCGGTAGCTTGGTCGGCTGTCCTCGCTGTTGCTGCTCAGAGTATGCGCGAGGCGCGAGGACGGCCGCTTTAGGGGCTCGTCGGTTACGAAGGAGAGGCCCCTGGACGGCTTGAAGGGGCTGTTCCTGAACGGCTTGTCACTGAACGGGCTGTCCCTGAATGGCGTGTCTCTGAACGGCGGCATGTCCTTGAACAGTGGGTCGACGGCGCTCTCGCGCTCGGAGTAGTGTGAGCCGATCGAATCGTGGGACTTGCGGCGTCGCAGCTTTGGCGTCTGCGAGCGGCTCCTTGGGAACACCGTTTGCGGCGTCTCTGTGCGGCTCGTCGGGCGGCCCGTGTGTGGTGTCTGTGTACGGCTCGTGGGGCAGACCGTGTACGGCGCCGAGGCCGGGTCGTCTACCGTAAAGGTGGATGGGGAAGCGAAGTGCTCGTCGAGGACCGAGTGCGGTCGGGGTTCGTGGCGTCTGTGCCGTCTTCCATGGCCCGGGAGCAGCTGCATCCAGCGCGGTATCGGTTTCGTGGGGTTGGGCTTGAAGGCGGGCTCGCCCATGGGGACGAGGATCGAGATGTAGATGGCCGAGTCCAGGGGGACGGTGCAGAGCCCATTGTTCGCCGGCGACTGGCCTGAGCCGCTGTTGGCTCCGTCTCCTGTCCAACGGGAGCGTTGTTGAGGGTCGAGGGGCGAGGGTTGCAGTTGCGGTCGATGCTCTGAATACCCCTATTTATTGTCAGCCAGATCATGCCTGAAGTAGGGGTACTTGACCACCATGCTTAGGTACTCACCTCCTCAACTCTCTACATTTTGGCAGGCACCCTCCTGATCGCTCCCTTGGCATTGATAATGGACTCCCGCCTCTCCCACCTCTTGCGGCTCAACCCGCCGTCCACCCTGTCGACCCTCCGCAGCGCCTTCTGCGTCACCGTGTGCCGGTCGTCTGTCTCGCAGCCGACGACGCAGTTGGCGCACATGGGAATATCCGTAATCTCGCAACAACCGCGCCCCAGGCCCAGACCGGCCTCGTCTCCCTCTCTTTCCCCTTCCCCAGCATCCGCACCACCCCCCTCCAGCTCCTCGCCAACGCCATCCCGCAGGAACAGCTGCGCCACCGTCGGCGCCGTTACCACGAGCCGGCTCCCGCACAGCAGGCAGCCGTAGCAGGCGCGGTGCCAGAAGCACCACCCTAGGCTGACGGTCTCGTCGCCGCGGCAGACGACCTCGCCGCACACCTAGCAGATGGCCAGGTCGATGAGGCTGCGGTAGCAGGACTCGCACGTCAGGCGGGCGGCGCGGCCGAGGACGTGCGGGGGCCCGCGCGAGAGGTGCCAGCAGAAGGTGCAGGTGAAGAGTTCGTGCGGGTGTGGATGTGGGTGTGGGTGTGGGTGTGTCGGTTGTTGTTGGGTCTGGTCGTTACCGGATGATTGTGGTGGTGGCATCGTGGGAACTGACTGATTGTGTACTTAGGTAACGTGTATAGTATAACGATTGTTGTTATTAAACGTGCCCGGGCGTAGCGAACTGAATCCGACTGTAATCTTGAAGTAGGTCTGCCGTTGATAGAATTGTGAGGCCTTGCAAGTTCCTTTGAGCGAAGAGCGAGTGACGCTGGTGAGCTAGAGCAAAACGAATGATGTTGTTACGAAGTCTGCAAACTTAATAAGCAGTTCCAACTTCAATGTTGGCGATGTGGTAATTTCAATTTGGAAGTCAAAGCATACAACACGTAGGATGGGACATGAGAAAATGAACCCGCATATTAATGCCATTAAGCCGCCAGGAAAGAAGGTACAGTCGGTGTGGCTTTTGTAGGTCGAGGAAGGAATAGTCCCAAGTGCACGCAAGCGAGAACACGAAATTAGTGGCGGGGGCCACGAGGAGACATATTCACATGTGTCTGAGAATCATAAACCTCATATACTAACATCGTTGACGAGTAATCTACTTACACAGTATCAGCTCGCGTTGTCAAGGCAAAGGACGCCAGAAACTCCTCCAGAGAGCCTCTCTGGCCATAACACGAACAAGCCGAATATTGTAATTTTACACAGTCGGATGCAACTCCGAATCCAACACAATGCATGAAGAATAGGAAAAGAAGTCATCGCAGTGCTAACCATTGTCATCAAAGGGCGTAGCACCAGCAGAGCAAGTATCCACCTTCCAATGAATCAATAACCAAGCTCCGGCTCTCGAATGATTCATGTGGTTGGGTATGCTTTTTGCAATCCAAGCAGATATTCCCAGCGCAAGCTCGAGGCAAGCGATGTCACATCAGCAAAACCAGCCGTTGCATTGTCCAGAACACCCTGACCGTGGTCAATATCAACGGTAATGTCCTGTGACTGTATACAGCCTTTTATTGGTCCCGTCGAAACCTGGAGATCACTTGCGGACCTTAGGCCGAGCGAGCATGTTGAGTCTGCTGAGGCTTATGCCGCCGGACTTCTTCTGTGGGCTAGGCGTGTGGGATGAGCGATTGGCCTTCTTAGCGGGGGACTCCATGCCCATGAGTCGAGGTGCGACCAAGGCATATCCCTCAGCTACGGGCGGGTCCTTTCGTAGTTTCTTCGCACCACGCTTGGACCCCTCGTCTTCCTCGTCATCTTCGTCTTCCCAGCTGACTCTGTGGCGCTTCTTGTTGGTCATTCCGTGGGGGAATCCTGATCCTACGCCTGGGGCCATGTTCTCCTTGTTCGGCGATCGCTCCCCCGCAGACGGAAAGCTGCCCGGCATGCGGAATTTAGGAATCGCGTGCTCGCGAACGTGTCGAAGACTAGCTTGGCCGGAAGATCCACCAAATCCGGACGGGGAAGTGCTATCAAAGCGTATCGTATGATCACTTCGGAACGTGAACGTGCCCGGCACTGACGGAGGCAAGGGCTTGGCCTTGTTTCCATTGGCAGCCTCGTTCAAACCCTCCTTCATATCATCAGGCTTGTCCTCATTCGTGTCCTCATTCGTGTCCTCGTTGTAAGCCGAGAGGTCGGGATATTGGACTCCAGCCGCAGAGCCCTTGCTGTTGGTGGACTTGCCAAAGTTGGGGGCGGGAAGCTTAGTAAGGGTCTTTGATCGCGGCAGACTAGATTTGACGGGTGAGGGTGACTCCTGGGCCATGGCGGCTCGCTTCGTCTCAGGTGTGAAATCCACATGGCGATCGTACTTCCTTCCAGGGGTCGTAAGGGGCGCGGTAGGCAACTCCTTATCAGTGGCTGCCTGTTGACTAGACGTCTTTGAGGAAGGGGTAGCTAAATGTGGAATGCCGGACTTGGATTTTGCGCTCAGCTGTCGCTTCAAGATCGACTTGACTCTATCAAATCGACCGGGTGTTTGGACCCGGGTGGGCATATCAGCAGGCGTGGGGAGGTTGCTGGTGGTAGCTGATTTCTTCAGACTACCACCGAACCCTTTCTTGCTCGGAGTTCGAACCAAGCTCGCGAGATCCGGTTTGCTGGGAGATCTAGCCAGACCACCGAGCTCGGGTTTGCTGGGAGACCTAGTCAGACCACCAAGCTCGGGCTTGCTCGGGGATCTTGCGAGTCTCCCGAGCTCGGGTTTGCTAGGTGACTTGACCAGGGTTACGGTAGGAGTTTGGGAAGCCGTCGACTTAGCGAGGGAAGACTTGGTAGGCGTCATAAGATTACCGTGGGTCTGGGATCGAGGAAAGCCGCTGCGGATAGAGTCGTTGCCACTGCTTTTGGGTCGTGGGATAGAGGTTCCATCTCTCGAGATGGGTCGGAGGGTGGACGCATCGTCTTCCAGTCGCTGTCTCACACGTTTCGAGGAAGGCTCTGGCTCCTCGTGGTGCTGCTTGGGCATTTTCAGCGCCGGACGAGGGGGAGCTGCCATTGATCGTGATGAATCACGTTCGTCGAGGTCAGCCTTGGACTGGCTTCGCTTAATACCAGCTTTCATGGGGGTGATCCGACCGGGAACGGCACGGAATGCCGAAGGATGTCCCTGAATAGAGTCCATCTTCTTGAATTCCGCCATGTGAACAGCGCTGAAGCGACCAGCCCTACCCTTGGCCGGCGCGATCTTCCGCCCGTCGCTAGACTCTCGCTGTTTGGATTGCTCCTGCGTGCGCAATTCAGCCTTGATTCTAGCGGCTTCCTCACGAAGCTCGTCCATCATTCTCCGAGCCTCGGGTCCCAGTGTGTCATCGATATTGGGTCCAGCATGACGGAAGGTGAATTCAGATTTGGGCAATGGGGTCTTGGAGGGGGTGGTCTGGTTCATGCCAGGCGCTTGATGTTTGGATTTCTCGATATCGGTGAAGCCAAGCTTGAGGCCAGATGAAGGCGCGGCTGTGGTAGGGTGAACCTTGCTGGGATGCATCTCGGACATGGGAAGCTTGACTGATGTCGGGCCCATGGGGGTTCGAGGAATGGGCCTAGGTGAAGACATCATGGCGTCGATGCTTTGGGTGGTCTGCTCCTCGGAAGATTCGTCGCGCTCGGTCAGGGATGTCAATTGGGGTGAGGGGGAGGCTCTGCCTCTCTGTTGGAAGGGCAATTATGTGGTCAGTTCGATGCGCGCGCAGGAATTTGAGGGGTGGCAACAGCATGAAAGACAATAATGATGGTGGTGATGGCTGCCAGGTTTGTTTACTTGGGCTTGCTTGCTTACCTTGGGCGTGGTGCCAGAGGCGAGACGCGCTGAACGGCGGCGCGGGGGCGACATGATGGGCTGCGACGTCGATTGCAGATGAAGTTGAAACCGGCTCGAATCAATCGATCACTTCCAGAGTGGCCAGTAAAAATTAAAGAGACTATGCGGTGAAGGGGAAAGCGGAATGTGATGTCACGTAAGGTGTGACGCACGGGGGTGGTTCAATTGGATTGACGGTGAGGCCCTGGGCAGATCGTAAGACGGATTTTCATCACCTGCAGTCAACAACAATGTGGGAGGGGGCGCGTTCCTCTGGAGACCCCAACTTGAAAAGAAAACAGTGGCCTGGCCTGTGCGCTAACCCAGTCCCTTGGCCTTGGGCTTATTAGCCTATCTGCCGCCCGGCGCTAGTGTTATCGCCCGCTAGGCCCGCTAGGCCCGCTACCGATATTGTTGTCCGCCTCACCTGCAGTGTGGGTTGGGTGCCACCGGACCTACGATGACATCGTTTCTCTCCATCACCACCTGCATCTGGTAGATGGATAGAAGGTCTGGCAAGCGCAGGGCACAATATCATCAGAAGCCTGCGTAGCGTACAAGGTACCGGTATGACACAATTCGATCCCAAGATGTCGAAGTGCAGGTCAGTATGTCTATCATGGTCTCGCCTGAATTCATGTTGCATATGTCTATGCCACACCCTTCGATCCCGCACCTTGGCTGCATCCCGGGTCTCATCCCCAAATGATTGAGGAGAAGGGTAAGGCAGACCACGATCTCGTCATAAAACTTCGTTAAAGCTTGCTTGCAGCTGGAGGGTGGTCTTCACACCTGATTTAGTTAGGCGCTGGATCATGAACGTCACAATTCACTTCAATTCACCCCGCGCCCTAAACGTTACCTACCTTATGCATTTGTGACACCACGCCCTCCCGTCTTGTATCCCAGTATCGTCAGTTGGAGGCATTCGTCATACAAGTCTCGCACAATACACCTATAAGAATCTAGGTTCAAGGGAAGAATTGCTGGACCATCCGCACTCACAACACACCACATACTCACTCACCTCTTGACGAATCAACAACATGGCAGACGTCAACCCCTATACCATCGCGGTCGATGACTCGCGGATGAAAGACCTCAAGCTCCGACTCTCCCTAGCCAAGTTTCCCGATGAGCTAAACGATGCGGCCTGGGAGATGGGCGCACCCCTAGCCGACGTCAAGCGACTAACAAAGTACTGGCAAGACTCGTACGACTGGAGAAGGGCCGAGACGGAGCTGAACAAGCTGCCGCAGTTCGTCACCGACATCCAGGCCGACGGCTTCGAGCCGCTGGCCATCCATTTCATCCACGTCCGCAGCAAGGTCAAGGGTGCCATCCCGCTGCTCTTCATCCACGGCTGGCCCGGCCATTTCGAAGAGGCCATCAAGATCCTGAAGCCCCTGAGTGGAGGTGGCGATGGGGTCGACACGCCGGCATTCGACGTCGTCGCTCCTTCATTGCCCAACTTTGGCTTTTCGGAGGGCACCAAGAAGAGGGGCTTCGCCATAGAGCAGTATGCCGAGACCATGAACAAGCTCATGCTGAAACTCGGCTACAACGAATATGTGACACAAGGCGGTGACTGGGGATACGCCGTCAGCCGAGGCCTCGCCCACCTCTACCCTAAGTACTGCAAGGCAACCCATCTGAACTTCGACTCGGCCAGCCCGCCCGAGTACCTCAAGAACCCCATCCTAGCCCTGCAGCACGCCGCGACGCCGTACACGGCGCGCGAGAAGCATGGCGTAGGCCGCAGCAAGTGGTTCAGTGAAGAAGGGCGAGGCTACAACCTCGAGCAGTCGACCAAGCCGCAGACGATAGGCTACGCGCTGACCGACAGCCCCGTAGCCTGCCTGGCGTGGATATACGAGAAGCTCCACGACTGGACCGACGACTACCCGTGGACCGACGACGAGATCTGCACCTGGGTCAGCATCTACTGGTTCAGCACGGCCGGCCCCGCCGCCAGCCTCCGCATCTACTACGAGGCGCAGCACAACGTCGACGGGCGCGAGGGCAAGATGACCCGCGCGCGCATGCATTCCTGGTCGCCGGGCGTCAAGCTCGGATGGAGCCACTTCCCCATGGACCTGGTCGTGCTGCCGAGCACGTGGGTGCGCACCCAGGGCGAGGTCGTCTTTGAGAAGGAGCATGAGAGTGGCGGCCACTTTGCGGCGTGGGAGAGGCCAGATGAGATTGTTGCTGATGTCAGGGAGATGTTTGGCAAGGGCGGTGGTGCTTTTGGCTGTGTCAAGGGGGCTTCGGGCTACTCGTCGTGATCGGCGGTGAGGAGTTTTGGTTTGGTTTCTTGGCAAAGATGGGTGATCACTCCGAGGGCAGTGGTAATTATGTGGCTTTTGATCTTTTGGTTGAGAGTGTTCCCTCAATACGGTGTCTCCTAAGCAGTGAGAGATCCATGGGTCATTGATTTCTATGGATGATGATGTTATGTATTGTTGATAATCACGAGATGACGACGATGATGATGAGCATGGACACACATCTGCATGGGAACAACTATCTGACAAGACGATGGCGTAGGAGGGGATGTCGGAGAGAGGCGCCGCGTAGGTATGTCGAAGAAAAAATGATATTCTCTGTGTTGATGCCCGGTGAGTTCCGTATCACTGTGTCTTGGTGACACTTCTTTGACCATCAACGAGATCCAGTTCGCTTGGGTCAATGTAAGCTTATAACCAAAACAGACAAAGCGAGATAATGTGGTCAGATGCCAGAGCCTTCGTAAAGATAGCGAGACGCCTACCGTCAAAAGGGGCTAAGCGAAAAAGCATGGCCATCACCTGTACCCCTGGGAATTGACTCATTGCCGAAAAATAGAAGAAACGTATGCGAAGCTCAATCCCTTGTTGCAGTGATGTCTCTGTAAGAATCATGTGGTCTCGGATTCACGAGACGCTGGGATCACGCAACGAAGAATAGTGAGACGGAGGGACCCTCCCTCCTGGTTGTATACCGCTGATAGTTTGGTGGTCTTGGTGCAAGTGGGCAATATTTGCCCCTCCAGGCTAACATATTGATTGTGTCATGCGTAGGATTTGCACATCCTCGTTGAAGCTTCGTCCTGACGTATCGAACAGCCCAGTGAGCTATTTATGAAAGACCAAGCTATTAGGTATCCTCTGTCGGCTGGTGTCATTACCTTTGACAGCCAGGCTGTGTCCCGACCCCCTTCCCAGAAAGGCTCGCACATCGCTTGCGCCTTGACCCATTCCCACCCGTCCGGATACCATCCTGATTGATGCCAGTCAATGATGGCGGCGACACGAGGCGGACATCCTTCTTCCCTCGGAGCGATGATTATGTTACTCTTGTCCAGGTCGCCGTGTGTAAACACTATCGGCCTATCGTCCGTCAAGCCAGCCAACTCGTCCAAGTCACGCTGAGGGTTAAAGTCTGGGTCCGGCTGCGGCCCTGAGGCGTAACGGGCAAAGAAATCATGGAACTGGGTTATGTTTTCGAACGGCCCGGCATGGGCGTCCCCTTCATCCCTGAAGATGATGTCGCCTACCCCTTGACCTCCGATATGGCCTTGAGTTGTCAGCATTCCAGGTTTCTCCGTAAATGTTAACTTGATCTTACCGACGTAGTATGGTTCCGCCTCCTGGCGGAGGCCACGCCACGCCTCCACGCACGTGCGTAGCTGTTCGCATATAATGTCTTGCTCGTCTTGTGTGAGAGAGGGCCAGGCGTCTTCTAATGTGTCGCCATCGACAAGCTCCATGTAGATGAACGTCTCACCATCATCCTGGCACCACCCGAATAGTTCTGGCGTAGGCACTGCATCTTTCATGTATCGGGCGAAATACCAAAGACACTGTGCTTCGGCTATCGTGATTTCCGAGCCATACTTGACGACAAGTCCGAGCTCTTCAAACGGAATCGGCGGAGGCCTTGGTGATCGTGCGCGAAAGTCATTGATTCTAATATCCTTTTCCCGGATCTCCTTGGGCGACGGCAGCTCGGCGCCGTGCTTCTTGAAGAACGAAGAGTCGCGAAATGTCATGTTCTCCGCGTTGGGGAGCTCGGCCACGCATACTGTCCTGGACACTACACCAGTGGTGGCCCCGGCGGCCAAGTCTGCCATTGTTGCGCAGCCCTCGTCTTGTGGCGAGAGCGAAGCCCACGTCGACACAGAGAGTCAGCCGCTCCGACCTGGATACTTCCAGTTTGTCAATGTGAGATGTCACCTACTATCAGCTGACCGGGAGGCTTCAAGTTCGGTTTCCAGCGAGGTTACCCCGCTCTTGGAGTTCTCAGGTCTGCGACCGCCAGTAACGCTCTCACGATAAGAGATCGACGATCAATGGATGAGCCTTCCGTCATCAATTAATGAGGCAAACCGGGTTACTCTGTCGTCTTCTCAGCCTCTTAGGAGCGGTTGTCATGTGGTAGACGAAGGTGGGTGAGTACCTGTGTGAGGGCACGAGGCCGCATTTCCATGGAGCTTTCAAACAACTCGATGTTGGTTGTGGTTGCAAGGGGATCTGATGAGGCTATGCACATATCGTGTACCTAAGGGATAATAGCTGTGAATATGCGCGCGCCTATCTTGACAGATCGAAAGATCGCAGGCGCTTGGATTGACGCGACGGCCACGAGGCGCGTTAGTGCGAAGTTGATTAATAGGCTGGGCTCTGAGGCTGTGAGTACAAACAACCAACATACCTACGTTCTCAAGACGTCAATAGGCTGGGGGAGTTGCCTCAAACGTAGCGGTCTAGTGGCCGGCCTCCCAGGGGTTCTCCCACCTCCCACTCCCCAGCTCCCACGCGGCTCGGTCTGATTTTCCACTTCACAACCAAGAAGTTTTGCGAATGGTGAAATGGCAATCGAAGAACCTCGTTCTTCGCCAAGTCAGGCGAGCCTTGTTCGTTGCCACCAACATTGCCGGCCACCCTTGTCCTCGCCCGGTTTCAGTGGTCAGCGAAGCCAGAATAGAAGACCTCATGGGTGGAGCTGCGTGGAGAAGCAACGATCCCAGCGCCTAATCGCCGTTGATCACTTCGAACAACGACAGTCACGAAAGCGGCAGGTACGGATACCAATCCCGAGGATTCATCAGACAATGGATAGTACTTTTATCAGCAGCAAGAACCTGCGATAGCTGCTCTTCTCTGTTGTTCAACCAATTACCTCACCAAGTCATCAGGCATAGCAGGCTGAGTCCTCAACTTCAAGGTCTCTACTGCCTTCGATCTAGGGGAGGCCAGGAATAGAGGTCAGCAGTTTCGCCGCTGAGTAGCCCTGGAGTCAGCCTAGGGGGCCTTCAGATACCGCCTGCCCCTACCCAGGCAGAGCACCGAACCAAAATGTTCGTATGTCAACTAGGTTGAGGTAGCAATGGTACGCTGTTGACGCCAAAAAAATCACCAACATGTTTCAAGCAAAGCCTGTCTTTACGGCCCCAAAGACTTGCAGTGAACGACGTACATGGCGCAGTCCGACGACAAGGGTATATAAGTAGCTCTTCAGATATCTACTAGAATGCTAGGAAGACCATCCCATCTCGATATTCTTGTCCACCAGCTTGTACATTACAGCATTATCTGAGCGCGTCTCGTGTTCGATTTACCTGCCCTATACCTTCCGTGTCCCTCCCTGTACCATCACATCGTCTTTCTCTTGCCATTGGTCTCTTCAACAACCAGAAGGAAGGGGAGAAGACGACCGCAGCCGAGGGGTCTGCCCAGAAAGGGCCCACCCAGCACGTCCAGCCCGCGATACCAGCAGCCGTGACGACAGCAGAACAATATCGACCCGTCTTCCTCCTGTGCTATGAGAGTGCGACGTTCAAGGCACATTGGGCGCTCTTTGCTCCACATCCCGGGAGTAAAACATGCAAGGCAGGGCGCAAGATTCACGTCATGGGGAGTGTCTAGCGCGGCTTCCACCACGAGATCATACGAAACTACTACTTGACCAAAACACGCACCCAGCCACTCACACCTATCGAGATTGGCCTTGTCTACACGCGATATCTGGTCGAAATCGCCGAAGACAAACACTACGCGAAGGAGTCCACAGCTCGCGATGCGTTTGAGCAGCTGGTCCTGTCGGTCCCGGCACCCAGTTCGAGCCTTAATAGGGCCTCTGATAACTCGGTGAGCACCAATGCATTCATTCACTAGATCCAAGCTACTCGAGCCCCAGTTCCTGACCAACTTCAATGTGCCACGATCTGGCCCTCCGCGCAGAGTCACGCTATCGGATTGTCAATGGTGGATTGTGCGTGTTGTTGAGAAATTGGTAGAGCATGGCTATATCTTGCCACCAACTTGTGGTCTCAATAAGGGCAAGAGCCCACTTGAAATCCTCGCAGATGCTCCAAAGCATTGAGCCACTTGCTTTGGTGCGGGCTGCCGAAGTTCTATGTTTGTTGAAGTTTTTGTCGGAGTTTTCGTCGAATTTCTTGGTTAGTCGTGACTATTGGGCTGGTCCTGATCGGGCTGGGTATTGTGATCAATCTCGGGGTATTCTCTAGATGTAGATGAAATTCAGATGCGGCTATGAAAAACAACCGGGATCGTGTGTGAGCTTGTCCGATTTCATCAATGGCGTGGCAGGCGGATCGGAGACTCCTTCCCGTCTTCTTCCTCCAAGGATAACAGCATTCCCGTTTTCACCATATGCGAAGCAGCCTCCTTGATCCACCACTGGCAGTCTTTGACCTCTGCTTTCTTGGGAGGCGCTCCAGGCGCCTTGGCAGCATCTGACCTGTTCACCTTGTTGAAGCTGGGTCCGGGTGCTGGTACCTCTCTACAAGCCTCGTCAAACGCATTGAAAGCGACATGCTCAGCGTCTTGCTGACCCTTTTCGCTTGGAGCGAGGTTTTCGTCCTTGCTTGCTTTGCTCAAGTGTGTGTCCGACACAATCCCGATAGGCAGGGCCTTGGGGTGCCTGTCGTCCTCGCTGACATCGTAGTTGCGGATGTATTCATACTGGAATCCGCCGAGGCGATCGCCTGTCACGTGAACGCGGTCGCCGATGTGGTTGCTGGCATCGTCATAAGGCAGCCAGAAAGACCAATGCGCAGCGAATAGACGTGAAGGGTATACGAGGACGAAGAGGGTGTGGTGCATGGCTCATGTCGTAGCCGGAGCATAGAATGCTGAACAGTGAGGGACTGACGTGGACTGCGGTTGAGAGTTACAGAAGCTCAATAGACGACCGAGAAGTGAAAGCACTGTGTTGCTGGCGATCAGAAGCTTCTGAATGCCTGCCTCAAGTCAGGAAGACGAAGCAACACAGTCGTGCCCAGCCAACTTAACATGTTTGATAAGAAGCCACAGCCATGAGCCACCACCCACCAGATCACCTGACCTCTAGTCATCCGCACACCTGGCTCGGGCTGGCAGGATTCCAGAGCCAGCTGCAGCAAAAAAGTCTTGACAGGTATAACAAGGCCCACCCGACCTCCAAAGCTGCACGTCCACCAGATGAAGAAGAAACGACCATCGATATGCCGACGGGGCCAGATACTTCGTCCTGTCACTGACGGCATCTGACAACAACACGGTGTCTATGCTGCTTGATGGTGCAGCAGAGCTTGCGAGGCTCATGACCTGGACTTTATCGGACTGGAACTCCGCAAAAAGATGAGATAGAAACATACAACACCGGGGATTCGCTGGTCGTCACCGACCCAACTACTAATCCGGCGGTATCAGGCTTATTTAAGGCAGAGCAGACGGGATGCCAAGTTCTCCTGATCCTATGGTCGTATGTGAATGTCATGGTGTTAGTGAAGTCTATATGCCAAAAGTTCGTCACAGGCGAGGTCGTTGGTGAGTATGTGCATTGCCGGCGGCAGACCGTACCGGTAGTAGAAAGGACAGACTCTCACCTATGTAATAGAGATTGTGTCTGCCTGGAACTACCATGACGGCTCGGGATGTCTGGAGATGCTCACCTGTGTCTCTCTTGGTTGAAGCTGATACGAGCAGCTTGCTCCGGTGTCACGAGAACGAGAAGGTTGTCTCCTACTCAACTCTGGTCTGACCAGATTGAGAGACTCTTAAAAGAATCTTAGGAGACTCCATCACATGTCTACTCTGTCAGCGTTGGTATGGACTGAAATGTTATGAACATTCGGTACGTCTTGGATGTGACGATGTGATGCCCTCTTGTCTACTGCGATGAGGCTCCAGCTACGTGGCAGGCTATCTCTACCAGGTAATAGCGCGTTTGCGCGTTTCTAGACTTGAGAGTCCAATGCATTACATCCTTGAGCTTCATGAAGTCTAGCGACATTGACGATGATGCATGGAGTGTCGTCATCAAAACGAGGTTGCTTGTTCTGGTCAGAGCCAGGTTCGAACAGCCTACGACAGTAAGCTTCGCGTCGTGAGTGGGCATATGTGTCTGTGATCAAAAAGGGGTCGGACTATCGACGTTGCAATCCACATTGAAGAACGCCGGCATAGGCTCGGGTTTCGGTTTTCAAATTCGAGCATGCCGATAAGCAACGAAGCCCACGAGAGCGAGCCTGCAAACATGCCAAGCAGTCCGTCTAGAACGACCATGATGTTATCACACTCAAGGCACCTTCTATCAAACTCTTGTTCCCTTCGCCCGTGATGACCTGTACGCGAGGCCGATGCGCAACACGAAGACCATCTAGCGTCCTCATAATCGGCGCGATTCCGGGAACTAAGTAAAGGAGTTGCCACTCCGTTGAGTCCGTTCCGAGAGCCCCAACCAACGGCGCAGCGAGCGGGTTCAGCAAGGGGCTGCGTGAATTACTTCAAGAGATAGTCCTTATGCCAAGGGTTTCTGCCGTCGTAAGCCGTTGGTATGTCCACGTTCCTGGAAATGAGGCACGCCTCGCTGCGCAACCATTTCCTGGGTTCGAGTAGCAGCATCCTAGGGGTTGGGCCCATTGGAGGGTGCAAGGTGCTCCCAGTACATGGTTGGTATCCTTGATCGATGTCAAGGCAGATTTTCTGGTTCTCCGGGACCAATGTGATGAATTCGCTGCACCACAAGCCTTGTACAGTATGTAGGGCTGACGAGGCTTTCAGCGAAACTCGCGATCGACGTCGGTCAAGTTCGGTCAAGTACGGGATGGATGGATGAGGTGACATTGGTTCCAACAGGACCCCTGTTCATGACAAGACGCCAGGCACAGATTTGCAGCTTGGCATAATACGTGTGACGAGGTTCTGGGACAGCACTAGAAGCCTTCTAAAAGGTGTCATCGAATCCTGGTTCGGGGGCGCTTTCTGTCGACCAGGCCAGCCTGTCGACACGCCACCACACTGGTCAATACTGCAGGGGCCCGCAAGGATGGTCATCCTGAAGGCGGAAAACGACGTCCAACGTCAGACGGCAGGACGGTTTGGGGATTGAAGGCCGAACTTGAAGCTGCACAATGGGCGAAAAACGTTCACTGTAGGACAGCTCTTGAATCTCCAAGGGAAGAGCATCTGCTGAGGGTATCTTGAGCACTTGATCCTGGGCCTCCTTTTGCACCTTCAGGACCGAGCCGTTGTCCTCCACAAGGTGAGGCATGGAGGCCCGCACTGCTCGCCTGTACTTCCCTAATGCGGCAACCTTCTGGAAAGAAGCTCCTCGGAGATGTCTTCTTCACCTCAAATTCTCCACATCTTGGCTTGCACAGATTTTCGCACCCTGCAGCGCTGCACGAGCCCACGAACCACTGCGCCGCACCCCCAGCCGTTGCGGTACCGGACCCTCGCGTAGATTTCTTGAGAATCCGCCGTGCCGTATGCAACGGACGTCTGTGACCAGATACCCAAGTAGGTACCGTGCAGTCACAAACTTCTTGCCAGTGCTCAGGACACACATGTCAGGGCGTGATGGCCTCTGGATCCATGTACCTACCGTTTATTCTGCATCCACAATGGCAAAACCTGAGCGAGTGACGGTTCACCGTTTCCCACGTTCCGCTTCCAAGGTTGAGCAGGTAACGGAGCAGAGATTTCTGGTTAGAGCGGGATAAGTGGTTCTACAGGGCCAGCTAGGCCCACACCCGAACCTCCTCTCTACAATAATAACTTTAAAGGCATTTGCGGTACGTAATCAAGTTAAAAACAATACCTTAACGTTGTTAACTCATTAGAACCTTTCTTTACATTATTAGTTATACTATTTCTAACTATTGTAACGCTTGTTTTTTCGTTCTTTTTAAACTAGTTAAATAATTAACCGTGATTAATTTAAAAACGTTATAAAATTATAACCGCCCTATTTACAACCGATTTTCAACGGTTATTAATAGCTAACTTCGTTAAAACATTACAATAGTAGCTATATAAAACACATTGAAATTAACCCTTATAAATAAATAAAAAGCGCACATTATAACGAGTAAAAAGTTTAAAAACGGTACAAAAAAAGCTCGTAGAAATACCAACAAAAAATTATTAACCCGTTTTAACCGCCTTTTATTAAAACGAAATTAAAACGATAAAAATATAAAACGAACCAAACCTGTTGTAAGTTAAACATGACGAAATGTAAATTTGTAAAAATAAAAACAATTTTTATCCTAACAATATGCTAACAAGCCCTAAATAAACCGTTTAAAATAAACGATGATAACTTTATAAATAAGTTAGCTTTTATCGTAATTAATATCTTTAATAAGTTCTTTAACATTAAACTTTGTATTATATTTAAAAGATGTATAGTTATTAAATAAATAAACACGTTTTATTTCTACCTGTGAGATTCTAGAAGGTTCATAAGCTTTGGGGGTGTGAGCGGTCGCTGCAAACGTTGTTGTCATTCTCAAATATGCTTGGCAGGGCTAATCTACAGCTAAATACCATACTGCACTATACCAGGGTAGATCTACAGGTCCCCTAGCAGCCCCCTAGCGGGTATTGTACCTAAGGGAACTATATCTGGGATCCAACATCTGACAAAAACGATATATTTCATTAAACTTTTTACTTTATAAACTATGTAAGAATTGAAAATAACCTATAATTAAAACATATATGTAGTACAATTTTAATGGTATAGTTTATTAAATTAATTTATAACTTAATAGTTACTTAGTAAATTAAAGCCGTAATATTTTATATTATATAATGTATAGTATAAATAAAAGCAACTTTATTTGAAACAGAATCTTAAACGGCCGATAAAACTTAAAAAACAATACACTTTACGACCTTTATGTACCACTTAATAGGCAGCTTTTAAAGAATAATAATAGCTTTAATTGAAATATTAACTTATTAAATAAATTGATTATGATAATAGAATTTATATAAGATAAAATAATACGGATTATATATATAAAAAAAGCTGAAAGCGTGTTTTAAATAATATATATACACAAAGTGCGAAGAAAGTATAAAATAAGGTAGTGCGTGCGTAAATAAAACCTTAAAGCTATTTAAAGCCCGATAAAAAGCGAAATTTTAAGTAATAATTGGTTACTAATTTTAACTATAAAATGCCAACAATTTTTAAATTACTATTTAATTTATAACCGGCTGTATAATAGCTAGTAATTAATATAGTTCCTTTTTTTTAAACTTAATATACCTAATTATAACTAATTTTTCGTTATAATTATGTCTTAATAAAAAATAAAAACCGGTTTGGTTTTATTTTGATAATTTATTAAACTATTTCTGTAAAATATTATAATACAACATTTATATTGCTTATAACCTATATTTAGAATTTAATACTTTTAAAAACTTGAAATCAATAAACCTTAATTCAAACGTAATTATATAATATCTTAAATTAAATTGAAATTATAAATAAATTACTTATATATTATCAATGATAAAGATCTTCGTGCTTTCATTTAGCTTAGTTTTAAAATTGAACGATAAACTTAAACAAATTTATTATTTAACCTTTTTTAATAATAGGTCGCTAAATAATTAAGTATCACGTGAATATATAACATTAAAATATATAACAATTAACTGTGACGAGCCGTCTAACCTATAAGGCTAAAGGGTTCTATAGGGTTTATGTTCTGAGGTAAGTCAACACAAAGAACAATAGAGGCTTCTGTCAACTAGAAGACACTCAGATGCTGGGGCTTGTTCTGAACTGGGTTCACTGTGTAGTTGAGTCGTCAGGAGAT